TTTTTTAATACTATTAGCGTATTGAAGTATTTATAAAAAATTTTAAGTACAATAAAAATTTTCCTTTTCTTCTATAACAAGAAAAAAATGAAAAATATGAAAAAGTTAAAAGAAAAAAAAGAAAAGACTAATAAACGAATTTTTTTAAATAAAAAAGGACAAGTAAAATATGTACACAAATATTTATTATTTGCATTGCATGTATATTACCAGTTTTTTTAAAAATGAGTTTGAACTTTCAAAAATGGGATTTTAAGGTAATTCGAATAGTGATTCTTAAGAAATCTCTAAGTGAGAAAAAATTATTTTAATGTTTTCAATGCACTGAAACATATTAAAAGTTCTTTCAATAATAAGGTATTAATTTATTTTTCTCTAATAAAGTAGAACAACAAAAAAATTAAAATTAAAACCAAAACAATAAAAAAAGCAATAAAAAGAATAAATAAGGGAAATTATAGAAATTATTTTTAAATATCAAAATTAAGATTTTTTTTATCAAAATTAAATGATAATACATGGTTAATTGGTATCATTTTGAAAACAGGCACTATGAGAGTGTTAATCCTTTTTCACCATACGTAATACTACTCCAGAACCCATTTCTAATTTTAAAGATCAAAATTATCTTTTTGATAAATTTTAAATTAGTTTTAAGATTTTATTAAAAAGATAAAATTTTTAGGTTATCAATTGTTAGCCTTGAATTGATCCTAATTTTGAAATGACAAAACATTAAGCTAAATAAGCTTGATCAAGATTTTGAAAAAGATTTATTTAGTACATATTTTTAAGTTTTATATTTTAGTACTAAATAAATAATATGTTTTTCAAAGTGTAAACAAACCTTTTTTTATTTTTATATTTCTTAAACTAAATCTATCTTTTAAATATTATTTATTTGAGCTTAAATGAAAGTTCAATTGTTGTTTTTAAAGTGAACTCATTCATTTTGGACTTAATACAATTTTGATAATATTGGTTTTTAGAAATAGATTAATTTAATAAAGTTATTTTACAAGAATAAAGTTTTTCAACATTGAACTTGTTTTATTTTTCTGCATTAATTCACAAAGTTTTAATATTTGAATTTTATATGGTTGGAAATTTCTTTGAGTCTAATTTCTAATGGATTAAACAAAATTAAAATCCAAATTTTCTAAGAAAATATTTTAAATTTTTACTAGACACTCTATAGTTGTCTAAAAACTACAGATGAGATAAATTTGAAAATTCACTATAATTTGTACACAATGAATTAGATGATGAATTTTATATGGATAGAAAGCCCTTTAAGTCTAGTTTTTAAATCTTTAAATACTTTATAATTTGGATTTGTATAACTCAAGATATGATCAAATTAGTGAGTAGAGTACAAAATAAGATACAACAAAACAGCTTGAACGAATTGATCCCCTGTGTTACAGGATCAATCCCCTAGCTAAACCAATCAATCAGGCCCTTACCTGATCAATTGGGTTCTTTTTTCAAGTGTAAAATGGAACAAAACTTGAACCAATCGATCCCCTCATGGAAGGGATTGATCGGGTCATGTCCAAATGTGTCTAACGGCTAGTTTCTCAAGCATTTAACGGTTATTTTCTTCTCTCAAGTATCTCTAACAGCTAGCTCTTCATTTTCTCTATATATTGGCCATTCCAACATACCAAGAAAGTTGATGAAGCAAAAAAGCAAGTGCTAATAAGTTATATTTTTATTTTTTCTTAGAATCAAGAGTTTTTAGAGCTTAAGTTTAATATCCTTTGTATTTCTTGTATCCAAAATATTATTGTTCTTCATTCATCATATTTTCTTGTACTTTATTAGGCAAACACTTAGACTTTGAGATGTGTTTTAAGTTTGTATTGTTATTAAATAATTTTGTAATCAGGAGGTGAGGTACGCTCTTGAATTTATGAAATTAAAAAGTCACTACTTAGCTTAGAAAGTAGAAAGTATAAGGTTTTTATCTTAAGCTTTTGTAAGAAAAAGATAGAGTCGTAATTTCAATTCAAGTATAGTGAATTGAATTCTTGGTGTGGACAACTAATAAAGAGGACGTAGGTACCTTGTAGAGAAGGACCGAACCTCTATAAATTTTTGTGTTTGATTTCTCTATCCCTATCTCTTTATTTTGATTATAGTTCATATTTGCTTATAGTTCATCAATTCATTATTGTTTGCATCATATTTTGATATTGGTTTTAATTTTCATCTAATTATATTGAAATCATTTGTTTGAAAAGAATTTAAAAAAATTCAATTCACGTCCCTCTTGGATCATTATCTCACCTATAAAGTTAATATTAATCATATCTAATAAAAAAATTAGTGGTAACTCTCTCTTATTTTGATATCTTTAAAATTTTCCTTTAGCATTCCTCAAAACTGTTATGATAATAAGATTAACATTTCTCAATTTGGGCACACGTGTGTACGTTATATGTATTCTATGCTATATGCATACATACATATCTATATATATATATATATTACGTTCTAATTTATATCATTAGTATTGTTTTAACTACAATGCAAATCAAAATGCTCAATCAAAAGTAAAATTTGATATTGTGATAGAAAATACGCAACTAAGATCAACATGCTAAGTAAAATTAAAAGAAAATTCTATAAAAAAAACTATAAATAAAGACTTCACCCACAAAGACATTAACTGCAATAGTAATATTACTGGCATTCTCAAATCCTAAAAGAAGCAATAGTAAATTGTAAAACAAAGGAAAATACTTAAGCGAATCTCCAACACTAACTACTAAATGATAAAATCACATTTTTTATATGCATGGAGATTATATGATGAATATGAAATGAAAAAAAAATCAAGTAAATTATGATTTGCAACATAAAAATATCACTTCACCTAATTGAATGAAATAAGACAAAAGAATCAAAATATTAAAACTTAAATAAAAGACTTGTGGGTTTTAAACAAAAGCAGGAAAATCATCAAAATGAAAAAAAAATATTTTGTTAAATAGTATCATAAAATAAAGAAATAAATTAAGATAAAATATTAAAATACCTTAAATATATATTTAAAACTTATATTTGCATCTATAAAAAATTAAATAAAGAATTGGATTGAAGCTAATTCAACACAAAAGTATAAGCAAAAGTAAAGCAACATTGCATCAAAAATAATAAAAATATAAAAACTAAAATCTCTAATTATAAATTGAAAGAGAAAAAAAAGAAAAAAGAGAAAACAAAAAAAGTCACTCACTTTACGCTAAGCGAATGGACCGGTCCAACAGTTAAGAACCCACGTCGATTGGCATGAAAAATCACTCAACCCGGCCATTAACCTCCCAAATCAGGAAGAAATCTTTTATGAAGTTATTTACATGAGGTTTGTAAAACTTTTTAAAAAATAATTTAATAAAAAATTTAAATTAATAAATTGATAAATTTAATATAAAAACTAATAATATGTAAAAAATTATTAAAAATTTTATTTATAATTTAAATTTATTGATATTTATTTAATAATAAAATTTAATTAATATTTTTATTAAAAATATATATCTAAAAATATATATTCAAAATTTATTAAATTTTTTAGAAAGAATTCACGTATTTAATTTATACAACAAAATTAATTTTAATTTAATTATTTTTAATAAAAAATTTTACCACCATCACTTAAAAAAATATCGATATCTTCATCTCAAAATTTATGTCGAGAACAACTTTTTGTGTTGCCTTCTCACTTTTCTTTAAATATTATTTTTCACTCATACCTTAAGAATGAAGAAAGAAGCTTCTGTTCCTTTTTGTGAGAGGAGCAAACAAAATGATTGACATGATCCGCCACCCACCAAGGCATCATTTGGTTAGAAAAAAAAGAAATAAAATAAAATAAAAAATAAAAAGAAGATGTGGATGTAACTTACCATTATTCCCTTCATTTAATTCAAAAGAAAAAAATAAAAAAAATAAAAAAGCTTTTTTAACAAAATTTTATATGTGAAAGAAATCAAATATAGATAAATCAAAAGAAAAAAGAATTAAAGAAATCTCACCTACCCATTCTTGAAAATTTTTTTTTTTCTATTGAGACCCCTTCCCAAATCTTTCTTTTCTCGAATCAAAATTTATGCAAAGGATAAAAGAATAATGTGATAAATAAATACATGCTGAAAGAGAAAAAAAAAGTACCGTAACACATGAATACTTTAAAAAATAGTCAATAAAAAATTTGAATTAATAAAATTAAAAGTATTGATGATCGATGTGAAAATGGTTATAACATTATGACTCATAGGCAAACTTTGTAATAGTAAAATAATTGTTGGGTATCAATAAGATTGTATTTTTTAATTTAATTTAATTTATGTATCTTTTTATATTTATGTAATTGAAAAAAATATTATAAAATTTTTAAATTTATAATTTTCAAACATTAAAAAAAACTCATACCAATCGAAATATAAGACCCATGACAAACTTAAGGTCTAGCTCTAGTTAGCCCATTTTGTCGCTGCCGCTGGATATCGGAAGGTGTCAGAAAAACTTTTGAATCCGTCGGTGGGTGGTGCTTCTTAGGGGTATTTATTAGCACCATATATGCTTAATTAAGATATGCTACTGATTATTAATTAATATTAAAGTGAATTAATATAAATTAATAATAAATACAATAATATTTAATTAGCATTTTTAAGCATTATATAATTATTATTGTATTGTTGGACTGACATGGATAAGATCAGCAACCACATGCTCATCCTGAACTCGATTATATGAGATAGGGGTAATCACAAATCACGTTGGGACAGATTTTTATTTATTTTAAATTTGATTTGATTTTATATTTATAATATTTGAATTTATTTTGATAAATTAAAAAAAAATTTATATTTAAACTTAATTTAATTCAAAATTTAATCTTTAAAAAAAATTTATAAAATTGAATCAGATTAAAATTCATGGGAGACTAATTGAGCTACCGTCCTTAGTCAGAGTGATTAGGTGACAATATTGTAAAGCAATTTGTAGTATTTTATTAACTGGATTTAACTACATACTAATTAATAGAATTAATACAATAAGGAAATATATTTTAATCCTACTGGACTGGTAATATCTTCTGCGACTGGGAATGTCCACATCCATTGTATCTTACCCTGTACGAGAAATAGTTATTACAACACGACAAACACAAAACATTTCTCTCACGGAAACGCCCGCCTGGCGACTAAGTCTCTGATATTCATTCTCATTGTCATATCCGTATGCTATTCTCCCACAAATTTGGCGCAGAAAAAGAAAGGGTTTCCAACGTTTTTTAGGTAATGGAGAGTTTCCTCAACACCAAATGGATAGCCACAACCGCCAGCATATGGATCCAGTGTACCAGCGGTGCATCCTACACCTTCGGCATCTACTCTTCCATCCTCAAATCATCCCAATCCTACGACCAATCAACTCTCGACACCGTTTCCGTCTTCAAAGACATAGGCGCCAACGTTGGCATCCTCTCTGGCCTCCTCTACTCCACCGCAACCACCACCCGCCGTTGCGGCCACCGTAGGGGCCCCTGGGTAGTCCATGTGGCTGGGGCCATCCAGTGCTTTATTGGGTATTTCCTCATGTGGGCGTCCGTGGTTGGGTTGATCAGCCGCCCGCCCGTGCCGTTGATGTGCTTGTTCATGCTGCTGGCCGCTCATGCCCAAACGTTTTTTAATACGGCGAACGTGGTTAGTGGCGTCGAAAATTTTCAGGATTTTAGTGGGACCATTGTGGGGATTATGAAGGTACGTGCCGTAAGCTAATTTGGTTAAGAGCCACAAATTTTCGTATTTGCTTTTGTTTTATTTTATCTTTTTCTTGATTTACTAACCATATATTTTGTTTGGTTATTAAAAAATTAATAATGAAAAAGAAAAAAAAAAGAGTGAAAAAACATACTGGCCGGTCATTTAAAAAAAAAAGATGTTCACAAATTACAGCAATTGGGTAATATCAATGTCAAGTTGACAGGCCTCAATACCAAACAAATAACTGTCATAGAGGTTTTTTGGCTTTTGACAAAGGAATTGACACGCTGATATAACTCTTTTGAAAGGATTGATATTCATTTTTTTTTTTTTTCTGAAGGGACTGCTGGTAATTATTATGTGACAGAAATAAGGAAAATGACAAGTCAGTATAATGGAGAAGGAAAATTTTAAAGAAATACAACAGTCTCATTAGCAACCCAAATTCAAATTCCCTTCTGTTTGTGTTTTATTTTATTTTCTTCATTTCCCTAATAATTGCAGTGCTTAGCTTCCTTTCTAGACTTGGAATGACCCAATGTTTCATCTTCAATAGATATTCTAACCATTAGATCATGAAATGATATGAAGTTTGATTTGAAGGTTTCTAGTTTGAATGGTAGAGATAGAGTTGAAAAGGAGAAAACCACTTGCTACTGTATAATCCAAGCTCCAATAGATTTCATTTTTTACTAAAACAAATTAACGCATTGTTTCCATGTTGATGTTGTTGCTTGACGTATAATCATGCCATCTGAACTTTGTTGGACAGGGGTTTCTTGGTTTGAGTGGAGCAATTCTAATTCAAGTTTATGACACCTTATGCGAGGGTGATCCAACCACTTTCATTTTGATCCTTGCAATCATACCAACTGTGGTCTCCCTCTTGCTCACGCCTTGGGTAAAAATCTACAGAACTAGCACAGTTGATGACAAGAAGCACTTGAATCGTTTCTCTACCATTGCTTTGATCGTTGCTGCTTATCTAATGGTCATTATAATATTGGAGAACATCTTTACTTTAGCATTATGGGCGCGGGCCATTACCTTCATGATTCTACTGCTTTTACTTGCTTCACCTGTTGGAATAGCAACCAAAGCCCATAGGGATACTGCGAGACTACTACATGCGCCTTCACCTGAAACAAGTCCTTTAATGGATGACCCTGAGCCAATGCCATCAACCAAATATTCTGAAGTTGAAGATCCTGTGGAGTACCACAAGATCCCTGGTGAAGCAAGCCAAGCAAAGGCGGCTTCTTCTTCTGGTGACAATTTACTGGAGGATGAAGAAGAAGAAGAAGAAGAAGAAGAAGACATCAACCTCTTGCGAGCAATGCTTACTGTGAACTTCTGGTTGTTGTTCATTGCTATGGTATGTGGAATGGGTTCAGGTCTAGCCACAATAAACAACATCAGTCAAATAGGCGAATCTCTTGGTTACACAACCACTGAGAGAAGTTCTTTGGTTGCTTTATGGAGCATATGGAATTTTCTTGGGCGATTTGGAGCAGGGTTTGTGTCAGATATATTCCTAAACAAAGGTTGGGCAAGGCCATTGTTCATTGTCATTACTCTAGCAACATTGACATTTGGCCACTTGATTGTTGCTTCTGGTTTCCCTGGAAATTTGTATATAGGCTCAATCTTGGTAGGCATTTGTTATGGTTCACAGTGGTCTTTGATGCCTACCATCACTTCTGAGATCTTTGGTGTTAGGCACATGGGTACCATTTTCAACACCATTGCCATCGCTAGCCCTGTTGGATCTTATATTTTCTCTGTGAGAATCATTGGGTATCTTTATGACAAGGTGGCAACTGGTGAAGATAGCACTTGCTACGGCACTCGCTGTTTCATGTTATCATTTTTCATCATGGCATCGGTCGCTTTCTTGGGCTTCCTTATTGCATTTGTATTGTTCATCCGGACAAGGAGGTTTTATAGTCGGCTTGTGCTTAGAAGATTAAGGCGTTTGTCACGATCATGAGAATCAGTCAGTAAAGCTTTGAATGGAGAGGCAGGAGAAGATTGGAGATTCTCCCTTAATTTCCTTCCGCTTGTGATATGTATATGATTAAGTTGATTATTCTTTTGTCTGTTGGCATTTTATTATGTGATTCCTCTATTTTTCTTTGAGAAGATTTGAGTGAGTCAAAGTCAGAAATTGTGAGCTTTTTTTTGAACCAGAATTTCTTCTGGTAACCTATAGTATTACCAAGTGTATACCAGCAAAGATATCACCTATTTTTCCCTTTTTACTTATCCTCATGGTTTTAATGTTCAATCTGTACGGACATACTGTATCAAACAACACAGAATCTGCAATTACTGGCATTCTGCTTTCCAACTTTTACTGATGATGGGGCCTTTACCACTAACGACTAGTCTATCAGTTGGTTCATTTTACTAAATCACTCAAATCTTATGTAATCTAAACTAGCTTCTTAAAAGATTAGTACAATATATGGGTAGATATTTCATCCTCCTCTTCCAGTTTGACTGACATAAAAATCTTAAAAAACTGATACTAATAAAATTATAAATAAATAAATAACTTTTTATGACGTCAACACAAATTTTCTAGGTGGCACAGCTAAAGCACACTTGAGTTACCGGTGCCCAAACTCAAAAGCACGAGGCAAAACCAACATATCAGACAGAACAGAACTCAAATGAAAAGAAAATGATTCAATGCAAGAAATTAAGAATTAGAGTAAAAAACCTAGCAAAATTAGCAAGATGGATGGTCTGAATCTGAAATGCAAGTTCCAAAACAAATAGATATCGACAGTAGCCAGCACATGGATTCAATGCAGCAGCGGTTCACTCTAAACCTTCTCCATCTATTCCCCAACTCTCAATCAGTCAACTATCGACACCATTTCGTCTTCAAAGACATCTGCGCCAACTGTGGCGTCCTCTCCGGCCTTCTACACACCTTCGCCACCCCATATCACCACCATCATCGCCACAACGCTTATTTTGGTGGGCCATGGTTGTGCACGTGGCGGGTGTAATCCAATGCTTTACGGGTTACTTCCTGATTTGAGCTTCTGCAGTTGGATTGATTCCTCGGCCTCCAGTGGTGGGGATGTGTTTGTTCATGCTTTTGGCGGTGCATGCTCAGAGTTTCTTTAATACTGCTAATGTGGCGGCACCACTGTTGGTATTATGAAGGTAAGATTACAGCTTTGATTATCGGAAACTGTCAAAATATTGAAATTTAAGTGCGCCAGAATGTGTTTCAAGATTATATGTATAGATTTCCATCGTAGGGACACATCACTTTAGCCTTTAGAACTTGAAAATTTTGATTAGGAAGTTCCATATTCGAGTCTTAGGAAATTCTGATCAGTGATGGCCATTGTCAATTCCTGAACATCAGTTCGCACACAAATTTTATCATTGCATTCTTCTATGAGAAAGATGATAATGAAGTTTTTTTTCCTTTGTATCGGGTTTCTGGGTTTAAGTGGAGCAATATTAATTCAAGTTTATGAGACTATATTCAACAACAAGCCCACTTCATATCTTCTAATGTTGGTACTGTTGCCTACCATGAATCCTTTGCTGCTTATGTGGTTTGTGAGAATTTACGACACGAATGAACAAGAGGACTTCTCAATGCTATTTCATTTGTTGCTCTGCTTTTTGCTGCTTATCTTATGGCTGCAATAATATTGGAGCACCTCATTACTTTGTAATTGTTTGTATGGGTCGTTATTTTTGTCGTGCTTCTAGTGTTAGTTGCATCGCCTCTGTGCATTCTGCTCAGAGCATAAGAATGGGACTTTCCTGTGATTCATCAGAGTTCGATTTCTGAGGAGGACAGGTTATTGGATGAGCCCCAACAGCCGTATGCTGGGAAAATGGCTGCAGCACGTGATCCTGCCTGCTTTCATCACTTTCCTACTGATGCCGATCAAAAGATGGATGTTCATGACACAAGGGATTCCCGAGGAGGAAGAAAACTTTAATGTTTTGCAATTCATGTGCAGTTTGAACTTCTGGATTTTGTTCTGCCATGGCATGTGGCAGGCGCTCAGGGCTTGCCACAGTGAATAACCTTGGCCAAATAGGAGAATCTCTTGGGTGCTCAAGCTTTGAGACTAACACCTTAGTTTCTTTGTGGAGCATCTATAATTTTCTATGCTGTCTTGGAGCTGGCTATATATCAGATCATTTCCTACATGTTAGAGGATGGGCAAGGCCATTGTTCATGGTCCTCACTCTAGCAACCATGGGTGTCGGCCATGCTGTGATTGCATCTGTTTTGCCTGGTGCTCTATATGCTGTTTCAATATTGGTGGGTGTTTTTTATGGCTCGCAGTGGTCCCTGATGCACACAATTGCTTCCAAGATATTTGGTCTGAGGCATTTGGGCACCATATTCAATTCCATTACCATACCTACTCCTGTTGGATCATATATTTTCTCTGTGAGAGTGATTTGCTAATAGCCTATATTTATGATAGCGAGGCATCAGGGGGAAGGGAACAGTTGCAATGGAACTCAATGCTTTATCATTTTTTATCACGGCATCTGCACCTGATTGAGTTCTCTTGCTGCTTCAGTCCTGTTTTTCCAGACTACAAGCTTTTGTAATCAGCTTATACTCAAAAGGCTGCTGCATTCCAGGATGGAGTAATTCCTTAGTACTTCAACATCCTGTGAAGGGTCAAATATCAGATCATGACATCTAAAAACTTTTGTTTCTGATTAGTGAGTGAAGTAATAATCTCTGAGAGTCTCTGGTTGAATGCTTCTTGTGACATTCTTTCAAATTGCTCTTTCTATATTGCTTTTATATTAATTCAATGGCCCAAGAGGCCTCTCCTTTCCCTCTTAAAATAAAGATTGATAATAATTCGCACAAGTACGAGATCTTTGCATGAGTCATTTTTTCAAAGAGTCTGACGTATGAAAAGAAGCTTCTCTGATCCTTACTTGAATGATATGTAAAATCAGGATGACAATGGAAATTGTTTAAAAAATTTTTCATAAAATTAATTTTTGTGGGATATTCATTTACTTGTTTGATCATACAAATTCTGCTGCTCGTAGCTAATTCTGTTTTAAAATGATTATGGCTTTTTGCTGTTGCATTACTTGGTTTAATGCTTTCGGAAATGTATTACTTCTGTAACTGGCATCGCCCGAACTGCTTGCTTTCATATATGCTGATCTTTACCAACTGCTTGTAAAACCCTTTGCAGGATCATCATGGAACCACATGCACTCTGAGCCCTTGTTTTCCACTGCATTAAAATTATCTACACTGCTGCATCATATTATGGTCATGAAATTCGGCTGTTCAACAGTCCTAAAGATCAATACGCAGAATCCAGTTGCCCCAGCTGCATATAGAGCCACATCTTTTGTGATACTCAAAGCTTATGCTTCTACATGCGATTATCGGTACTCTTGATCTGTAAGCTGTATCTTTCTCTAACTTAAAGTGTACCAACTACACTTGTAGTCGCAGAAGGCTCCCTGGATTTGTTTCGAAGAAAAAAATAAAGCTACATGAAAGAAGAAGGTACATTTTACATCTTGTTTTAACTTATTTGTGGCTGCAATTTTGAGTCCTAGCTTCTACTTAGTTTGAGATTTAAGCTTGATGGTGTTGATCAATAAGATCGAGTTGAATTGAATTTAACCCAAGAGTTAAGCTCTAGCTAACTTTATAGAAATTTGTTTACTTAGAGTTCAAATTTGACAACAAAATATGTCAAATTCTTGAGCCTATCTCAAACAAAGTAGTAAAATCTTGGTTCTGTTAACTTATTTACACTCTTTAAGCCTACCAATTAGAAAATTTTCAAAGTACTTAAAAAAAAAAAAGTACTTCAACGTTTTGAATTCAGGTCATCCAAAAATTTGATTAAAAATTCATTTGAATGAACAATAAAATTATAATTGTGGTGAGATTAAATAGTGTATCGGTGAGATGAAAGTCATTTATAGGCTATAAGATATTTTAAGATCCAAATATAATGGTTATGAAGAAATATGGAGAAAATAAAATTTATAGTATATATTTGACATTTATAAAATTAATAAATAATTAAAAAAGAATAAAATTATTTATATATCAAATAATATTTTTATAAATAAATATTTAAAAAATATTTATAAATAAATATTAATAAATAATTAAAAATTATTATCTTGAGATTAATTGTTTTTATATAGAATAAATACGTTGATTGACTGTCCCTGCAACACGGTTGAATCAAAAAGTGGTCCAACCATTTTGCACCGGGGCTTTGATTGAATCCCGACGGATCCTAACTGGTGCAAAAAACAAACCCTCTTTCCCAAAATTAAAAAAAAAAAGGAAGACTAACAATGACCGCTTGTTGGGCCTATTTCTGGATCCTTTGAGTTGAGTCTCAAGCAGAAAGGGTCTCGACGGAATGGCCCAAAGAGAAATACTTAATTACACAGTAAAAATAAACCAAAACAAAACATCTAAACAAAATATCCTCACTTCCTCGAAGAGAGGTTTTCGTTGCGGATCGTCGATTTGTTTTTCCCTGGGCCAACTGAAATCGAAAACAGCAGAAGAAGAAGAAAGAGGAGGAAGAGAAGAAACTCTGAAAAGTTTAAGAAAAATTGGAAAAAAGAAAAGTTTGAAGAGAAACAGAAGATGAAGACGACAAAAGGAGGCAAAGTAATGAACCCTACGGACGCCTATCGTAAGGAGCTCCGAAAGAAAGAACTTAAACGGGTATAATCCTACTCCGTTCCCTTTTTAGGGTTTTCTGTTTCCTTTTTGACAACTCTTCATGATTCCATTCTAATTTTTAATCAATTTCGCCCCTCATTTTGCCCTAATTTCTTTTTTGGCTGAAACGTCTAAATCGAAAAACTCAGTTTTTTTTTCACCTAAAAGAATGAATTTCCAGAGAATGGTTTTGAATTTGAGGGAAATTATTGGCTTTAAAGTTAATATTTGCCTTCAATAAGCTGTTGAATTTTATTTACTGGAACTTCAAAAAAAGAAACACATAATAAAGTTGTATAATTTTATTTCACTTGCTTTGGAGCTAAATTTCCAAATTTAAGTCATTGTTTCAGCATATGGTCCACGTACATTTTAATTTTAAAATAGTTATTAATGTGTTATTTCTTGTAACAGAACAAGAAGGAAAGAAAGAAGGTGAGAGAGGTGGGGATTTTGAAGAAGGATCCGCATGCAATAATGGAGCAGATTGAGAAGTTAGAAATGATGAGTAAGTCGTTCTATATGGATGTTTTAATTATTGATTTATGATTTAATAACTATTTGCAATGCAAATTAGCACTTACTGAAAATGAGCAGTGCTTGTTGGTGGTTGTTTTGCCTTAAAATTAGAAAATTTATTTGCAATGTATTGTCTTATTTTCTTGGGAGCATATCACCTACAATTATTGTACGAACATAATTCAGCATTGTGTAGGGTCCATAAATTAGGTAGAGCCCCCTACATAATTCTTGATTGTGATTGGCTAATCGTAGTATTCTATTAAAGAGAATTGTAGGTGAAATGCTCCCTATTTTCGCCTTGGTTGGGAAATTTTAGGACTGTACTTTTAATGCTGTGGATTGAACATGCCTTAGTTACTAACTGATTTTCTGCTCTGGTTTTACTTTCCTTTGGAAGAGGTTTTGGTAACTATTTAACTTCCTTTGGAGGAGGTTTTGGTAACTATCTGTTGTGGCATTCAGACATTTCCTTGAGGTTGGCATTAACCAAGTGTTAAAAATAGTTTTTAGAACAAGTGGGAAATTTCGGTATTTCCTTAAAGCGTTTTTTTCCTTTTTAAAGTGAAGGCTAGGAGGTTTAGCTATATTTCCTCCAATGAAGTGGTTGTTGGATCGAATGCAGAATAGAGATGAAAACCAATTGACTTTTCCCATTTCAAGATGGCAATCTTAATGAAAATATGTTTATTTTTGACTATATGGAATTGATGTAATAACTACCTATGAAAGTTTTCTTTTCTTTTGTTTTTCTTTTCATTCTGTCCTTTTATTTGAAGAAAGGTTGACAGGGGTACATATAAGTGGGTTTGAAGGATGTACTCCTGTTGAATGTTTATTGCTTAAGCATTTTGTGTTCACTGTTCACCTTGTTCTTACTAGTATATTTGGTTATTTCTTTACTAATTTTAATTTTGAAATGCAGTTTGGTGGACTACCAATTATCAATAACTTTGTTGAATTATTGCAGAGGCTGAAGGTGCTTTAGACAAAGCAAGAAAACACAAGAAGAGACAACTTGAAGACACACTTAACCTTGTCTTAAAGAAGAGGAAGGTAATAATTTAAGTGATATGCATATGGAATTATTTTTTGAGGAAATAAATATTGGCTTATGATTTTTCAGCCACTTATTAGAATTAGCTGTCTGCACGAAATGAATGCATTCTTCATTACTTTCTTGGTCAGGAATATGAAGACAAAATGAAGGAGAAGGGTGAGGCCCCTGTAATGTTCAGGTAAATAGACATTCTCTGTTTGATATGTTCATTTATGCTTCGATCTTAGCATCTCCAACTTGTCATTTACCAACTGTAGTTTGTTTTCTGCTGCAGTCACTTGGGGCCTCCTCGGAGAAGGACAACTGCTGAAGAAGAAGAGAGAGCAAAGCATCCGAAGCCTGAAGTAAGATTTGAATCAGACGATTAACTTCTACAATATATTTTGATAATGTCTGCTTGCTTTGGAGCCTAATTTTTACTTTTTTTTTCTTTAATTTCTTAACTGCAGGACTCTGTTTACTATCACCCTACTTTAAATCCCACAGGGGCTCCACCGCCTGGAAAGCCACCTATGTATAAATCATCAATAGGTCTAGTGAACTTCCTCTTTGATTTGTTTTCTGCTGAAACATAGATCTTTTTCCTGCATTTCTGACTTAAATACTTCAGCTGCTTTTATTTTTTCTTTCTCTCATGCTTTTAGTCTGCTTTTGGTTTTGCCTTCAGGACCTAGAATTCCTTTGTCTGCTGCATCATCGAGTGCCACTGCATCATCCTCACCGACAGAGTCAGAAGATATTCCTGTAGCTCTATCACCTCCACCTCCACCTCCTCCACCGCCATCTCCTTTGCCAGATACTGTTAAATTAAACTCAGGGGATGGCTCTGTTGTGCCTGCATCTTTGCCTCTCCCACCGCCACCTCCTATGCCACCCAAACCTGCCATGGCAAACTTGGGTATTCCTTTGCCTCCACCTCCTGGCCCCCCACCTAAAGAGCAATTTGCAGTTCACCCTCCGCTACCTCCACCTCCTCACCTTCCACAGTCTGCGCAGCCTTCTCCACCTGGCACTAGTGGAAATGAAAGAGAAAAAACTGTAATGCCAGATGACTCAACCTCCAAGGAGCTGAATCAGGTGAGCTCTTCTCATCCATCGTCTCTAGATACTGCCTTTCTGACTTGAGGATATATCAGTAGATTTGGCATATTTTTAGTTTTCTAAGTTAGGAATGCAACTCATTCCCAGAAAGATCTATACTTGGTCCAAATGCCAAGAACGACAAAATTGTTGTGTAGTTCTTCAGATTTATTTGCTGTGAAAAAAGTGTTTATCTCTCTCTCCCTCCCTCCCTCCCTCCTTCTTAGGTGCCTCCTGTGCTGCCTCCCCCTCCTGGAATGCCCCCTAAATTGGCAATTAACCAGGCTGAAAGTGCTTCATCAGAAGCTGATGCCAATAACCATCCAGCGATAAAAGAGGTTCCTAAAATGGCTCCACCACCTCCTCCTTCCAGGCAACAACCTCCAGTGCCTGGACCTGCCATGATCCCAGTTTTACAACCTGATGTATTACCCCCTGGAATATCGCGTTTCCCTCCACCACCACCTCCAGACATGCGGGCACCCCTATCTGCTGGTGGACTTCCTGGTCCAGCTGCTCCTCCTGGAATGATGGTCCCACTAATTCCAAGACCACCTTTGGGCCCTCCCCCGGGACCTCCACCAATGATGAGACCGCCACTTCCACCTGGTCCTCCTCCTACTGCAGTGGATGATTATAATTCTTTAAATCGAACATTCTTACCACAGAAGCCATCATATGTTAAATCTGCTGCATCTACTGTTGTTAAGCGGCCACTGGCTCAGCACCAGCCAGAACTTACAGCTATGGTAACTCCACTTTCCTTTGCTAGTTTTATGTTGCTTTAGTATTAAATTGTGGCTGTGAATATGGTTTGATATATTCATGAATGCATGAGAAATAGACTAGTTGGAACTTAGTTAACAGCATTGCTGACTCTGAGTGGTTAATATATTTCCAGCTGATCTCTGGTCATGCATAGCATGGAAGGGTCTGGCATTCTGGTACTAAAGTGCATTTTTTTGGTTTAGGCTTATCTTGACTGAACACCTGGGTATTTCCTCACCTGATAGTTTTAAGGTTAAGATACATTCCACATTTAAATACATCATCTGTTCTTGATATGTCTCCATCAACATTGAGTGAGTTGCTCCCATTTATTTAGATTCGGGATGTTGTATTGCGTAAGCAGTTTCACCCCCTCCCCTCTGGTTAAAAGTGTTTCTTTTAGATGATGTTTAAGGACTATGCAAACCTACAACTCAGGATTAGATCTTTGAAGAATTCTTTGCTGTCAGATATGGTTAAATATGCAGTGTCTCTATATTTTCTGCCATATATGATAACTGCTCTTAGCCAGCTTTGTTCTTTAAACTTGAAACCTATTTCAGACAAATAAATACTACATATGCGAATGCTATTAACTTCCTAAATACCAAGTGCTATATCCATATATTGTCAAAAACTCTAGAAAAGGGCTGCATACGTGATCCTGATTTAAGCTTTTATGGGTTTTAGGTTCCTGCTTCAGTTCGAGTAAGGAGGGAAACTGCTGCCCCAAAAGCAAAACCAAAGCCTTTACTCTCAACCTTGATGGCAACCACCAAGCCTGTAGCTTCTACCATTGTGAAGCCAGAATCAACCAGCTCATCATCTGCTCCAAAGGCACCGAGTATTGATGACTCGTACACAGCATTCTTGGAGGATATGAAGGCACTTGGTGCACTTGATAGCTGATATTGCTATAGTTGTTGAGACTTGAGATGCCAAGGAAAAGTGGTTCCCGTGCAATCAGAAGGAAGCATGTACAAGCTATATTTTAGGGATCTGTGGCTTGAGCGATTTCCTGGAATCCTGTGTTTCCATGTTGCCGTATTTTCAAGGGATCACTTTTCATACCGTAATGCCACATTTCTCTATTGGCAAACTTTTTAAACCATCTCAGTTCATGAGATTGTGCAATTCAGGGCAATTTTCCTCCAGTGAATGAAAAAAAAATCTGCTCCGAGAAAAATAGCAATTTTACCTGCTTTTTGCGTTTGGAAATTGTATTTTTCGACTATTTACCCCCTTCTGATTCTGGGCGCATACTGATTGTATGTGTATTATTGATTCACCGTTGCCCTGTTAAACTGACAAACTATACTTGATAAATAAACAGTTTAGCAGACTTCTCTCTTTTTTATTTCGAAGTTTTGCATCTTTTTCTTTTTCTTGTTGCGATACTGTTTCTTTTAAGAATGGTGAGGATCCTCAACATCCAGATAGCCTGTGACTAGAGAAAATTGAAAATGAGGTCCAGATGGCTCTAATCGTGTCTTCTTGCTCAGTCAAAAGGTAAGATATGGTTTGCAAATGTTCCTGATGTTGGTTAAAGTAAAATTTTGGGTATTGTGGAGTCCCAACCGTTTCTAGACATAAGTGATCAAGTGCTCTTTGATACTGAACTTTGCAAACAACGGTCAGTTCTTGTTGTCATTCAATTGTGATAAAGATGAAACAAGGATTTCCATTCTCATTTGCTGAAGACAACGGGAAATATCTTTATATTCTAACAAGCACAGGTGTTTACAGAGTAGCAAGACCGAGCTATAATAAACCTTAAATGTTCTAAAGAAATTGTTGATAATGTGACTTCAAGATCACACTCTTCATCTTCCATATCTATCAAAGTCTTGGGAGGTTGCAGATTTACTGGTCTCCTCGTCTTCTTTGTACTATTAGCACCTATCCTTTTGGAGATATGCTATCTGTTTTACAAGCTGTTTAAAGGCATCAGTTCTTTATATTTATATCAGACTGCTTTTCTATTGAATCCCAAAAGCAAATCCGCATCTCTAACAAACTGCAGGTGGCAGGAAATTTATATATCAGATTATTTTTGCACGAAAATTGGGAAGTTGTCCCGGATCCAGCATTTGCCCCTTGAGGATAAAATGGTTTATCATTGTACACGCTCGTTAGCAATAACATGTTACATTAATGCCATGGAGCAGTTGGAAATGTGTTCCATCTACTCTGTCAAAAGCACAGAAAAAGTGCCGATTAGTGCAATTAATTTAGCTAGCCTATGATCTTCTCTTGACTTTTGTAAACAAGTACAAAGATGGAAGACATGAAGCATTGGAGAGCTGGACATGTCTAATGATAAACATGGAGACAAGTCAGAGTTTGTTAAGATATCCCAAGTTAATATCCTATGCAATTTTAGATCTAATTGTCTTTATCATTGTGCTGGGAAGAAGCAAAAGGTGATTTGTATAAATATTACATAATGGGACAACATTATCTTTTGGATATGCCTCTCAAATTTCAGTGCTTACTCATGTGATATATCTTTATTTATATTATAAAAATTATTCAGGAAATCATGTGATTTATCGATAAAATATTAAATTATTTATTTTATCAATCAAGGTTCAATTATTAAAAATTTTATGTAAAAAAAAAAACATAATATCAAACAATAAATACCATCCATGTTAACGTTTTATCTGCAAAATATTGATAATAGTTGCAATATGATTAGAGTTAATTTTTTAGGTTAGAAATTACCAACAATTACCAATTGAAGTTTATGGAAATCAAACAAGGTTCTTGTTCTAATTATAAGTGGATTTTTTTTTTGGCAACTTACATTCTAATTGAATTGAATTTTCTTTACTTTCTTCATTTTTTTTTTCTTAGAAAAGAAATTAAATATTATCTTTGACCAATCATATACAAGAGGAGTGACAAGTGACAACTAAACAAAGTTTGGATTGTTGAGCAGTGATGGTGCCACAATAATAATTTTTTTTTGAGTGGTTTGTATAAATTTTGTAAAAAAAAAATTTATTAAAAATATTAAATTAAAATCGATATATAATATAATTTATAATATATTTAATATTTATAAAGTTAACAAATAATTAAAAATTCATAAAATTATTTTATATCAAATAATAATTTTGTTAAAATTTACTTAACAGGGTAACATTTGCTCACTTGATTATTTAGGGTCAAGTTTTATTATTAATTAATTGTTATGTATATATTTTTTATATTTATGTAATTTTTTATTGAATAAGTATTTCGATCATAAATTTCAGTATTGTTTATGCTTCGATTTATATAATTATTTTTATTAAAAAATTATGCATTTACATATCTTTAAAAAATAATATTTATATGATTAAGGATCCAGGGGAAAATCCACTCTCCTATATAGAATTGAAAAATGAAAAACAAAAGGCTATTAACCCGAGCTAATGATACTTGATTTAAGCACAAGTTGCAAACCCACTAGTTTCATCAATTAAAGTAAGGTTTAGATTAATACTGAGTTGCTTTTTCAATAATAATAATAATAATAATAATAATACTGAGTTGCCCATGCCCACCATCAAATGACAAGTTGCTTCAGCTTCAATTTTTTCTTGTCTTCACGTTCAAAAGTCACAACTTTTTTTTTTTTAAGAAAAAATTTAAAATAAATCGTACATTCAAAATAATTTTAATAAATTTAAATATTTTTATAAAAAAAAAATTTTAACCAACTAAATCAATAATAAAATCACAGCTTCATGAGCCAATTCGTTCATTTATTCATTCATTATTCTATTCTTTTAGACAGAACATTATTGCAACAGGTGATGGATCATGGATCCGTTTTCTTTTGTTGATCATCTAAAACGTCTCTTTCTCTCTATCTAAATTTGGATACAAAAGTCTCATGTTGCTCGTCATATCTGTGTCTGTTTCTTCTAGTTTTGATGTCATCCCTGCTGTTAGCTCCCTCTTTCTTTTTTTATTTTTTATTTAAAATAAAAAAACCTTTTTGAATGATTATACTATCATGCTTTGTGGCTTGTAATTTTTTTTTTTGGTCGGTGTTGGGTTTATTAAAAACAAATCAACTTAGAAAGGTGCAGTTAACGTGGGCGCAAAACCCATGGAACCAACCAAGATCTATCCCCAAGTTTCCAACTTGGTTTTGTGGGCAAAAAACCAAGCGCATCCTTTTTTCAAAACTATCAAGTTTCACCTACTCTCTTTGACCTGTGATAAAAAAAGCTCACAAAAGTCAACTAATGCATATTGCCCAGTTGTTGTCTCTATCTCCGACTGAAAGCTACGGATGATGAATTAGTGATATTTAACTTATGAAGCTGGAATAGAAAATGTCAAAAGCTTGTGTTCAAAAGGTAGGAAAGAAAGAGAGAAAAGTTGAAATGTGGCTTCCTTCTGGAAGGGTAGTTTAAGAAAATAAAGACTGATGTTAAGAAAAGGAGTTCAATTGATGTAGAATAAAATGATATTGAAAATGGGTTTCTTTTTGAAAGCTGAGTTAAGGAGATTTTGATATGGAGAGAGAGAGAGAAAGAGATGAGTTGGTCGGGATGCTGAAAGATGGAGTAGATAGGAAGTGGGAAGAATGTTCAAAAGAGGAAAACCATTTATTGTGTATAAACATATTTTGTAGCTGAAGTCAACTGAGTAGTATTTCTCTCAAGAATAAAGGGTGTCATAGCAATAGCTACAATTTTGTACCAATTTGGTGTGATGGAAGGTGTTTTTGCTCTTTTCTTCATCTTCTCCAACTTGCTGTTGATTCCACATCCCTCCTCTTCTTTTCCTTTGTGCACAAATTCTGGTAAGTTCTGCACCTAAAATTGGAAGTTGTTTGTTTCAGTTTCATGGAGTGATTAACCATTGTTATTTTTTTTTATATTTCTCCACTTATCTACCTGAAGTACCTTCTTTTTTTTTTTTCCTCGATTTTGTTTCTGTGGTGTAGAGGCACCTCTTACCTTGAACACCACATTGAAATTTTGTTCCTACAATGGAAGCAGCTGCTGCAACTCCACAGAAGATTCACAATTGCAGAAGCAATTTGAAGCTATGAACATCTCTGATCCCAGCTGTGCCTCACTTCTGCAATCAGTCCTCTGTGCAGTAAGACTTCATTTCTTCCATTATTTATTAAAGCAAAGAACTTGTACTGGTTTAATGCTTGATTCATGAGATTTGTTGTAGCCATCTAAAATGAAGCAAGTATTCTGCATATTGGGATGATTTTTTTCCTTATAGTTTTGAGTCAAAGTATTCTGCACTGATGGAAAATTGGAATATGAGGTTAAAATTACCTTTTAAAGATTGCATTATTTGCCGGTATATGGCTGTAGCTATAGGTTTCAAATCTCCTTTCCAATTATTGCTTGATCCCTCAAGCACAACAGAAATGACCATTTTCCGGAAATCTATAAGTAAAAGAAACCTACCATATGAGATTGAATATAGCTCTTGTTTTGTTACTTATTACTGTCTCTAATCAGTCCTCTGAGAAGGTTTTACCAAGTTTACTTCCTTTTATTATGATTTTCAGAGATGTGATCCATTTTCAGCAAAGTTATTCACAATTGATTCTGTGCCCCGAACGGTGCCTATCCTCTGCAACTCTACTGTTTCAACAAATTCATCTCAGTCTAACCAAGCAACAAACGATTTCTGCTCTAAAGCATGGGATAAATGTCAGAATGTATCTATATTAAATTCCCCCTTTGCACCTTCATTACAAAGGCAAGCTGGAGCACCTGTCAATTCGAATTTCACCAAATTGACAGAACTTTGGCAGTCAAAAACTGATTTCTGCAATGCCTTTGGTGGAGCATCTACTAATGAATTGGTTTGCTATGATGGCGAACCTGTTACACTAAATAAGACCGGAACTCCTAGTGCTCCACATGGTTTATGCCTTGAGAAAATTGGGAATGGAAGTTACTTGGATATGGTTGCTCACCCTGATGGATCAAATCGTGCATTCTTCTCCAATCAACCAGGTAAGATTTGGTTGGCGACTATTCCTGAAGTGGGATCGGGAAGAACATTGGAGCTTGATGAATCCAACCCCTTCATAGATCTTACTGATGTAGTTCATTTTGATACTACATTTGGGATGATGGGTATTGCATTTCATCCAAACTTTGTACAGAATGGCAGATTCTTTGCCTCATTCAATTGTGACAAGGTTACATCACCAGGATGTGCCGGAAGATGTTCATGTAACTCAGATGTGAACTGTGATCCCTCAAACCTAGGTTCAGACAATGGTGCCCAGCCATGCCAGTATCAGAGTGTTATTGCAGAATATACTGCCAACAATTCTGCAACCCAGCCTTCCTCGGTACACGTCTTTACACACTCAAAACTTATTTTTTTTAGTTCCAGGATTCTAATTGAATTATACCATTTTCAGGCAGAAAATGCTAATCCATCAGAAGTGAGAAGGATATTCACTATGGGCCTTCCTTTTACTTCTCAACATGGTGGACAGATACTTTTTGGTCCTAGAGATGGGTATCTATACTTTATGATGGGCGATGGTGGCGGTGGTGGTGATCCATACAATTTTGCCCAGAACAAGAAATCGGTGCTTGGAAAAATCATGAGGCTTGATGTAGATAATATACCAAGTGAGTACCAGTTTCAAGTGCTTTATAACTACAATTAGTTGCTTTGCTAGTTGGCATTTTCTGCTGCCTATTGCAGATATTCTTTTTATATGTTCTCCAACCCTTCTTTCTTTTAGACTGCACCATCCATAAATCAAGTTCTGCCCATGTACAAGTCTTGTGGAAACCTATTGATCTCCATTTATTTTGAAAATGGAGGCAATTAGAAAGTTTCAAAAACTCTGTATATATGGCATTCATGATAATCAAATATCTAGTTATTTCTGTCAGTGGATCAGCATGATTAAACTTGCATGATTCAGGTGCTTGTCATTCATTTGAACTGACACTCAATATGTGGTTCCAGGTGCAGCAGAAATTAATAGACTTAATCTATGGGGAAACTACTCTATCCCCAAAGACAATCCATTTAGCCTAGATGAAGAGTTACTGCCTGAAATATGGGCTTATGGATTAAGAAATCCTTGGCGCTGCAGTTTTGATTCAGAGAGGCCTTCCTATTTTATGTGTGGGGATGTTGGCCAGGTTTGACTTTTCTCTTCTGTATATCAGTCAACCAAAATAGTGTATTTGGATTAAAAAAATCTAGGCCCTCTATGCTTCCATTGTTCCTTTTCATTCAAGTTTAAGAATGAGAACTCTGCATGTTAAAGTGGCGTTCCCCTAAACCCTGCTCTGGGTTTTCAGTTTCATTATTTTCAATTTCCAAGTGAATGCTCCATAAAGGAGACATCTAGCAATCCTCTTAAATTTTTTGTTTCCCGGCCTTTTGTCTTAACCATCAAATGAAGAGAAATTAATTAGTCAATCCTGCGTGGTGTGATTTTCTTGCAAACTGTTTGATGTTAGATCATTTTGAAGTTCCAACAATGCCTTTGACTTTAATCTGTTGTTGTGGTTAGGAACTTAGGATTAAATGTGGTATTTGATTACCATAACCGATGTCTTTGTTTCAATGAGATATGTAATATGTATGATCAAATTCTGAATTTAGAAAGTTTTTGTCAGTTTTGATAATTATAAATTTATAACCCTACAGGATTTGTACGAAGAGGTTGACATCATCAGCAAGGGCGGAAATTATGGTTGGCGTGTTTATGAGGGCCCATATCTTTTCAATCCAACATCATCACCTGGAGGGAATACATCTGCAAATTCCATAAGCCCCATTTTCCCAGTTATGGGATACAATCACTCTGAAGTAAACAATGAAACAGGATCAGCCTCAATTATGGGAGGCTACTTTTATCGGTCTAACACCGATCCTTGTATGTATGGAAGGTAGGTAACCTTTATTCATTGACCTATAAGAAAAAGAACTAGATGTTTGCACACAAGTTCTCTTGAAACGTTAAGTTTCCTTTTGTTTGTTTTTTCAGGCAGCTGAGCCCATCAAACTCTTCATCATCTCTGATTAATTCTTGCTAACGCGTGTGTGTTTTTCAGGTACTTGTATGCAGATTTATATGGTGGTGCAATATGGGCGGCAACTGAAAACCCAGAAAATAGTGGCAACTTTTCGACTAGCTCCATTCCTTTTGGTTGTGCAAGGGACTCTCCTATACAATGCACCACTGTGCCAGAAAGTGCCCTTGCAGCGTTGGGTTACATTTACTCATTTGGGCAGGACAATAGCAAAGAAATCTACTTGCTAACCAGCAGTGGTGTTTATAGAGTTGTGCCCCCGAGTCGATGCAATTACACTTGCTCAAAGGAAAACGTTACTGCAGTTTCAAGTCCAAGTCCTACTAGTCAACCACCATCACGTGCAAACCAGTTGAGTCCGACAAAAGTCCTACTATCTGCTTTGTTGCTGCTTTTCCTAGCTGTTGCCTAACATTTCTTAACGGCTTTATGTATTGACCAGATTATTGTTCTGTAAAACGCTCTGTTTTTTTTTTTTGTTTTTTGGCTCAATAAAAGAGTTGTATTAATTGCTTTAAAATTATCTATTTTCGTCAATAAAAATGTTTACCAACATCTATTCTTTTATGTATATATATAAATAGATAGATTAAAGATTATAAATAAATTATAAAATATTGCTTAGGTTTTTTTTTTTTTTTTTCCAAATGAGGTTATAGGATGCAAAAAATGATTGTAACATGTTGAAATTTGAATTTCACCTTTTAAAAGTATTTACATAAATTAATTAAATTATGTTTTGGGTTTATATATATATAAGTTATTTTATTAATTATTATTATTGAATTTTTTATAAATATTGGAAGGCTAATAGTTGCATGACTTGTTGATAGAATATTAGATTATTAATTTTAATAATAAAATTTTAAATAGTGACAACTTCATATACCAAAAAATATATATATATATATTGCATTAAATAGTGGAAAGAGGGGGTGTTTGATTTGGCCCATGTAAAAACTTTTGCTTCGATAAAAAGTGTACATGTTCCTACATCTTTCCATTGAGTTCAATTTTTTTTTTCCAAAACTATAGTTTTCATCATCAACATATAAAATCCTACCATAAGTACAAATTTATCCATGGATTGGAGTGCTTGTCAAACCTGATTGAAGTCGAATTTTGAACAAAATTTTTTTCAACTTAAGCACGGACTTAATATTTATTTTTTAATCTTAAAATATATTTTAAAATATTAATATAAAAATAAATTTTAAATATTTAATTAATATTTTAACACAAGTAATGAGCTAAAACCAAAATAAATATTTATAGATAAATCTGATCAAATCTTGAACAAAATAAGTGTCGATCAAGTTTTTTACCCAACCCAATTCGACCAGTTTAAGGGTTTGTTTGGATTTCACTAAAGCATTAATACAGCGTCATTGCACGTTTTTTCTTTTTGCAATCGCACCATTCAATGTTGTTTGGATAGCATGCAATATAGTTTTTAATTGCACTGGAGCATCAACTTTTTACTGGAGCAAAAAGGTTTTGTGAGCAACTGCACCGATCCTTTTTACTGTTCTACCCTGTTTTCTCTTCATTTATTTTTTTTATTTTTCATGTTATTATTATTTTTAATTATTTAAATGATAAATAAATATTGTTAATTTTTTAAAATTTGTAATTTATTTTTATTTTTACTTAAATATTTTTAAATTATTTATGTTTATGAACTCTCTCATTATTTATATAAAAAGAATTTAATTTTTTAATTATTTATTAATATTATAAATATCAAATAATTAAAAAAATTTTATTGCACATAAATCTTAATATATGTCTTTAATAGTCATTTTGTTATTTCACTATACTTAATCTTACCATTATCATTATGTTTGTATTCAAATATATATTTTATCACCAATTTTAATATCATAATTACAATACTTAATCTCATTAATTAATTTCACCAATGTTATTGTTTTTAATTTTATTGTTTATCTAAATAGATCTTAAAGCTCTATTTAAATGGATGGTAAAATTGATTATAATGAAATTAAAATTAATAATAATTATTATTATAATTATAATTAAAATTTTTTATTATAACTAAGATTGGAAAAAAATTAAATAAAAATTTTATACCAAATAAATATCACTAAATTTTATGGTATTATTGAATTCAAATATTAATTTTTAAAAAAATTTATTTAATATAATTTTTTATCAAATTTATTTTTTAATTATAATTATAATAATAATTATTATTAATTTTAATCTCATTATAATTAATTTTACTTTCCATTTAAATGGAAGTTAAATCACATCACAACTCGAGTGCGATGAGATTCACCTTTCGAACGGAAGTTAATTGAACTAGTCACATATTTCGGTGTCTTGACTTCGAGGCAGTAACAACAACTGCAATATATCAAGTCCCAGTTGTGCACCCTAGGACAGAACCTCCAATGGCTAACCCAGATTTTTTTTTTCTCTTTTTTTCGTGGACTAGAAGAAGGATTTATCTTGGCTCGCAAGATTTTTATTAGATAAAAACTTTTGTGTTGAGAAATTTTTTATTTTTTATTTGATTTTTATTTTAAAATTGTGAAATAATAATAATAATATTATTTAATATAATAAATATATTTTACTATTATATAATAAATTAATAAATAATGAACTAATAAATAATAAATTTTATTCTTTTGTAATAAAAAAAAATAAATATTATTATATAAAATTTTAGGGCATTATTTTATTAATTAACAAAACATAAATACATAAAATAATAAAAAAGATAAAAAAATATTATTTGATATATTACTATTATTTTTATTAATTTTTAATTATTTATTAATAAAATTATTATTTAACATAAAATAATTTAATATTTTTTAATTATTTATTAATTTTATAAATATTAAATAATTTAAAACTTCGACTTAAATTCACATTTTAATCTAATATTTCAATAATTATTTTTTTCTCATTATAATTTATCTCATCATCACCATTATTTTTATATCAAAATTTTAATTTTACTCCTACAATAATTAATTTTTATTTTCAATATTTGAAATAATATAATTTTTATAAGAATTTATGGGTGGCAAATATTCAATCTCAACTCCAATGTTAAACAAATTCACACCACAAACAAATTAACTTAATCACTGTAGATTTAAGTTACTAGTTGACATTACATATGTAGATCAATGTTATTATGTTAGCATTAAAAAAATTTACTAACCATCCAAATACCATTATGTATAATAATTAAATAATGTTTTCAAATGAATATATTTACATATTTTCTTTTGGATCGTTCAAATAGTAGATATTTAAAAATAATAATGATAATAATAATAATAATAATTTAATTTAATTTTAAAAATAATTATATAAATTAATTTAATTAATATTTAAAAATTTAAAAAAAAAGTTGCATATTTCAATGGATAGTAAAGTTGGTGAAAATTTATTACGGGGAAACTAAGTACGCCCCTAAATTTGGGTTGTATATATTGTAATGAATGGAAAGAGGGTCTGTCTATATAGGAAACAAGAGAAACCTTTATACAATCAACAAATTTAACCAAAATTAATCAAATAAAAAAAATTATTGAAGTAACCCAACTTGTCAGTTGTGCGCAAGACAAGTGAATAGAATTTAAAACTCTAATTTAAAAATTATAAATTAAAAGGATGAAACAAAGACTGACTCAAACCCTTGGTTTTGCAAAAGGGAAAATTCAAAAGAAAACCCAGCAAAATAAAAAAAAGAAAAAGAAAAAGAAACTAAACATAATTTACCCAAGGTTAAAAAGTAAAAAGTAAAAATAGTAAACCCCAACTTCGTACCACATGCCCAGGTATTGTCGTCCCCCTGGTTTTCTTCCCCCAAATCCCTCTGCCTTTCCTCCCAATCCCCATCCTCGCTCGGCTTCCTCCTTCCTTTCCATCCAACCAAACAGAAAATTCCCCCAATATAAAAAAATATTTATATTAATTAATATTAATATATGATGAAAAATAGAAGTGAATGAATGAAGGATGGTTTGGACCTTTGCTTCTCCTTTCTTCTTCACTCCTCTTAACCCAAACAAACCTCCATCATTAAACACATCCTAAATTCTTTTTTTTTCCCTCTTTTTCTTAATTTTTTAAACTTTGATTCTGATCCTGATAATAATAATAATATTGTTATTATTATTATTATTATTATTATTATTATTATTAATTCCTTTCTCCCTATCTTTCTTCGGAATGCGAATCTACTACGCTTAGTCCCACCGTAACTACCCTAAAGCCTTCAGCCCGATCTCCCCCTTTTCCGCCATGTCCCTCGATTCTTCCCCTTCCCTTCCGATCCCTCTCGACCCACCTCAAAACCACACCTTTCCTGCCCAAAACGACAGCCCCACTACGCAAACCCCGGAATCCACCACTGACGCTAACGCAACGCTAACGCCGACCCCTCCCTTAACGAGGAGCAATCGCCCCTCGCGGGCTTGTACAATCCGAGCCGCTCAACGGCTCTACGAGAAGCAACAGCAAGCCGCGATTGAGCGGCGGCAGAAACCGGCGAAGAAAGAGCAGCAGCACCACCAATATCAGCAGCAGAAGCAACACAAGGACGAAAATGATGGTTCTTCGTCGCCGCAGCAGCAATGCAGCGGTATTACCAAGATCGTTACTCCTCTAGTGGGGCCGCCGGAGCCATCGCAGTTGCCTAGGTGGAACATTCGGTCTATGTGGGAGTTAGCTTCAGTACTTAATTTCTTGCATGTAAGCTCAATTCCTTGTGTTGTGTTGTTTTTATTTATTCATTATGAAGCTTTGGTTTTTGTTGGGAACTAATGGGTTTTGAGTGTAATAGGTTTTCAGGCCGCTTTTGAACATAGCTGTGGAGTTCTCGGTGGAGGAGCTTGAGACAGCTTTGATTACACCTAATGATACTTTGGGAGATATTCATATTCCTTTGTTAAAGGTTGCTTCTTTTTCTCTTCAACTCTTAAAAAGTTTGATTTTATTTTTGGCTGCTTTAAAACTTACTTTTCCTGTATGTGTTTTTTTTTTTTTTACATGGTTATTGGCATTACTTTAGTCCTTATTGAGGCAATGTGTTCTTTTTAGAGTCTGACTTTTCGTTTAGCAATATATTTATTAGTTTGAATGATATGCAAGAGTATAAAATTTTACTAAGTACTTTGAAAGTGGTAGCGCATGTGTTGGATGTTTATAGAATCTATCTTGAATTATGGCTGTCTTCAGTTAAGAATTTAATGTCCTTAGGAAATTATTGGAATGCAAGTCTTTTCATGGGATGTTGTTATAGGAGCTTTTTTGCTTTTATATTCAAGTGCAATGATTGGGCTCTTTGAGAGCTGTAGCTATTGATGAATCCCAGGAAATCATTGTATAACACATAAATCGACTTTTTTCCCCTGGAAGGTGATCTTCATCTTCTTAGGTCTCTGATTTCTTATATTGGCTGAATGAAGTTAAAAAGAACTTGGAAAACAGTTAAATGAACAAGTTGTATAACACATAAATCGACTTTCTTCCCCTGGAAGGTGATCTTCATCTTCTTAGGTCTCTGATTTCTTATATTGGCTGAATGAAGTTAAAAAGAACATAGAAAACAGTTAAATGAATAAATTGTCTCCTTTGGAATATTTATGATTCAGGTGACTCTATATGTTCTCACATGAGAAAAACTTGATTTTTCGTCAAAAAGGTTGAATTTTGAATGTATTATCAATTGAAACCCTTGAACACAAGATATTGTATCTTTACCGGAGCATTAAATTAAAGAATTGAATTGTTTATTTTCTTGAGTTATGATTTAGAAAACAACCTAATGAATTAATCTTTGTGCTTTCTTGGTTGAATTTTTGGGTAAACTTTTCAATGATCTAGAAACAGACAAGAAAAAGGGAGTCTTGAGTTTTTTTTCTTTTTTGGGTGTCATATGCTTTTAACCACTTCTTTCTTTTCCCCTTTTAGACCTGAAATGATTTGCATTCAGACTTTTATTGTACTATTAAACTCTTATATGGTTCTGAGCATCAGTGTATATAGCTATGGAGAGCCTTCAGGCATTGACTGCATCAGTCTTTTTGTACAAATGATTAAATTCGGTAACCCATCTTATTCACTTATGGCCTTTTGGTACCACTTCCAGTCCAAATCAGCTGCTGTTCCGGGGCTTCTGGCAGATGCCTGAGTATGGTGAAACATCAAGAAAGAAAAAATGATGTCATGCAATGGTTCTGTTTAGGTTATGTTTTTTTTGGCGAATTTATGACTAGATGACATATTGGATGTTTGTAAATGAGATTCATACTTTTATGGAAGCAAACATGGTGAAATGTATGATTGCTTTGAACAATGATATCAAGAGTTAATAAGTGGATGGTAGGAGCTTCGATGAGTTTTATATTATAATCCAATGTTTTCCATAGGTGTGATGGCTTCACTGATTCACTATAGAGTTTTCTCGAAAGGCTTGTGGATGGCTTCATGTATGAAAAGTAAAGACGTTCAGTGATGCTAAGTAGTTGTTAGGTAGGCTCTATTGTTGGTAACTGAATTAAATTGCCAGTAATATATTCTAAATCCTAAACTATGTTCATCTTTGTAGTTGGACTGAAATTGTTTATAAGTGGTGGTAGGTTGTGTAAATTATTGGAACCTCATCACATGTAAGTCAGCTTGGTTCTAATATATATCATTTCTATAGTTCCTGGCTGCCAGCTGCCTGGGTTTGGTTGCCTGCAGTACTTGTGTCTTCCATTTGTGTATAAGACAGTTTTTTGTGGCAAAATGTGCATAAGAGATTTGTATGTTTGTGCAATTCAAGCATTAAAAGGATATACTGTGCTCTCAGAATGAAATGAACCCTAAAGCATTATGGCTGTTTACACTTGTTTGTGATTAGAGAAAAGAATTGTAGGTTACTTTTAATGTTAATTGTCTATGTATTTGTTGGCTAAGAAGTATTTACGATTATAAATGGGACTTACTTAATGTATGATGCTGATTTCTGTTGAATTTGTTAATTTCAATGGCTTGCTTGAAATCTACTACATTAAAAGTATCATCACTTGTTTTTGCAATTACAATGGCTTAATAATATAATCTATCGCAGGCAATCCCTCCAATTACTAGGATGGCCCTTACACGGGATACCTGGGTTACTGTTCTTTGCAAAAAATTAAGGGACTGGTGGCTTTGGGTAACTTGACCTCTCTAGTCCTTTTATTTGTGTTTAATAATATTGCGGAATACACAGCTTACAAATATATTTAGACAATATTCATATAAATTCTGCATTTTTGCAGGTTGCAGATGGGGATCTTCCCATTGTTGCTGCACACGGGTGAGTTGCCATGCATCTTTGGATTGCTTTAACTTTTAATGCTTTTATTGTTTCTAAATGAATACTAATTTGTTAGGGTGGAGGTTGAATTATACAAGTCACTTGATCCTGGAGTTCGTGTTGTGATCTTGAAAGCGCTATGTGACATTCGTGTTGAGGTATGATCATCATCAATAAATTGTCTTTTAACTCTTGATTGTAAACGCTTGATGCTTCTCTTATCTTGATCTCGACTTTGATTTCCTGTTAATATTATATTATAATTTTGAGGGTAGCATCAAGTCTATTCATGTAATATTGGTGGCACTAATATTTATGTTTGCAGTTATTTCAAATGAGTCCTGAGTGGCAGAATTCCTGTAGCTAAGGATGGGATACTTTGGATATTTGGACACCACTTGACCTTATCTGGGACCTGCAGTACAGTTGCATTTTATTAACCATTGATGCACTAACATGCTGGTCTATACAGTTTTTTCTATACATTTTTCACAGTTGTTGTCATGTATATGAAGGCTTCCTTCTCTTTTAAAACCTCACATTAAAAAAATTTTGCTATCAACCTAAGCAAATAAATAGCTTATCCTTAGTTCCTTACAATGATTTTTAAATATAAATGTCTTAATTTTCTATGTTGTTCTGATAGACTCATTATGGATAAGTTATGCAACTTTTTCTCTATTGAATGGTTGATTAATTGGAGATATGTATTTTTTTCTTTTCCAATTCTATGTGATCTTAGGTCATATTTTCAAACTAATGTTATATCTTTGGAGCTTGCTCAGAGATGTGATATCTGTTATTCTGTGTTTGTGCTTTTTTCTGTAAATCTATTGTTTCGATTAGTGAGGGAGTTGAATCCAAGTGATCTTTTTCAGCAAGAAGACATCCGGAACTACATTGACAACTCAATTAAACATGGTGTTCAACTTTCAGCCTTTCGTAAAGAACGTATTGGAGGTGATTCTCAGGGAATTAATTACTGGTAATGTCTCTGGGCTTATTGAAAAGCTTCAACTAAGCTTCTATATGTTTCCTCCTTGTTTCTTCCTTATTTTGAGTGTTGCACTTGGTAAAGAATTTATATTAGTTTTTTGTTGTGAAGATTTTCTGCTGGGCGTTATTGTGTAAGCTATTTGTTTGTTGTTTGCACAGGTATGAGGATGATCCAGTCATTGGTCATCGCTTATACCGGGAAATAAGGAAAGTTGAGTTGAAGAAAGCAAAGATGAAAGGTTCCCATGTCCCTAATAGTGCAACATATCTGTGGGAAACAGTTGCAACAAATTTGGAAGAATTTCAAGAAGTTTCTGTAAGTTGCTTTAATGGTCCGTCCTTGCGTATGTTTTCTGTCTGTGGATAATCTTCACCTTTAATACTAATTAAGATTGTCTTAACAAATTCCCAGTAAATCATTTTCCAATGTTTGAAATTTATACATAATTCTATATATAAACACAGCAATCTATGATGTTTCAAACTGGGATGTAAAAGTCTGCCTATTTGCCTTGTTCTGAAATGGAGCTTTGATACATTCATGTTGTATGTATATATATATTTACACACACAGAGACACATGAGTAGGGATCCCCTTACAATAGTGTAAGAGTTAAACACTTTTGTGATCCTTGGATCAAAATTAAATCCATAACACTTATGCTTAGCCATTTTGATCCAAGGGTCAAAAAAATGTGTAACTCTTACACTAGTGTAAGTGGATCCCTCCTCTCTCTCTCTCTCTCTCTATATATATATATATATATATATAGACATGCACCCAGAGTTATGCTGCATTAGTTGAACTGCATAATACATGTGTTATTATGAGTTCATATACTGCTCCATAATGTCAAAAATTAGAGAGCTTGCTTTTGAGCAGTGTTTTGTTGAGTTTTCATGGTTCATTACATTTGATGCTCCTTAAAAGTTGATGGGATTTAATAGAAAACGGCCAAATGGATTCATGCACCATAATGTCTATCCTCAAGGCAAACTTGGCTGAAGCATGGACATTAGACCATATTGTTGCTCTTTCCTTTAACATGGCTCAAAGAGCAGTATCTGGACCTAGTATGTGTCTTTGTAGCCAACTCAACCTTCAGAGTAGGCAGGATGTACCAAATCATAATGTTGTTTGTATAAGGTAGGAACACTCAGAACATCACCCTCCACAATGATGTCATGTTGTCCCTATCATCTAGCTGAAGGCAAACTATTCGATACAGTGGCAACCTCTATGAGCGGGGTCTATGAAAACTGGTTTTTGGAGTAACATTGCAATGGCAAATTGTGAGAAGTGGTTAAGGGAATTCCTGCTGACAATGAGAAAAGATATTGAAATTTAGGAGCTATGTTATTGAAGTTTTAACCTACTAACCTTGAAGTGGTTTGGAGTTCACTAGAGCTAAGGAATAGCCACTAGAGATTACAGATGGATGATGCTTTAAACAATGGCTTTAACAATATGGAGCAGGGCACTAGGTGTTTGGTTGATTGCATGGGTTTCAGAAGAGTATGTCTGTGATTCTTCGTACTTCCAAAGTTAGAAATGAGGTAGGAAGCAGGCCACGTATCATTTTATTGGATGCTGTTTTCAGGCATGTTTACTGTGGCTCCTTATTCTCCCATTGCTGTTTTTGCCTTATTTGAAGGCAATAACAAACATAATGATGATAGTATTCTGATCTACAACAAATTCAAGTTGATGAGTTACATATCTACCTTGCTATGTCTAAAATTGCTGAGAAGTTTCATTCTTCATTTATGTACTTGGTGAGTATTATTGTTATATAATTAAAGATGCCATTATCCAGCTTTGATCCATGCATGTCAGTAGTGCTGAAGTTCCCAGTAGTTTACCTTCGCAGATTTTTTGGAGGGGAATCATAACAAAATGGTTCTGATTGAGAGAATTAATCTCATTGTCTGAATAGCTTGCATTGCCCACCACTTTCTCTAGACCTTCAAGTTATAATGTTAAATTGTTGTCATTAGCAAAATCTTTAGTGGCATTTGTTATGATGTGGTCAACATGTAAAATTTATTGTCATATGGAACTTTGGATGACAAAGATATTCCATCCACCTACTTGTGATGAAGTGAATATTTTTGTGTATCTTAAAAGTTGGTTGCTATTTGCTAGAAATGCAAAGTTTTTATTATTTGATACTATGATTCATATTATCTTGTCCATCTGCTGCTGCAGGAGAAACTTTTTGCCAGTAAAAATAGAACGGAGTCTTCACTAGGGAAGAAGTTAAAGAATGACATGCTTCCTGAGATTGAAAAAGAACACAAGGTACCTAAAAGTTGCTTCTTGTCATTAAGCAGCACAACTGTTACTCTCTCTCGAGGTAAAAACTGTTTCTTAATCCAATTCTTTCTATTGGTTCAGAGAAAGGAGAGGTTACTGAAAAAACAACATAGACAAGCTCTTCTTCTTAATAACTTCTTGGTTGTTGATGGGCTTGCTCCAGGACGCTCACTTCGTGACAGAAAACCTGTCACTTACACATTTGGTAAGGAACATCAAAGTCCAACATGCCTTCTTTTTCACTGGATTTTTGCTGTGTTAATTACAAAAGTTTTCCAGTGGTTTTTGGTTCCTAGCCATAAATATGGGCAGAATTAATATCAACTCTATGATACGAAGTAAATTTAAACTGACTTATGTTGGTACCATTAGCATTCAGATTCTTGGTGAATGATTGTATCAGAGCTGATATAGTTTCTTATGGTTTTGCAGATGATTATGATCGGTCAATAAATGAGGCCATTAAGATTACCAAGTATGTATAACCTAGACATATTCCAAAACCCTTTGATTATATATATATATATATATATATATATATATATATTTGTAGGGATCCACTTGCATTGGTGTGAGTGTTACATACTTTTTTAACATTTGGATCAAAATTAACTCTGTAACACTTATACTTAGCCATTTTGACCCAATGGTCAAAAAAATGTAGCACTTACACTAGTGTAAGTGGATCCCTCTTCCATATATGTATGTGTATGTTTTATATATATATATATATATATATATATATATATTTCCTTGTGATCTTCTGTGCTTGTATTTTCTGCTCTTGATATAGTTTCTCACTGTTGACTATCTGTCAGGCGGAAACCACCATCACCAGATCCCCTCAATGTAAGAGATGTTGCCAAGCCTGAACCTTCTGCAAACGGTAAATTGAGTGGTCCTTCACATGCCTCTGAACAGGACAATGACATCCTACTGTCCCCCAAATCACCCGAATATGATGATTTTGATGATAATAAATCTGGGGAATTGGATCGTAGGTATGATAAATTTCAACTGCTGTTAAGGCATTGTCATTGTAAAAATTTGATCTAATTTTTATATGATCATTTGTAGCAATCGGCGGAGGCAGAGACCTCAACGATATTCAACGAAGGAGTTTGTTGAAGCTGTTTCAGATAACGAGGCAGACTTTGACAGTGATGATGATATAGTTGGAGAAGCTATATATGATGAGGAATACCTGAGAAAACGAAAACGGAGAAGGCAATCCAGCAGCTCAGAAGGAGATGAGGAATATGGTTGGGAAGAGGAAAATGCTGAAGAAGAGGAGGAAGAAGAAGAGGATTCCTTAAGTATCAGTGAGGACAGTGATGAGGGCCCAAAATTCAAGAAATTGCCAGGCCGCACTCGGAGAGAAACTAAATTAAGGTCAGTTGATGAGCTTCAGTCAGGTCTAAGACGTAGTAAAAGAGCCACCAGGAATCGTATTGATTATAGACAGTACGAGCTGTCAGAATCTGAAACAGAATCAAAAGCTGAAAAGTCTAATCCGTCAGATGAACACTCAGATGCAAGTGAGAATGAGGAGTATTCGGAAGGAAGTCAAGATTCCAATGGCAGTGATGATGACCAGGAAATGAACGTTGATCCACTCGTGGAAGTTGACTCCGAGACAGTACAGAAAGAGCAAAGCCAGCAACCTGAGCAATCAAATGGCCTTGGGCAAGATGAAGAGGTTGGTGTGCGAAAAAGACGCTTCCTTGACCTAAACGAGCTTGCTCCTGGTTCTGGTTTTGATGATGGTCCCAATACAATAATGAAAGATGATGACAGAGATGATTTCTAGAGCTTCCATCTCTGCTGAAGAGCAAGGGTTGTAATCTTCTCCTGGGGAAGCAAAGTGTATGATAGTAAAATTTATAAATTTTGCCATAAGCCTATGGAGGAATTTAGGGTCGGCATTCCTCCGAGGCTCTACACTACCTTGATGCAATTCATTCAGGGTTTGCAGCAGGGAAGCAACATGATGAGAGTTCTATAGATTAGGTAGTCATTTTTTAGCATGCCCACATTGAAAGAAACCTACAGGCAGGTCGATGGGGATTAGGGAATTCGTTCAGAGATCTTTAGCTTACCGATCAATGTACAATAACCTTATAACTAATATTGTAACTGTGAAAAAATTGGCTTTAGATGTCAAGCCCTCTAGTTTTAATCTTTTATCACCCTCTGCGCTTCTGGGTTGGTTGGATCCCACCGAAAGTATTATTGGGTTTTCTCTTCATTGTAATGGAACCATCCTCCCACAAAGGTATTAGGAGTTTTCTTACTCAAATTGCTGTGTAATATTCCTTTGTTTTAACACTCACCTTCGTTTCGGGATTTTGGTTACTTTATCTACTTTTGCATTTGTTAATGCCTTTTTTTCTTTTATCTTAGTGTAACCATCTCCCTTCAGGAAAATGAGGTTGATTTACCTCAACAATGAAGAATAACAAAGTTCAATTTACCCGTTCATTAGTTTTTCACTCTGTAAAAACTACCATAATTGTTATTACATTGTGCTGAATTCTGACATGTTTTTCCTGAACATCCATATTATGGTCAAGTTGCCTAAATAAACCTGCTTGTGTAACCACTACCCATTCTAATCACTAGATGAACGTGGTAAATAGAATTCCTTCTAATAATCACTGCATGAATCTGGAATCAGTAAAATTTTGTTTTGAAATCAATCTGGAACCTGGTTACATCATTGGTTCACTAAGGCTTCTCTGTCACATTGTTCTCTTGGGATTGAGCAGCATTTTCATTGGCAGGAACAGGATCCTCAATTTGCTTGGAAGTTGTTTCTTCCTGCTCTGCTATCTTTCTGTCTGCTTCTTTGTCTGCGGTCCTTTTGACAGCTTCTTCCTTGGCTTCCTCAAGAGCTTGAATCAAGCTTGAAAGACATTTCTCAACATTGTCTAACGGAGACTTGGGCATCAGGTTCTCTGCAACATCTGCAGGTGTGATGTCGGTCTCCTTCATCAAAGTATGAACTGCATCAAACATTGGATGAGTTTCCAGATTCAGATAATTCTTTGCAAGCACTTTGAATCCCTCAAACGTACAGTACGAAAGCTCAATATGTTTGTCCATCCTACCCCTTCTTATCAAAGCCGGATCGAGCTTCTCCACATAATTGGTGGTGAAGACGATCAACCTCTCTCCCCCGCAAGCAGACCAGAGTCCATCTATAAAATTCAATAGCCCTGAAAGAGTCACTTTGCTGCCGCCTTCTTCCTTTGGTTCTTTCCTCTCTTTATCCATCTTTTCCTTCTCATCTTCCGAAGGTTTCTCCGCTTTCTTCTTCCTTTGACCTGTAAGGTCAAGCGAGCAGTCTATATCTTCAATTACTATAATGGACTTACTGGTTGTCTCAATCAACAGCTTCCTCAGCTCTGTGTTATCCTTCACAGCAGTAAGTTCAAGATCATAAACATCATAATTCAACAAATTAGCCATTGCAGCAATCATAGTCGATTTCCCAGTCCCTGGAGGCCCATAAAGAAGATAACCTCTTTTCCAGGCCTTCCCAATCCTCGCATAAAATTCTTTACTCTTGCTAAAAGTCACAAGATCTTCAATAATCTCTTGCTTCCTATCTGGCTCCAACGCCATTGTCTCGAATGTTGCCGGATGCTCAAACACAATATGACTCCACATAGTCTGCTTATAGCTTGGCCACTTATATCCAGGACTATTGGTATAAAGCTTCCTCTGCCTGTTTCTCATCCTGATTTCCTTCCCTTCCTTCACCACATGTTCCAAGTACGCCCCAGTTATCATCTCCCTGTACCGCTTGTGAAATGTAAGCCTGTAATACCTTTTCTCCTGTTCCGGATAATATGACATAGGCCTGGTTGGTGACACAACTTTGCTTGCAACCCACCAGACTTTAGCACCTCTGAACTCATCCGTCACTCTCTCATACTCATCCATGCTCAGAACCAAGTTGGTACTATCTTTCCCCATCTCAGCTTTAAGCCTTTTTGCAGTCTTGGAAGAGTTGGCACTGAGATAAGCCTCAACAGCAACATATGCCTCACTGCGCTTGAGGTGATCTCCAGTGAACTCATGGATTGAAATCTTGACGTATGGGTAGAAAACCCCCATGATTCTCTGTGTATATTTTTCAAAGTAATAGCGTACCTCGTAAGGGCAATATTGCCGAACTATAGCCCACACGAACATGATGCTGGCAATGGTTGAGCCCAATGTTGTCCACATCTCAGTCATTGTTGAGGGCACCATCTTCCTCAGTTTTTCTTTGCTCTCTTTTCAGCTCTGGGCTTAATGCAAAATTCCTTTTTCTTTTCTCTTTTGTTTTTTCTGTAGCCCAAGGCAATGGCTGGCCTTTCTATAGGTTATATCTTTTGCTTTCTGTCTGGTTCTTTGGCTAATGAGTACTTGAAAAAAAAAATGTTAGAACAAGAGAACAAGAGTTGGTATATAAAATGACAAATGATTGCACGTTTTCAACAAACAAATTGTAGATGACGGGGAAAAAAAGATAAAATACATAAAAATGATGATAGAAAAAAATATTTTACTTTGTAAATATATTATTGATTAAATTTGGTAATTATGATATAATAATTTATATATTTTATATATATTTGACACAAAATAAATATATTATTTATTAAATTTATTATTAAAATATTATTAATTTGTTGACTTTGTTATTAAGATTTAAAATTATCATGTCATTTACTTATAATTAAATTATTACTTTAATTTTATCCGATATCTCAATTATTAGAATTTGAAATTTTTTTTAACGTGATGAGTATTTCAAAATTTTCACCAAGATTAAATCTTAATTTCCAAAAAACTTTTTTTCCTTAATTGCATTAATTTTTATATTTTTTTAAAATTTTTTTACTCAAACACAGAGATAAATGATAAAATTTATGAAATCCTCTCGCATAGAAAAAAACAAACTACTGTTCTTTGGATTTAGTTTGAAAATTTTGATTGATGTGGTCCAAATTTGATCGGTGAGGGTGTCAAGGGCATGAGTGTGAGTGGAGAGGGGTCCTAAAAAGTCAGAGCCTAGGCCTAGGATGATCAATCAATCAAGTCAAGCATTTAAAGAACCATCGACTTTGATTATTGAGTTCTAAACCAATATATGGGTCCTTAAACTGGCTATACTAAATTATAACCTTTGTCCTTTGTCTCTAAAACTATTCTATATAATTAATAATTAATGAAAAAAAATTTAAATTTAAATTTTTTTGAATTTTTAGGATATTATTCTTATTCTTGTTTAAACATTATCACAATTTTTTTTTAATTTATAATGTAATTATTATGTCAATTTTTATAAATAATTTGATGAAATAATCAAAATAAAATGATTTTAAAAGCTGAGATCTAAATAAAATAACTTAAAATTTAAGATTAAATATCACACGTATAATTTATTTCATATTTAATAAATTTAATATTTATATATTTTTTTAATTTTTAAACTGTAATATTTTATGTAAAAAATATTAAATTAAGCCTTAATTGTCACACGTTTAAAAAAATATGCCCAGGAGCTTAAAATAAAAAATATCACAACTTCGACTTTCAAAAAGGGTGGCTAGTAATTAATGTAATGCCACTCTCTCTTGTCATCTATGATCTGTGATTGTCCATTAAGAAAATTCCTCTGATCTTTTCCCACCAAGAAGAAGCTGGCAAATGTGCCCAAATATACCAATACCCTTACAAGAGCCGTGAACTGCTGCCTAGTTAAATGCCATTGACTGTGACTTGGACATCAACTTTGGCATCCGAAGAAATCCAAAACCCCACCAGTAATAGGGAGTAACAGTGACAGGGCACTGGCTATTGTCCCCTGAGGGGCTAAGGGGAAGACAGCACACGCTTTGTTAGCACTCACAGAAAAGGGGCGAACAATGGCATGGCCACTCTGCTTTCTCCACCAAGACAAAGACAGACAATCAACCCTATTCTACATGGAAACCAGTTTGATTGACTTGGTCACTTTCACCTTTTTAAATTACACGACAAAATTAGTCTACTCATATCAAATCACTTGGCTTCAACTTTTTCGTCTATAAAAGTTTGCCTTTGCTTTTTTTTTTTTTTTATGAATGGATGAAGTTAAATCTAGGCAAGAAAGAGTTTAATTAACAGATAGCTATGTTCGTCTGAACACGCCATGCCTGGTATTTTCTACATGTGTCTTAACATGGGGATTGAAGGAAATCACTAAAAACCCTCAGGTCCCATTCTTGCAAGACTACCAAACAAGTCCAGCCCGAGCATTGCTCATATCTCTTTATATATGCATCTCTTATTCAAGAAATAGAGTTTGAATTTTACTTTAAAAAAAACAAACAAACAAACGAAAATTGTAAGGAGTTCTATGAGAATAGTTTGTTGAGAGCTCGAAATTATTGAGTGAAATTGTGCTTAATGAACAATTTGTTCTTATTATTGGCCAAAAAAAATTGTTCCACTTCTTTCCAAAAGCTTTGAAAAAGAGGGAGAGAATATTGGATTGGAACTCATATTAATTGATCAGGGCAATGGGAGAGTAGAGATGATAATGAGTTAAATCAAAATAAATTTTTGTTCATTTTGAATCTAATTCAATTTTATATTTTTAATATTTAAATTTAATCTAATCTAATTTATTTTATTTTATTTTTATATATGAATCTAAACCCAACTTAACATTATATAAAAACGTAATTAATTCGATCAAACTAGAAATTAATAAAATATTATTTTTAATATAAAATATTATTTTTAATATAAAATATTATTTTTTAAGATATAAAATGTTATTTTATAAATGTAAATATAAAATATATATAATTAAATAATAAAAAATAATAAAAAAATTTTAAATATATTCTGAGTTAGGTCGAGACAAATTTGTCTATAACCCAACTCACCCTAATTTTATTTTAATCTAAAATTTGATCCAATACAACTCAAAATTAGATTAAACAAAAAAAAAAAAAAAAAAAAACCAATTCTATAGGGTCAGATTGAATCATAACCCAATGGATAGGAATTGGATTGCAGGAGCTTTTTCAATTTCTTTTTGAATTGAGGATTCATGTTTGCACTAAAATAGCAGACTAACAATTTATTATTTTTTATGTCTTCATATTGCATGCTCAACTGTTAAATATATTGTATATTGTACTTAAACTAAACTTTCCAATCATTGGGGGGAAAAAAAATAATCAATCAAATCCAGACAAAAACTTATGTGGATTTACATGGTGGGTGAATCTGTCAAGGTGCATGCGGCATACTTTGGTTGGTTTAGATTTGTTCCTGTTTTACAGATATTTTCTACAATGGTTTGGAGTGGATGGGCTAACCCTACGAAATCAATGTTTCTCCATTGTTTATGAAGAGGGGAGATAAAGCAGAAGCAGATAAAGAACACTTCAGGTAAAGCATTTGAGGCATGCTTTGGACATGGGCTAATGGCCCAAGAAAAAAAATAGTAAATAAATTTCATGTTATTGCCAGCCTTCACCAACATCATTGTTATCATCTTTGTTTCCAGACAATTTTCCTAGTCTTTGGTTATGGAATGCTCGTCCAAACAGAGATGAACATGAATCTGTTGGGCCTGACAGAATGTAAACATGGCCAAGTTCATGCTTATAAGTTTAGGTGGCAATAATATAAAGGCTTATATAGGAGATGAAGAGCATATAATAACCTGTTGGGCTTATTTTGGCTTTTCCTTTTGTGGCAGTTTTGTTCCCTTTGTAGGATCCCTGCTTCCTTGTGGATCAATGAAATCGGATTGCATTTACCCCAAAAACAAAAAGCAAATTTTGTGATTTCAACACTCGAGGCTACAATAATCTTATAATTAAATGCCAAGAAGTAGAAATGGTCCCATTTTGTATGAGGAGCATGTCCGAAGAAACACCGGCCAAAGGGCTCAAATTAAATGAAGTAATATTTACGAATGCTTAGTGCTCATTCCTGTTTACTACAAGATGGAAGAAAAACCTGCTCTATTTACATGAAGGGGTCAACAGGGTAGGATCATTTTCTAGAAGTCTCATCTTATGTCTGTGGAGAAAGTCAAATCTGGCTTTATCTTTGTTTTCAACTTCCAGCATTTTTAGGGCTGGAGATTCTTGATACCTTACCCGGAGGCGTACGATGCAGTTATAAAAACTAGGAAAGAATTGTTTTTTAGCTTTCTAACCTTTGAGAGGCTTTTTGTCATCTGATGGTTGAGATATTATGTAAACAATGACTGCAGCTATTGAAATTGGGCTCCTCCGGTAAAGATAACCCAAAGTCTTCACAGCAGTTTCCTGAACATTTTTCTAATTCTTTTTCCTTGATAATTTCGTTAGCTACATTATTCTATTTCCCCCGTCTGTTTCTTCCTTTTGGTTTTTATTCTACATTTTTTCTCCCCATTCACCTCTAACGTGAAGTGGAATCTTTAGAAACATATTTTCTAAATGGTGTTATTGACTATGATGTAAGAATTAACATGGAGATATCAGACACTGACCAAGTGTTGAAGCAATATATATCATTAGACAGAGGATATCCTAAGGATCCTAAATTTCTCTAAAAGCATGAAAACCATTAATGTTTAGGTTCCACTATTTTCCTACAGGACAAGTAGACAATATTAATGGATAAAGGTTCTATTTCTCCCCTCTTAGAAGTAAGATCAAATAGAACTAACCTAATGTCAAGCTCTTCAGATTTCTGCACAGCTTGTTGCGCAGCCTTAACATCTTGATTGGTCATTCCAAGATTGGAATAGAAACGCCTCTGCAGGTTGAAGATGGAAGATACGTAAAAGATTATATTGAACGGTTAATAATTGTGAAACATCTAATGGATGAAAATTCCTTGAGATGAAAGGGAATGAAACAAAATGGTAATACTGCAACAAACACACCATATGGTCACCAGCATGTATAGTTCCAATCTCCATGGACCTATCCATCTCTAGCTCCAAATGTTTCACGATGAACTCTTTTGCCCGGCCAATTTCTCTCTTTGTTGTGCCACTTACAACAAAACAAATTTCTAGTAGAAATCCACATTTAGAAACCTTTTGAACCTAAAGAAAGTAATGAACTAAATTGATTAAGATGGGTAAAGGTAGAAATTCAATCTTCACCTTTAACAGTTTGGGGCTTGTTTTCTTGTTGACAAGCAATATAGAGGCAAGCAGCCATAATTGTATCTTGATTCCATCCTCTAAGAAGTTTTCGATCTTCAACCTTCTTATATATTTCATTAGCCTGATCCTAACAACCCAATTAATAAGTGCGAAAGCTTGTAAGATCTTTTGAATCAAAAGATCCTTGGAGACAATAAGAAAGGACTAGGAAAAAAAGAAATCTATACTGAGCATTCCATCAACATGAACGCAGAAACACATATGTGGAGTGTGGACTCATTGATAACTCTATATTGAACTTAAAAGTAATAAACTTGATGAACACAAACAAAATGGGTAAGACAGTTAAAAGACTTGAGGATGTTTTTGCTGTTCAAGCATGTTTTTAACTTTGTTCTGATGATTCGAACTATCCACTGAGCATAGACAGCTCGTGCAATTGTGATATTGGCCAAGGGGAAGAATTGATTACAGTAGTAATTAACAATGACAACAATGTGTTAAAATGAGAATATGAAATACAATATTCAGCAGGTTTCATCAAAGCAAATGGTTTCCACAATCAGCTTTTCCATTCACTAGAGAAACAACCATCCTAAACTTAAACAAGGCTTGAATTATAGTAGTTAACCCAACTAGCGTATACAGACACTTTTACTTCATTATTACCAGTCCTCTGAATCACAGTTCACACCCATTATGGCATGTAAAGTCCAATCTAAGACAGAGGGCATTTCCACATAAACCACAATGGTTTTCAACTTTTCTCTTTTTGAAACATCTACTCTTGTACACCGCATTATCGAAAGTTTGCTAGTTTGTACTCCATCTTCATATCTATTCTTAATTTCAATATTTAGTTCCCATTTATATCCATTTGTTTAAACAAAAACAAAAACCACGGAATCCCCATGAGAATACAATTCCAGTTTGAATGTAAACAACATGAATGTTAAGGACAAGAGTTCATAAAGCATAAAACCTTGAAGATGAAATTAAATTAACTGAGATGCCTTTATGGTTGTGACAAATCCCAACCTGAAACAAATATGTAATTGATTGCATCAGTTACATTTGCAATTGTATCAGAAAAAAAAATGCTTAGCGTTTGAAAAGAAAGAAAGAACATATCAGAAGTTTGGTCTAATTTTTGTTGATTGGCTAACCCCTAGGATTCAAGCATGAAAAAACCATCCTATTAAAAGAAAAAACCAAGTGAAAAGGGCGTGTTTGGTCCATCAAAAAGGTTTCCACTAGACTTACCCGTCAACTTTTCCATTCGCAAAGAGGGGAAGACCACTTTTGCACAGTGTCAGTCAACACTGACAAACCATAATCAGAAAGAAAAAAACTTACAAACCCCAAAAAGCAAACGTGTTTCTGAAAAACAAACACACCCAACAACAACAACGCACAAAAAAGAAAACCCAAAACCTAGCTTTCATCACGTTAAGATTAAACCTGTCGGACATGGCAACAATAGCTTTAAACGCCTGAATAAGATTCTTGTCAGGGTTGGATCCCCGGCCCTGCCATTTTCCCAGAGACGAAGACAAAAACTCACTGGAACTTCCATTGGGTTTGGAAATGACAGTGGAAAGCCAACCGTCGCTAAGAAGAGGGTTGTAAGGTCAAACAACACGGACAGGGTCATTATCAGCTGACTCGTTAGAAAATGTTCGCCACTCGGAGGTTTCATCCACAGAGTGAGCCTCCAGGACTAAGCCACATTCGGAACATATAGTGTCATCGGCAGAGTGGTCAAACACAACCTCAGTCAACTCTTACATTCGGGTCAGAACAAGTCCGCCATTATTACAATAAAAAACTTCTGGTTCCCTCTACCCTTGACTTTGATTTTAATTTTTTTTAATGGTTTCGTTGTGGTTTTCAGTTTTGTCTGTTGTCTTTTATGGAGTGGGTGAATAGTTGTACTATGAGCAGATAGGGGATGTGTAAAATGGTAAGTATAAAAAGGTTGATTAAACATGCCAATAATGGCAATGTGGTTCAGGGGTTGCAGAAGGAAACTTTGGTGCCATTTATAAATTACTATGGTTTACCACTTTTGGGCAGTATCGGTGGGCTGCATCTGTGGCTATGAGTCTATTTATTATATTGATTTTGCGAAGAGTGAAAATAATAGTGAAATTGAGATTAATTATGATAGTAGTGAGAGTAAATTTATTTATTTTTTTTTTTTTTTTTTTTGCAAAAGAGGGTTATTGTCCGGAGGAGGATGAGGTAGAATTCACGTTTTACATGATTTTCAATTGACCTCCTGATCACTAGGTCAAGAGAAAAAAGTCAGATTAAAATTAATTGCTAAAATACGTTTGAATATAAACATATTTGAATGACAATGAGATGAAGAATAATTGGAAGAAAAATTATTATTAAAAATATTATATTAAAATTTAAATATAATAAATTATTTAATATTATAAAATTATTGAAAATGTATTAAATTATTTTTATATCAAGTAATAAATAATAATAAATTCGATTTATTAAAAAATTAAATTGTAAAAACTTTTAAATAAAAAATTAAAAGTAAAAAATATAAAAGAAAGGAGGGTTAAAAGTGACACAAAAAAAAAAAAAACCTGACTGAAATTTGCATTTCGTCGCTGAACTTATGAGAATCCGGTGCATGACTGAAAGTACAGCACGATGAATCACTGCACATTTGCTATCCAAACGAAAAAATGGTTGCCATTACAGGCTTCATTGGCTTCATTCTCCTCATTATCATGTTAAAAAAAATAAAGAATAAATTTGAATTAAGACAACCTAAATACAACTAACCCAATACTTCCAGCAAAAATATACAATAGAGGCTATGACTGCAAAATCTGTTGTCTACATTCGAGATATGGCAAGAGTGGCACCCAAATATTACAAAGCACTATCTCATGTTGCAACATTGAGGCGTAGTCTGCTTTTGCAACTTGTCCCACAGGCATATCATCTGTCTTGGGGACTGGTAGTGAGCTGTATAATAATCTTCTATGCATCCAAACTGGCAGAACTTCAAGCTGTGTAGATAATCCACTGGTTTGGAGCTGTTGAATTTCTCCACCCACATTCCCATGCTCACATCTTCCATCTTGAACAACTGCATGTTGTAGAATTATTTAAATGTTAAAGTTAAAACATACCAGACAACATGATCTTCAGAGACACAGAGGAAATTGTTCACTTACTCTTAAATTGTGTTTTTCAAACTCGGACACGATGAAGAGAGCTATGTCAGATGACAATATGTATCCTGGTCCATTTGCGTACGGTGGATAAGCTTCCTCTGGCCACTCCTGAAGCCATGAATATGCAGTTTAGAAGTGGGTTAAGATTGCTTCCCCCAGATTCCATAAAATCAAGCACCAACACAAATTACCATACAGCATTTTTTATTCATATGATATTGTCTACAATATTCCAATTTCTCAAATTTTCAACAAATAAAATACAGTCACAAGTGAGCAAAAATATGTGATGAAACAGCAGAAATATGCAACTGATATAGGTTGGTCTTTCTACAAGCCAAATCCATGATTCATTAAACTAGACTTTAACTAAAGAACTGAAATAAACAATAGCACAGACCATCCATACCTCATATGTTACTGCCCATTTACCAGAGCGTAGGGGTGTGTGGTAATAGTTGATGTTACCAATATAGAAGCTTCTATCCTCATGTACTTTCTTTGCTTCATTAATAACTGCATCTACTCTCACAAATGTGTCATCATCACACTTCATTATATACTTGGCGGCCACCACACGGACCTGTAACAAAAAAATCCCTTAAATAATCTCAAGAAAAAGTTTAACTATTCTTTTTCTTCAAACTGGGAAAAAATTTCACTCACCCCATATTCACAGATGGCAACAGTTTTTAAAACAACAAGGTCATAGTTGTCCATATAAGGCACAATGATAATATCTCCAAAAAATTCTGCTTCTCTCTTCAATTCTACATTCACTTCCTTTCTTGCATGCTGTACAAACATATGGAGAGGAAGGTGGTTAAAAACATCACTTTAGGCCTGAAACTATCAATCTTTAAGTGCTATGATAATCTTAACTTACCATTGCCACAAAGAAACGAGCAACCACATTTGAAGATTTAACAAGTTTGTGCTGCATCCAAGACTTCCTTACAGCCATCCGCTCAGCAAAATGATTGCCTGCCGAAAGTATACCAATAAACAGATCCACACGCTGCTCAGAAAGTGGTGGAGCCTTCCATCTGTCAGACATGTCAAGATGCCTTTGAGGAGCAAAACTAGGATGTGATGTAGGCAAAGATGCCGCAAATACAGAGTGGACATCAACATCCCCATTCAGAGTTAGTCCAGTGGCATCCTCAAGGGTATAACCCTGTCAACATTATCAAATCATATCAAGAGCGAATCAAGATGCAACTTGATGATAATATTAAGTTTACATTATATAACTTACAGTTCGATAAGGAAATGAAGTAATATGCCTCCCATTAACATTAACATGATATCCCTCCAAACCAGCACTAAGAGTCAGGACAAAAAGCTTGCCCTCAGCAAACGGGAAGGGCCAGTCAACAGTCACCTTTTTTGTTCGGCCTATTAACCTGCTTAACCACCATGTTGCCTTAGACTCCTCAGAGTGATCGTTATCATCCCGTATCCACTTCTCACACTTGACCTGACCATCAACTGCAGGTATAAAGAAGTAGACATTTTTGGGGGCATGAGAATCAGGTATGAAAATAAAGAAGACTGATGCAAACAATTAAAAACAACATATTGTTGTTTTGCTAGCTTCCAAACAGTGGCAAAGCAAGGACCACAAGTAAAGAGGAAGAAAAGAGAGGGGAGACCTACAGAGTTTACCAAATATGAGAAGAAAACTTTCTCTTATTTCATCTCCTTTTCTGAGGCAAAAGAGGGAGCTCTAGTACAATATGATTAAATTGCAAAGCAAATAATAATAGGTCTTAAAAGGTTTAGGGGGGCAATCTATAGCTCCACCTGACATAAGAGTCTAGGTGCACTCCAGCTTCTATTCAAGCTACAAGTCCTCGATATTTAATTCAAGTTTAAAGATTCTCCTATATGCTTCCAAATTACATACATTACTAGCCAATATTTTGATGAAACCCAACTTAAAATAGCAACCCATCAAATTTAGGAAAGAGATTTTGAAGAAGCAAATCCCAGTAATAGTAGCATTTTCCTCACCGCAGACAAAATCCAACGTGATAACCATAAAATCACAAGTCATAAGTGAAAGCAAAGCTCAAATTTCACCAGCAAGCATGCCATGATCCATCACTTATATGAGAAAGAAAAGCCAAAGAACAAAAACCAAACGACAGGAAATTGCATTTACAAATCCAAATAGCAACATATCCTTTCTTCATGTAATGATGATGAATGAATTCACCAAGAATAATAAAACTAGTATTCTAAAACACCCCAATTCTAGAGTCTAGACTTAACATACATCAAACACAAACATATATGACAGGTCTCAAGCCACAGCCAAATATTTCTCCTATCCATAAGATACTAAGAAAAAATCAGTTAGAAACATAATTATTTCCTAGTCTGAAAAAGGTAAAAGTTCTAATGCAAATCCAACAAAAAACTACAAATTAAGATTCAAAAGTTCTAATGCCAATCCAACAAAAAACTACATCACCTCCAATTAGTATGTGCATCAACTCAGTTTCCTATAAGTTGCATATAGAACACAACAATCTACTAAGCTAAACACTAAATACTTCACCTCTAAGCAAGCTATGGAAAGCTTAAAAAATCACATATTTTTCACAAATTCAATCAAACAAAAGCTACGTAAAATAGAAAAATCAAACTCACCTGTCTCATCTTCATCCTTAGAATTCCACCCTTCACACCGCATAGCAGATCCCCATTGCATCCTATAACAAGTGTTCTGCTCAATCACTGGTTTCCTACTCCAATCCCCTTTCAACCTCGGATTAAAATGAAGAATCCGCGGTGGCTCCTCCCCGTCCACCGTCCTCAACCCCTGCAATTCCATCATAAACTGTGAAACCATGACAGAATCTTCCCCATCCTTGAGCAACGCAATCCTCGGATTTGTCTCTGCATGGGCTGCTTTCGGTTTCCCCACCACCGTTATGTGAGACCCCAAAGTAAGCCCGCAGGGAAGCACCATGACCTTGGCATGGCTCAAAAACTCCGACTCCGATAAAGAAACCGAAGACGGACACAGTTTGGATCCATCCTTGGGATTCTTGGGCTTGTTTATCGAGTCAATTTTAACTTTCCCTGATTCGAGCTCTTCCCATAGCTTTCTCCCAAGTTCCCAAGCCTCTTTGGCGGACTTATGGAGTTCCAAGGACCCGTCTTTGGCACTCGGGTCGAAAGTTTGGGCATCGAAAGACAAATTGGAAACGATCCCAGACTGATTTCTGAGTTGCTTATTATGTTGAAACTGAGTTGGGGAAGGTGAGTTTTTGGAAACCCAATTCAAGGGACGACTCGGGGCGTCTTTTTCTTGAACATCGACCTCGCTCGCGAGTCTGGGAAGCCGAGTTAACGGTTCTTGAGACAAAGTACCGAACCCGGTTTGGAACACGAATGGGATCTCGACAGTAACCAAAATTATGTATAATAAACCAACGATGATTAGAATCTGAACCGATCGTTGTTTTGTTAATGAAATGAACATGTCGAATCTGTCTAATTTGTCTGGCTTCGATAATTTCGATTTCTTCATCTCCCAATCCCCTCCCCCACCCCCAGAAAACAAAAACAGAAACAGAGGATCAAGAGACAGAGACTGAGAAAATAAGGAGAAATTTTATAGATTTCTTCAAAGAGAGAAGCAGAAAGAAAGGACGAGGAAGGTTATTAAGCAAACGCGCAAAGAGACAGAGAGAGGGCGAGGTCGGTCGGTCCAGAAAAACCAGAGATTATCATAATAAAAAATAAATCAAATTAATTTACTACTACTGTTTATTTATTTTGAATGGAGAAAATTATAAATAATTTCTTTCTACTGAAATTTTGATTCGAAAATTAAAATCAATGAAAAGGAAATGGGTCTGGGTATGGTAATTTAAAATTAATTAATTAATGGAAAATGATTTAAAATAGATAGGGGAAAGCGGAGGTGGGGAATGGGGGAATCTTCATGGGAAAGGCCGCCATGTCCTAGCTTTAAATTTCCGGCACACGAGATTAGGTCTCCATCACAGGTAAACTGTAGCAGCCAGGTGTTTCTCTTTTTTTTTTTTTTTCTTTTATTTTATATATTGCCTTTTTTAGTTTTTTTTTTTTTGGGAGGATTCCTTTCTAACTTTTCTACATGCTTTTTCAATCTTTCAATTTTAATTGGGAACGATTTCGAAAAATATATTGTTGCTCAAGATATTTTTATTTGGTTTTTTTTAATAAATAATTGATAAAAATGTATAAAAAAATTTTAATCATTGTAAAAAAAATCCAAAATTTTCAAAAGTGTTATGTTATAATTTTAATGAAAAAATTATAAAAAATGAATATAAAATAAATTTTAATGTTAATAAATTCTTTTAATTTGAATTTTTAATGTATAAATTAAAAATAAAAGACAATTTCTAATGATTGAAAACAAAAAATAATAATTTTACAAAATATTAAAATATGAAAAAATAAAAATAAAATAGAACTTTTAAATATAAAGAAAGCACTATCATAATTATTATTTATGTCTAAAAATTTAAATTGTTTCATAAAAAATATATATCGACAAAAACAGTTCGAATTTTATTTATAATATTTATATTCTTCAATAAATATAAATTTAAATTCCAAATATTAACTTACGGATATGTTTGATTCAATAAATATAATTAAATTTGGCAAAAAAATTATAAAATTGAAAAGTGTTTATAAAATCAAATAAATACATTAAATATTTTTCTCAAGATTTTTATTTTGGAAACAATTAAAAGTGTCATTAAAGTTTCTTTTGGACTGCACCAGACTTCTTATGCTTTTAATAATTTTTTTAATTACAATTTATTTCATTGTTTTTGTTGCTTTTGTATTCAAATTTATATTTTATTATTAATTTTAATATCATTATTATAATAATTAATTTTACTTCCATCGTTGTTTTTAATTTCATTATTCATCAAAATAAATCTCAAAAATAAAATAAAAGTATTATACTATTCAAGTTCAAACTGCAAACTTTGCTAGAGAACAATTCTAATTTGTTTTCATACAACAAAGTTTGGATCTTTGAATTTTCATGAATTGAAAACAAAATGCATGAATAATGAAACTTTCTGTAAATTATGCTATTTTTGAAAATTTTAAAGAGGGTTAGAAGGAGTCTAGTACTTTATTAAAGGGGAAATGATAAAAAAATAAAAAAAAATCTAATGATCCGAATAATCTAAATAAAACATATTTAATCTTTGCCCTAAAAATTGCAATTTACACTGGTAAATTTCATTTATGATCTCTAATATTTTACTTCCATTTCACTTTAATCCCTAATTTATAATTTTTGAATTATTCCATATAAATTTGTTAATTTATGAAAATAATTCTATTATGGTCATTTGTCAATTTGTTCTGATATAATTTATGCTATGTCCATATTGCACTTCGCTTGAATTTTTTTTTTTAATTATCGATAAAATAATCTAACAAGGAATCAAAATGAGATTACTTTAAAAAATTAAAAATTCAAATTAAATAATTTAAAAATTAGAGAATAAAGTGAAATTAAAATAAAAACGTAAGAACCATATATGGAATTTACTCTTTTTTACAAGCACATATTTTTTTTTTTTAATATTTCTTGCTCAAATTTCAGATCAGTGAATACAATCTTATAAAAATGTACTAATATCTTTATAAAAATCATGAAGTCAAATTTGGTGGCCATTGATTTAAAAGCTTTGTGGGGTAGTTTAGTTTATAGAGAATCTTACCTTACAAATGAATGGGTTGACTTCAACATATGTCATTTTCACCTCATCAATGGCCAAATTATATTGTTGACCAACAAATTTTTTTAGCCACTCAATGTGGTCAGCTTTTTTAATTCATACATTTCAATTGCAAACAAAGCATGATCTATTATCTATTACCATATCTAAAAGAAATAAAAGATACTAATAGATCTAGCAAATTTATTTTATATTGATAATTTGTATATTTTTATTATATTTTATATAAAAATTATATGTCACAATTTATATTTTCATGAAAATATAAAATACATTTTTTTATCAAACTTATATATAATTTTATTAAAATTTTAAATCGTATTTTTTTTATATTTTTTATATCATTTCGTGTTATGTTACTGTTTCATTTATATAGTAAATATACATGTTTATATATTTATTTATATAGATTAAAAATAATTTATTTCATATTATTATTATTTTTATAATTTCAAACAAGAAAGAAATGAAAGTGAACAATGTGCAACATAAAATAATATACTTGATTAAATAATATAATTGAAATGTTCACTTATTTTTTATGTGGTATAGTTATCTTTTGAGAAGTGATATAATGTATGAAAATCACATTCATGTTTAATTTTATTTTTTTATTAAGTAAATTTTTTTTTGTCTAAGAGTTACAAGCTAGCTCTTTGATAAGGAGCTACATAATTATACATATATCATCTAACAAAATATTTAAGTTTTAATTTCATATTTTATCTTACATTTTATTCTATAACTATACATAAAAATTAACTTTTAATAAACTTAATTGGTTATATCAATAATGATATAATTAATATGAAAAAAAAGAAAAAATATCTAATTAACGTTAATTACTGATTTATAAATAATTTTTCATCTTTTTATTTTTCTTGTCATCATACCAAGTAAAGAGTTAATTCCCAAGATTTGATAGAAAATATATTTGTCTTCTACCATTTGAAAAAATGCAGTTAAATTTTTTATTAATGGGTTTCTGGAACGGGGTGATAAATACAAAACGATAATAGATTATTGATTAATGAGTATTTAAGTAATTTTATTAAAAATTAAAATTTTGAAATGTATTTAAAAAAAAATTAGGGTGCAAATAGCAACATTCTTTTTTTAATCACAATCGATCATCTAAATTTTAAAGTCTATGCCAGTAATATGCTTTTTCTTTCACTTTCCTTTCCTATATTTCTGAGAAAGCTCATTTTATTCATGTATTGATCATAAAATATTTAGAGATACATGGTGACACATTAACTAACTGACCCAGTCCAAGCATTTATAACAACTTAAAACTTTTAGTAAAAAAAGGCTGATGGAAAGTATCATTAGCTGAGTCAATGAATCATATTTTGGTTGGAAGTTCTCTTCTTGGAACATTCTTTCCCTGGGAAAAGTTGATATTAGCTGTAAGCCACATGTTATGTAGCAATAAAAGAATAAATAAACATATCCATGATTTTTATTCAGAGTTACATTCAAAAAAATATTTTTTTTATTATTATTGTTCTGCTACATTTATGCTGGAAGTCATATCCATCTCTAGCATTCGGAATATCTTGATCTGTCTTATGATCACTTAACATATGCTGGAGTAGTAGTCTCATGATAACTTAAACATATGCTAGAGTATCATCAGTGTTAAATGGGGTATCTTCTAAATTCTAACTTTTTTTTTTTCATAGGATCTTGTTTAGAAATCGATTTTGACAGACCATACTGGCAAATTCATGGATTGTTTTAGATCTGTTCTTGAATATCCTATAATCAATCATCATTTGCCTTTTAACAACTGTTTTCTGAACAACTTTCTTCTAATGACTCTCTGGTTAAGTTGGTCCTTCCATGATTAATTCTTGTTATTTTCATGCAAATCCAAGGCTGCCATAGATTTTCAGAGATCCCAAGAAATTGTTCTCTCTTTTGGTAACTAAATCCAAGCAGTTGACGATACCAAATCATTGAAGTGAATGGCTTTGGCAGTGGCTGCACTCCATTTGAGCTACTTGGTTCAATGTATATCCCTCCCTATTGGAACTTTCTATAACATTTACTCTGCCTTAGAACTCAATCCTGATTCCTGGAAGAAAGTTAATAGGACATACAAGGATCTAGCTAACTTCAACATCAAACACTGATGTAATAAAGGTCAGCTTCCCAATCCTGAGCGGCATGAAAAATGGAGAGTTGCATTTAAGCTCAATATTTCTGTTTTAAAGGCAGAAGCTCGACATGAAAGAGATTCAATCATGGATTTGGACATGTAACTACTAGATCCGGCTGCGTTGATTGTTGGTAAGGATAATCAAATCTACTTTAACTTGGTCATAGACAGAGTTTCCACAGTCTAAATCTGACCTCTATGTCGTGCTTTATTCTCGCAGAAGTTCTTGACTTCTTCATAATGTATTTTACAGTGATGTTTTCAAGGTGCGACTCTCACCAATAAGGAGGCTAACAAATGATGCTTTCAAAAGGAAAAAAATGTTTGATACTCCTGAAATTGCAAACTACACAGCATTTTAGCTCACGACATTAGCGAATATAGCACATTAGTAATGTCTTGGCTAACAAGTCAAGCCTCAAATGCAGGATTAGTTTCAAGTTGCTCATATACATTTTAGACTCCTTCCATGGATTATTCAGAAAATTAACATGCTGTAATAACATGGATGAGACAGCTAGTAGCACTGGATTTCAATTGTGGTTCTCTCCTAATTGTTTTCTGCATGGATCCAATCACACTTGAATTGCACACGTTTGTATATCAGTTTACAGGAAACCTACAATCTACCTTGAATCATAACTAGATATATTTCTACTGTTTCTGCTAGAACATGGACATCTTCAATCTGTTCTGAAGCAAATTGTATCGGAACAAGCTTCTCGAATTTGAACATTATTTCTTAGGTTATTGTTCTGTCTAAAAGACCCTATCTATCTTATTGATTACAATGTGGGGATTTTGGACCACGGCGCCCAACTTCATAGAGTTTGATATTGTCTTACGTTTTCAGATAGCAGGCTTGCACACGATCTTCCATTGTGATTTCTTTGCCTGTAAGTTGTGTGATAAGCATATTATATACACCATTCCTGTGATCTCTGAGGTTCAGCATAAGTTAACTTCATCTTGTTTTCTTTTTCTCTTTTTCTTGTTTTCACATCATTGTCTCCAACATTTCATTAACGTGACAAATGAACTACAGCTCTTAGCGTTGCAGATTCTACTAACGTTTTTAGCCACGTATCATGTGGAAATGGTGTTTATCACTCGCAAGTTCGCTTGATTGGAGGTTTTTTTTTATTATTATTATTATTCCCTTCAATTAGTTGAATCACTTGTTTAAAATAGTTGCTCTCTTCAAACTTGTGATTATCAGAAACTTAAACAAAAGTCATTTCCTTTTCACACAAGGAACAGATTAATCTAAATAATTGAAAAGTTATGTTATTTTACTCTGATATATTCTAAATTTAACCAGAAAATGCACCCAATTCAAACCTGACTATATTGCTCTTGGAGCAAAGGGTATGTAAGAGTATAGTTGGGTGAGAGAGAGAATAGTCTCTATATCATCGATTCATTTCTAATGCAAAGATGTCATTCCATCATGCAAATTTGATTATATGGGATCAAGTCTCATGCTTTTCATGCCTGCTCACTTATACCTTAAAACCTTTCTCCTTCCTCCCTTACTTCTCAAATAGCATTTGAAAAGGAGGTATTCTAGCTAGGTGCATCACTATTATCACTTTTATCATCAATAGTTTTTATCATTTTATCTTTTCTTTTTTCTACCACCTTGTCAATTTTCTGTGTAATTCCGAATCTACAGAAAAGATGGTGAGACCTCCTTGTTGTGACAAACTGAATGTCAAAAAAGGACTCTGGAGTGAAGAGGAAGATGCAAAGATGCTGGCCTATGTATCAAAACATGGAACTGGTAACTGGACTGCTGTTCCAAAAAAAGCAGGTTAATTATTGAAGTTTTACCATACTAAGATTGATATCAGTTTGTTTGTTGTAATTTCATTACTTTGTAGTTTTAGGACTAACCACTTTGTTATTTTCTATGGACCTCAATGCCATATCTGAGTTTGTTCTCCAGGGCTTAGACGATGTGGGAAGAGTTGCAGGCTGAGGTGGACTAATTACTTGAGACCTGATCTTAAACGTGAGAGCTTCACACCCCAGGAAGAGGAGTTGATCATTCGGCTTCATGCAGCTATTGGAAGCAGGTAGATTGGTTGATAACTTTATAAAAAGTTCTTTCCTAACCCCCAAATTCCTCCCTGAATTGAGCTTAGTGAATGCTTTTCTTTCTTTTCTTCAATATTACTAAGATGTCGAGCTTCCTTTTCTATCCTATATATTTTGGCAGTCACAATCTTTCTTCTCTCCCCAATCCAAATGTTAAATTTGTGTGCTGACAAATTCTAATTTGTTCTACTTAAAAAGTTCTTGGTGATTATTCAGGAGCTTATGGAAATGAATCTTTATACGAAAAAATTCACCGGTTTCTCAGGAAGTATCTTAGTTTCCTTTCGACAATGTTCTAGTTTAGTTAATGAAGTACTTTATCTGGTTTTGGCTCTCCCCAATTAGCAGGCACACTAAAATTGGACAAAACTTTGATAAGGTTTGGTAATCTTTTTCAAAGGTTTCCAAAAAGAAAAAAGAAGAGAAAAAAAAAAAAAAACTGTGGTAGCAATAAAACTGAGTTAGCAAGGGATCTATACCAACTTTTTGTATCAGTGAGTCAGCAATTCAAGAACTTGGTGTATTCCCATCAGGCTTCTGAGAAGAAAGAGTTAGAAATCTTATTTACGTTGTACCCTGAAAATTTTTCACATCATCAGTGTGACACATGTCATGAAACTTTTTATGTTTCTGCAGAAGCATAGTCCTTTCTCATGGGATCATGACAAACATAACTGTCAATGATGCATTCAGGGTGATCCTAACCATTTTAACAGTTTGTTTCTGTTACTGGTGCAAGACTTATGACTCTCTTTCTCTTTCAATGTGTCTGTTTTTGTGGTCCAGGTGGTCTATCATAGCCCAACAGCTTCCTGGGAGAACAGACAATGATGTCAAAAATTACTGGAATACGAAGCTGAGGAAGAAGCTTTCAGAAATGGGGATAGATCCTGTTACTCACAAGCCTTTTTCTCAAATCCTAGCTGATTATGGAAACATTGGCGGCCTCCCAAAATCCAGAGCCCGAATCGGATCTCTCAATAGAGACATGAAAAACGCATTTTTGACAAGGCCAGAGCCATTTCCACCCCCAGCAACAGCAGCAGAAGGATTTTCGAACATCAACAACCGATTGATGACAACAATTGCATCACCCGGAATGGAACCAATCCAGGACAACTTCTTCCCAAACAACAGCATTAACCATCATCCAGACAGTGATTCCCTGGAACTACTTTCCCAGCTGCAGGCTATAAAAGTAGTGACAGAAGCTACAAACTACACTGGTCACCAAACCATCTCACCTCAGTTCCCTAATAAGTACTCATTATCATTATCATCACCATCGTCTTCTTCTACTTCTTCTACTTGTTCCACTGCAGCACAAGAAAAATCAGGTCTAGCCTTCAGTTGGCGTGATTTTCTTCTTGAAGATGCATTTTTACCCACTGATCATACACAAGGACAAGAAGATCGCATCCTAGAATTCTCATCCGATGAAATTGTACCACAAAGTCACAGCAGCAATGGGACTAGTGCGGAAAACATCGATAATAATAACAGTGACAATAATGGAGTCCAAGGAATATCGGGTGGTGGAGTGCCGAGCCACGGTTTTCATGCCTCATCATCCACCAATAGTTCATTTGTTGCTGCCATGATAGATCAAGAAAATGAGATGTTCTCAGAATTCGCAAATCTTTTGGAAGATCCATGTTATTAACTGAGTTTTTTCCAGGTCCATTAACTAAGTTAGAATAATTAACATCTAAATAAAATTTCTGCTATATGTATCATTTTTAATACTACTATACCTAGGGTGTAGTATCAGTTTATGCTTTTATATTCCTGGTTAATGTTATGGGATTGGACTATTATGAATTACTTGCTTCTCTGTCAAGGCTTCTGAATCTCTTATCAACAATGATTTAAGGCTTCAGATTTCTTCTTGCCAGCAGTATTATCAACCAGAACATCTATGTGCGATAAAGGGAAATCATCTTTTGGATTGTCCCTATTCAAATCCCAGTAATCAACATAAACTCTGATTCTGTCGTCTATCCTGGGCGTTGCAACAATGTTGGCAAGCAAAGATAATGATGCGAACAATCAAGAAGTTTGATTCAAGTTGTTTAAAAATTTTATCTTTCATTTTACCCGCCCAGTCTTGTCTTATTACTTGAAGTTTTTTTTTTTTATAGGTTTCATTTCGGGATAAATTGAGATCTTGTGTTGTACAATTTCAGACATATTCTTATATTACCATGCAAAGATGTTTTTGAATTCATCAAACGGTTCAAATGAACTACGCTCTTCGGGACTTTAAAAGTTGATTTAATTTTCCATAAAGCCGCCTCCATTTTAGGTTAGAACTTTCATTCATCTTTTTCCTTAACCATTTTTACAATATCAAGGAAGGAAATTCCATTTCCATTAAGCCATAGTCGATTTATCAAAGTGCAAAGGGAGGTACTAAAAATCGATGAAAATTTTTTTGAAATAGGAAACAAAATTTTCAACATCATATGAGCCAATGGAATAGACTCGAAATTAGTGGCAAAATGGGTGGGCAACTTTCGACATAGTATGATTAACCACGTTATGAATTTTGCTAGCATTGGCTCATATGGCTATACGGGCGGATTGGGTTTGGTACGATCTTTGTCATAGTTCCAGTCCAAATTACTAATATTTTTTGACTTATGGACTGGCACGTGCCACAACACATATATATATATATATATATATATATATTTCATTTGATTCACGCCTATCACATCTTTAATGTTTTTTAAAATTGGTTAATGAAAAATAAATAAATGCTTAATTATTATTTTTATATAAGATACTCATTTATCTCTTTTGAAAAGATACTCATTGATATATATATTTTTTTAAGGTTGTGAGAGCCTGTATCATTTGATTCCAAGTTCATCACATTCCTAATGCACTTTTAACTCAAAAAATCAAAACCCTTGGAGCTAAAAAACCTTAAAAAAACTTTAAATCAAATCACGTGGACATAAATATTTTAAATCCGAATCACATAAATTTTATGTTTAATTCTAAACTTTTTTTGTAATTATAACATTAATGTACATGTAAATAAATAAAATATTATTTGATTAAGCTTTATTAGATCTAATAATTTAAAATATAATATCATGATATAATACAAGAAATGATAAAAAAAATACAAAAGTATTGCAGTTTAAAATTTTAACAAAATTCAAAATTCATATATAGATTTAATAAAAAAAATTTTATATTTTTATATCGATACAAATTATGATAAATAATTTTTATATAAAATATGATATAAATATATGAATTATCCATATTTTTATGTGATAAAAATACACTAATGCTAGATCTAAACCTGATCCAACCCATTATATGCCAGGCTAGACCCGACACTGCCTATAGCATTGTCGGGCCACAAACCATACTGAGCTAAAGGTTTAGAAATCTGGGCCATCTCATTAATGATTTGCGTTGTGGGCCAGCTGGGCTAATCCATTTATCCTCTCAGGAAGGTACTGCCCATGCAGGATGTAGCCCAATAGTCTGGGATAATCTGTTGATAACGCTATGTTACCAGAAAAAACAGAGAGAAAAAAGGAGAAAACAGAGGGAAACTCCTAAAAAGGGGAACAAAATGGTGGCGATTTCTTTGTACAGAGGGAACCTCCACAGAGCACCGGACATACCTCGCCGATGGCTAATGCCGACTCCCAACATCTCTCTCAGAGACTTCAAATCCCTATTGCACCGCCGCAACAAAGCTCTCTTTCGTCTCCGTTCCACTTCTTCCTCTAGCCCTAACCCTAACCCTAACTCTGAACCTAATCCTGATTTAAAGCCTCACGTTCAATCTCCCATGCCCAATGGGCTTCCTATTCAGCCCAAATTGGAAGCTCAAGTTGAGCCGGAACCGCCCAAGGATTTGAAAACTGGACCACCTCCTGCGGAGGTCAAGGTGGAGGTAGTTGGAGGATTCGACCGTGGAGATTGTTCGTTTAAGCCGGAAGATGAGCAGCCCGAGAAAGATGAAAATTTACAAGTGGATGAGAAACCGCCTGAGGAGACTAGAGCAAATGTAGAGGTATTGTAGTTTCTTTTTTTTTTTTTCTTTAAATTGATTTTTTTTAGCTTAAATATTTAAAATTTTTAATCCTTAATTGTAGAAGGTAGAGAAAAGGGTGAAAGTTTTTAATAATATTCTGTGTTTATGCAAAAGTTTGATTCTTGTTTGTTGAAATGTTCTGTATTTGTTTCCCGTTGCTAGGTTAGGGAAAATGTAAATGAGTTGAATGAAAAAGAGAAAAGGAAAAGGGATGTTGAGGAGAAGTTACGAGTTTTGAATGCAAAGAAGCATAATTTGGTACAATTACTAAAGCAGGTAAACTTTCAATCCTAATGCCTTTCCTATTCAAGACCATGTTTTGGATAAATAAATTTCAGATACTAATTGGTGATGTTTGATAGATCTTGAATACGGAGGAGGAATTGAAGAGAAGAAATAGCACGCAAGGTATGGCAATCTGTCCGGCTGTTCCACTTCAAGTGGAAACCACTAATGACTCTGGGTCAATGACTAGGCTTGTCACTCCTAGAATGGGCTCGGAGGGTAATCTTGCTGGTGAAAATGAAGGAGGTGAAGCTGATGATGTTTCAAATGCTAACATTCATTCTCGTCTTGTGTTTCGGATGAGCAGTACATCACCTTCTTCAGAATCTCCTCTTAGAAGACCAACCTACATTCAACACAATGTGGTAATATTTGTCGGTAGCTAAGTTTTTTTTTTTTTTTTTCTAATAAAGTATCGATACAAGAACTTCAATAGATTTTTTTTTTCCAACATTATTCTCTTGTACTGTTAAAGTGGATGGCCTGAGGTTGGAACCTAAAGTTTACATGAATGTGCATTTTGATCTCTCTCCCCCCTCCCTAACTGTAGGCCAATATGCATTTTGGTAAAGATCTGAACCTAAAATATACCCTAAATCTTATTTCTCCTCTTTCCTCCTTTAGGAAATTACCAATTGCATATCTTATGAATCACTCAAGCTTTTCTCCTTGCATGATTTGCTGTTTTATCAAATGCTCTAGATTTGTTTTGGGTAGTCAATAAGATTAGTGTAAGGTTAGCATATTCATCTCTGGTGTCTCTATTCCATGCTGGCCACAGCAGTAGTTGATTCTTAGTATATCAGGAGTATTTGTTACTCTTTGTAAGTTACCTTTTCAGTACTGTAATTGTCAACAAGGTGAAACATGCACCATTTAGTTGGCTAATTTTTTAGAGCTAGTGTCTCAGTTCATTTAGCATTGTTCTTCACCTGTTTCTTCTTCATCAATGCCTCACTGCTTCACTTAAAAGGCCTCTTGGATGGAGCTTTCCTTTTGATGGGATGAGCATAAATTACAGAAAATATCTATGGTTGCTCTTTCAGTGAAGCATTTGAAAGGCTACTGGGGAAAAAATATGACTCTTCTTCCTTGTAAAGTCAGTCCTTCTAAGTTGCTTTTTGGATTCTTTTTAGAGGTGACATTTTCAGCTCCAACGGTGGATAAATGATAACAATCAAGTAGTCTTAGTACTTGTAACAACCATGCAAGCTGCTTTCAATTGTAAGATTAATCACCCTCATCTGGTCATGGCTAGATAATAGCCTCTTTATGTAGTCTGGAGTTTTTCCCCATGTGTTTTTTAATTAAGAAAATAACATATGCTATGGTATTCTCACCTTTTTTTTTTTGTGGAAATCAATGCACCGCATAAGCATAGCTGTAAAATTGGGACCTCATAGAAGAAGATAATAAGTACCAACTGCAAGATGTTCTGTTTCAGTTATTTATATGGCTATTTTTGAAAAATATACTTCTGAAGGAACACGTTGTTTGGATTTAATATCCAAGAAAAGCATGTTAATTGATTGGTTGATATTCATTGAGGTGTACTAAAATTGAATTATCTTGTGTCCTTATATATCAGATAACATTTAAACTTCAGATTAGTGCACAAATCTGTTAAGACAAATTTTGGTTTATGTGAAGTATGATTGATGGCATATAAGACTATGTAAGGTATGCTAATGACATTTGGGTTGTTACTCTTATATTTAGGTTCCCCTCCCCTCTCGAGCAAGCATGGGGATCACAGGTAGCCCATCCCGTTTTGCTCCTACTGGAAATCAAGGTCATCCTGGAAATCCTCCTGCTGTATCCGTGTCAGGAACAAATTATGTTGCATCATCTCCTTCCCCTGCAGCATCTGGTGGCACTTCAGTTTTCAGAGAGGCTCGGCAGCCAAGTCCATGGAATTAGAATCTGTAGCCCATTGAACTCTTTATGCGATTGTGGCTTTAAGATGGTGTATTGTGAGCTTAGCAACATTCAGGTCCATTTTGGTTATTCTTGCTTAAGTAAAAATTAGAATATTGGTTCTCAATTTCATGTCAGATTGTCAGGTCCAAGGGGTTGCCGTCTTCTATCTTCCTATATAACTGCTTAGATGATACTTATACGGCATGTCTTGCACATCGTGAAGCTGTATATTTTTAGAATGTAGAAGATTGCCATGTATTGAAGGCGTAGATTTTTCTTTCGTTTTGAATTTTTTCATTGTGAGGCCTGGTTAGAGTTGAATTTGTTAAAACAAGTGATCAATTTGTATAATTCAAAATCTTCCAAGATGATCTGATAGTAGTTAGTAGTTATTGTTGATGATTTTTTTTTTTATTACTTCCGGGAAGTGGTAGATGTAAGGATTTCGGCCAGCAAAATGATGGGCGATGGAAAGAGAAGGCTAATGCTCTTTGTAACAATATAGTATTTCTCCATTTGAAAGAGAAATTAACTGGTTTTGTTTCTTCTGCAGCTCATGTATTACTTGTTTGCGTTTGCCTCGCCATTACTGATTGACACAGCTTATGGTTTCATAATTATTTGGCAACTGGTACGCTCTTGTCTTCGATCACCTGCCTCTTGGAATATCGTATTTGGGTTTAACCACTCCGCAACAATCAAAGATTTTTCTAGGTTTAGTTATTTCGTTGTTTTTTTATTCCATTTTAATATTAAACAATTAAAAAAAAAACTTTTCAATATGCTTTTGACTCAATTCTAACATTAAACAATTAAAATTAAAATTTTTTAATTTAAAAACTCACATTGAAAAAATTCTTCAAAAAATGGTTTTACGATCAAAAAATATTTTTAGAATAAAAAATTATTATATTACTTTGTTATTTTTAAGGTTTTATGATTTTACATTTTTTTAAACATTTGAATTACTTATAATATTTTTCATTGAAATATTCAAACACATTTTTAAATATATTTTTTTTAACTCAATTTTTTTTAACAACAACGGTAAACTAATCCTCACCTAAAATCTTTGCATTTTTTTAATAGTAGCACTCCAAACAAAATGTGTTGTGTTGATGCAGCATTCCTTCTTCTGATTTGTCATCAAACCATGTGTATTTGACTAAAAGGATGGTTCCTAGAACTCTCACGGAAAACAAGTGAATTGTTGATCATGAGTTGCAAATCCAACCCCTTTTATTTATTTATTTATTCTATCATTTGCAATAACATTGTCATTCTGAAATCTGAAGTTAGGCTGAAAGGGGAGGTGTCCCAACCCAACTTCCATTGTCATTCTGAAGGGTCCACTGGTTAGATGTAAATATCAAAGCCTTTCATGGTAGAAATAGATCAAGTCAACAGTCAACACAACACACATCACGGACAGAGACCTCCATCTCCTCCACCCCCCGGCGCATGTAGGGGATTGGAAAGCACTAAACAGCCCTAGCACTTCGCACATGTGCGAGGTGTCCTAATTCAGTGAACCCACCATAGTCCACAATCCACAAGCCCCTGACACCCCTCCCCCCCAACCCCTCAGAAAACACAACTTCCCATATAAACACCCCCTTCTCTCCTCCCTTTCTTTGTCCTAACAACACCACCAATTGGATAACATGGCTCACCACACCACACACAGGCGCATCTTAGCAGCACCAGAACCTAGCCCATCGTCCTATTCCATAGATCCCACCCTCAAAAAGTTGCCTATACCTACCGTAAGCAGCAGCAACGCCACCAAAACCAGCCATCCAACAACCCAAAACTCAGATCCATTAGTGCCTATCAAGAAGCCCTTTTTCATGACCAATCACTTCTCGAGATTGAACCTTAATCACAAAATCCGCACACCCAAAAAACCTACCAACAACCAACATAGCCATCCTCCACCTAGTAGAGACATTCATTTACAAGCCAAAGCCATGACAGTTTCAGCTGATGCTGATTCCTCCAGGTTTTCACTTATCAAAGCAAACTACCTACCCCATAAAACAGCTAAAGAATCATTGAAAGAGAAGGTCAGGAAAGAATCAAAGGATTTGGATAAAAACACAGAAAAACATCATCAAAGATCAGTGTTTGATAGCAAGAAAACAGCTGTGACAGTGAAAGAGAAAGAGGTGAAGAATCTGCAAGAAGGACTTCATGATATGAAGAAGGCTTCAGCTTCATTAGGCAGAAGGAGATCCTTATGTGGTTCACAAGTAGAGTTGGCTGATATTCTTGCAAATTGTGGTGTCAAAATTGTTTCAGTTGATATGCCACCGTTTATGCAGATCCATGCTGTTGATTGTGCAAGAAAGACTCATGATAGCCTTGAAAAGTTCACTTCCAAGACCCTTGCACTCACTCTCAAGAAGGTAACAATAATAATTAGTTAAAATTGTTTAAGTATATCTAAGTAGTAAAATGGAAATGATTTTCCCCTTTGCTACTATTGTTTATGGTATTTTTTGTTGATTCTATGAAATATGATCTGGGTATTTGAGTTCATGATTGACATAATTGGACTTTGGGTCTCCAGGAGTTTGATGGTGTCTATGGACCAGCATGGCATTGTATTGTGGGGACGAGTTTTGGGTCATTTGTAACACATTCAGTTGGTGGGTTTCTATATTTCTCAATGGATCAAAAGTTGTATGTCCTCTTGTTTAAGACAACCGTGCAAAGGGCTGATTGAAGTGGGGTGACATAGAACAATCTGGAAGTTAAAGCATATCTAGTATAGAAAACCTTTTTGAAGCTTAAAGCAATGTTGTCTCATTCGTAGCTTGTACATTGCGTTTGATAAGAAGAAAAGGGTAGGACATTTTGTTTAATTTAAATTGTGGAAACGACCCTTTTTAAGTGGTCTAGCCTTTCAGACGTACTTCTTGTAATGTAGTATCTTGTTTTGGTTAGAAGTACAGAATCCATTACCAGCTCGCATTCCAATGTGCCATCTTCATTTTGTTTTCTATGTTGTACTAATTCTTTCTAACTTGTAAATTTCTTAAACTTCCCATTGTTTTCTGGTTGTATTTGAGATATTGCCTCGAACTCTTGATCAGTTCCTGGTTTTGCTAATTTGGTCTTGCATTTTGGTTTAAACAACCCAAAGCTATGCAATCCAGGAAATGAAATTACATGAATAGAGAATAGAAGCTGCTTTCATTTCAGCACTCTAGCATTGATAGAAACGTGGCATACTGTGGTTGGTCCCCGCACTAGTAGGAGTCTCTCAAACTAGAGAGGAGCAAGACTGTCGGGTTCATTGTTTCAGATTTTTACTTCTGACGCTCAGCATACGGTCATGTCCTGCAATTCAGCATTTAATTTCTTGACAATGATTGTCCCAGCAGAGGGCCATAGCCGATGGAGTCAATTCTACGCATGTTCTTATTTTTAACTTTCAAGCTTAAGTCCGCAAAACATGTAAGATTGATGTCCCTCCCACTTTATTTTGATGCAAAGCTTAGCAACATTGTCGGTGGTCTTCCAAAAGAAATGTAATGTGCCTGTAAATGGCAAGCCAAACATCTAGAAAAAGCTCTAGCATAAAATTCTTTTGCCTGAATTCATATTTCACATTGGGGTTAAGACTTGGTTAAGCTGCTAATGCTTTATTCTGTTGTTTCACATTTCAAAGCCAATTTCAGCATTTTATAGTATGAATGCATTGAATTAATTGATCCTACATTATTGATTGTGTATTGAAGGACTGTGGTCACCATGCACTTTTGACGGGTTTGGGGCCTGAAACAATTGACTCCAGCTCTGGAAAGAAACAACCATCTTCTTACAAAGAATTGAGCTGATCAACCCAAACTCTCAGCGCAACTTTTTGAAAAATCATCACTGTGACTTGAGTCAGCTGAGCCTGTGCTTCTGTATGTTATCCGAACATGAAATCCTGAACCTAACTTCAATTCATACCCTTTTTCCGATAAATTGATTCGATGCTTAGCCCATCATTTCTCCACTAAAAGAGGCTAAAATTAGGGGCATCCTTTAATTTTCCCTACCTGGAATTGGGAAAGGAACTGCAGTCTCCTACTCCAACATAAAATAAAAGTGGCATTTTAGCAATATAGAATCTCAACCTGAATTATAATGCCATTTTAGTTTCTAGTTTTAAGGGAAATTAATGAGAAAACCAAAGAGTTAGGCACATTCCTCTCTGGGGCTTGTCTTGCAAATACTACAAATCACCGAGTCCAACAGACAAAAAACTTGTACGTGCATAGTTTAATTAAATATCTATGATTAAAAGCAAGAAGAAGATAAAAAGCTATACCTGTTTTTCCAGCTGATAAATTTGACCTTTCTTTAACCCCCCACCCTAACCGTAAATGGCTGCAAATATTCCTACAGTCCTACCCTTAACTTAGGCGTGGACAGCCAAAGCATGCCAGGTTTAAACGTCTATCTGTTTAGGAGGTTTAAGGGTCAATTCCCTATTCTCAATTTGTACTCTTAAAATTTAGAAATTCAAGATACATTTATATATACAATAAGATTTATTAATTTTAATGAGATTAAAAATAATAATAAAAATAAAATTAATTACTGTAACGATAAAATTAAAATTAAAATTAATGATAAAATATATATTTAGATAAAAAATAATAATAATGATGAAGTGAATTATAGTAAAAAAATTCAAAACATTAGAGTAAAAATTATATTAACAAAAGTTTTAAATTATTTAATATTTATAAAATTAATTAAAATTTATTTATTCATTAATTTATTATATAATAGATAAAACTTATTTATTATAATAAATTAATAAATTTATTTTATAATTTTTAAATAAAAAATAAAAATTAAAGTGTAAGAAAATTTTTATAAATAATATATATATATATATATATATATATATAGTCTAGCGCGTTTTTTAACCAGAACCAAATCTTTCAGTGAAAAAAAAGGACCAAAGACGGCAGCTTTGACATCCAAACAAATATTAAATATCAGTGGCACAAATTTTATTGACGACTGCACGGAGGTGCAGTTGAAACCAAATGGGCCTGAAAATAATAGGTAACTTCCTTATAAACATTTGTACGTACGTGTTAAGACAGATTGGAAATAATATTTTAATTTTAATTTTCATGTTAAACAGTTAACAACCTTATAAAATTTCTTTCTTTTTATTGTTATATTGAGGTAGTCAACTGCGTAATTCACGTCAATCAATCGACTATTTGAAGATCCGTTGATTCAATCAACTTTTTTTTTTTTCCAATTAAAGATTGAAAAGGCACCAAAACCAACCGCGTCGTGGACTGATATCCAGATGCACCATGGCACCGCATCCAAAATAGGCGTAGAGATGAGGTGGCGTGGGTAGGATGACTTAGAATTTTCAAAGGGAAACTATTGTTAAAAGTAATTTTTTTGTAAAACGTGATGATTTTCTACAGGGATTGGTAGGCAAAAGGGTTTTTCTTATTTTATACGAATAAAATAAGTTTTGAAAATCTTGTTAGTATGTAAAAAGATTTAATTTAAATATAAAATTATGATATAAAATTTATTTGTATAAAATAAGATAATGTCCTTGACCATTATATTATGAAAAACAAGGGTAAAAAAGTAATTGAAAATGGACCTTTCATTGAGAAATTCCAAACATTTCCAAATCCCATCTCAAGTAGTTGAAGCTTTTATCTTCTAACTCATCGCTTCTACTTCCCCTTCTCTTTTCTCTGCTTTGGCACCATGTAAACTTCATGATCTGCCACATAATGCTGCATTGTTGCATTTGATGTAACAGTGAAAGTTGGCCCCAAAGCCCTTTCAGCATGTGCTTTCGGGAATGAGATGGACTAGATGTGACCCTGACGATGAAGTTCAGTGCACCATCCCTCAACTGTCAACCTCAATGTCTATAACCAAAGCCATTTTTGAAGCACGTTTTCAGAACCCAATTAACCACACACTTTTCTTAAAACAAAACCACCATCATTGCCACACATTAAAAAAAAAAAAAACCCTTCAGTCAAACTTTGCGGTGGCAAGTTTATTAGGCAGGTACTGGCTGAACCCATCTTGGGTATGGCAAAAAGAGGCTTTCTAGGATTCATTACGCTTGTTTAGCCGAGTATTATGTTTTTTGCTAAGCAAGTTTGGTAAGGGACGAATGGCGTGGGGGTAACCATATAGGTTTAATAACCTAATTTTGCGACAATTAAAGAGCCGGAAGAGGAATGGTGGGAAAAAGAAAAGGGTTAGGCAATGGTAGTTGCGGTGGGAAAATGGTTCTCTCGTCCTCCGTATGTAAAAGGCTAAAATATTTTAAAAAATTTATTTTTTAAATAAATTTTTATATTATATCTGAATAATTTTTTATTTTTTATTTTAAAATTTAAAAACATTTATTTTAAATAAAAATTAATTTATGTTAAAAGTTTATTTATATATAAATTAAAAGTTAATGACTTATTTGATAGAAATTAAAAGTTAAAAAATTATTTGTGTGTAAATTAAAATTTTATTTAACTGCAATAAAATTATAACAATTTATCTAAATAAAACAATATAATTTAGGACTTTCCATAACTTGTATATGCCCTCTAGTGATATTTTATATTTTTATTTGCAACATTTAAAATTCAATTTCTTAACTTTGTAATTTTTTATAAATATTTTAAATATATCTATTTTATCAACAACTATTAAAATTTAATCGAAGATGCCATATCACTACCAAGGAACGTTCATATGACATAAATGAGTGAGTTTAGACACTTGGATGATCACATGACAAAAAAAAGCACTAAACACATATTTTATTAATTTTTAATAGTAGTTGATGCAATAAATAAATTTAAAAAATTACATATAAAATAAAAAATTATATAAAAATTATAAATCACTACGTAATAAAAGAATTAAAGATAGTTCTATCCTTTTGTTATAATTATATTAGATTATATTATTTGTATAGTTTATAAAAATTATATTATACTATGGTTGTAGTTAATAAAAGGAGTCTGTTTTCTATACAATGGAGTTTTTTAATTTTACTTTAAATTTTATAAGTAAAATTAAAAAACTAACAATTATTTTTATATATTAATTTTTTAATTATTTTAAATGTATTTTACATTAATACATGTCATCTGCTAATTCTTAGTGAAATTTAAAAATTACATTAATGGTGGGTGAAATTTTTTTGTGTTATATTAGATGGGACTTTTTTATAAAACTTAATAATGAGCTTTGTAAAATAAGGATAAGGCCAACAATATTGTATAAGACAAAATATTTGTTAATCAAATCAAATATTAGCATACTAAAAAATTGGGACCGGTTGATATGAGATTGTTTTGTGATTTGTCCAATTAGAAGACATAAATAAGAAGACTAAAATAAAAGCATATTTTTAACCTATAACTTATCGAAATTAGTTTATATAATTATTTTAAAATGTAATAGTTAATAATTTTAAATTTTAAAATTTAATATTTGTAATTTTTTTTTATTTTTATATTACTATCTCTTATGTAAAAAAATAAATACATTTTTTATGACAATATAAAAATTCTAGTAAGAGTTAGAATTTGAATCTTAACCTTACATGTCAGTATCTCAAAGGGAGTACATGAACCGTAGAATAGGGGTGTAAATGATACATTAGTACTCGCAAGCTACTCGGGTTCGATTCGAAAAAAACTCGAATTCGGTTCGATTATTGTCAAGTCGAGCTCGAGCTCGAGTAGCTCGACTTATCGATCGAGTCGAATTCGAGTATTATTATATCTGACTCGAGTAGCTCGCGAGCCTAATCGAGCTTTTATATTTAAATATATTTTTATTATTTTAATTAATAAAATATTTCGAGTCCGAGTTCGAGTTCGAGTTCGAGCATGAATAATCGAATTCTTGTCAAGTATACGAATCGAGCTTATTTTTACATATTAATCGAGCTTAATCGAGCGAGCTCGAGTAGCTCGAATTCGATCACGAATCGAGCTCGAGCTTGAAAAATAAAACTCGATCGAGCTCGAGCCAAGTATCGAGCCTTGAGTTGTGAGTCGAGCTCGAGCTCGAGCTTCTCACTACTCGGCTCGGCTCGTTTACAGCCCTACCATAGAATCAAAGTCTATGGCTTCTATAGAAATGACAACAATATATTTTATTTATGTAATAGAATAAAATAAAAATAAAATATAATAATAATTACTTAAATAATTACATCAAAGTTTGGTTCAGATAAAATGAAATTACAATAAATAGCATTGATTTGTTTGATTCATTGAAGATAAGCATTATTGTATAAGGAAAAAAAAGTCAATTGTCCTCTATTCCTTGAAGAATTAGTGACTAAAAATAATGTTTTGGTTTTGAATAAAGATTTTTTTTTAATAAATTATGCTCATCTTGTATACCAATAAAAAATCAGTTGTATTTTTTCTTATTATCTAAAAGTTATTCTCTTTCCTTTTTTTAAGGTTTTTTTTAATTTTATTTCTTGAAATTTTGTGTGATGTATTAATGATAATAAAAAATAATGATATAATCTATATTTTTATTAATACACCATTATATAAAAAATATCCTTTAAAGGATCTTAGCTTGCCATGTGTATTTTTTTTAGGTTTTTCTTTACAATGTTTTGCCATTTTAATGGGGCCAAATGAGTTGTTTTGCTTGGGCCAAGTAGGAGAAATTTCTTTCACTACTGACAATTGTCTGCTTTTGTTGTTTTATGTTTGACACCTAGGTTTTGACTTCAATTGGTGTGTTTAAACTTGAATTCTAAGCTTTTTTTTTTTTGAGTTTTCATTATTGCTTTAAAGAGTGTAATTATGGTGTGAAAGAAAGTCTTTTGTGGTCTGCGATTGTTGATCATTATTTTCTTTCTTTATTTTTTTCTCCAGTGTTTTTGGGTAAAATCTATGGTTTGTTTTTGTTATTTAATTGAATGTAGGTTTCTATTTTTTTGGATTTTTTCAGATGATTTTGGTGTTACACCTTTGTATGTTCAATGGTTTTGGGTTTTATATTTCTTACGTTTGTATGTTATTGTGAATGTATTTTTTTTTAATTATTTCTTTTTGTGTGTTTTGCTACTGTTGGATGAAAATTGGATTGTCGTCTATAAAAACATAATTTATGTCTTTCTTAAGAATCTTTTATTTTGTATATTGTTTAATGAAGTTGTGATTTTGTTTTTGATTGATTTTTTGTTATTTTTTTGTCTCAGGGTTTTTTCAAGGTATTAACAATCTCTATACTTCCTAGTCAGAGGATGAAAGTACTGGTTTTACCACAGTATAAAAGCATTTAAGTAACAATCAAAAGTACTAGTTATGTATTGCCAAACAAATAGTTCTTGAAATCGGTAGGAACTTTTCATTTTTTTTATCAATTTCCAAGTCTTACTTGTTAGCTTTATAGGTTAGATGGTGATCCAAGAGGGGGGTGAATTAGATTTCTTCAAATTCTTCCCAAACAAATGATTTCAATATAGTTGAATGAAAATTAAAACAATAAGCACTTTTGATGAAAATATAATGCAAACAATAACAATTAATGAATCTAAAACCAAATATAAACAACAATAAATTGTAAGGAGATAAGGATAGAAAATCAAACACAATGATTTATGGAGGTTCGGTCATTCTTTATAAGGTACCTATGTCCTCTTTTCTTGATTGTCCACACCAAGGCTTCAATTCACTATTCTTGAATTAAAAAAATAACCTATCTTTTTCTTTCTAAGGCTTAAGATAGAAACCTCTACTCTTTATAGTATTTTACCCAATCTCACTACAAAACCCTTAATAGGATACCTCACTTCTTGTTCTCTTTCACCCTTGTATATCAAAGGTAATTTTGCAAATAATAGAACAACCTCTCTAAGGCTAAGTGTTTGCTAAGTTTAAGTACAAAAAAATAATGAATGAACAACAAATAAAAATTGAATATAATAAATACAAAGATATGAACTTTGAAGCTCTAAAAACTATTGATTCTTTGAAAGAATGAAAATGTGACTTATTGGCTCTTGCTCTCTTGATTCATCAATCTTCTTGGTGTGTTGAAGTGCCCAATTTATAGAAAAATTAAAGAAGTAGCCATTGGGAAAGCTTAAAGTGAAGAAATACCCGTTGAAATGATGAAAAAAATAGCCGTTGGAGTGCTCACGCCCAGAACCGATCAATCCTTCCATTAGGGGATCAATTGGTTCATGTTTTGAACTAATTTGCGTCTGAAAATCATGACCTAATCAATCCCTTCCATAAGGGGATCAATCCTATCAGCTGTTGGGTGGTTGTTTCTTATTTTGTACTCTACTAACTAATTTGATCATAACTTGAGTTATACAAATCCCAAATTATAAACCGTTTGAAGATTTGAAACTGGACTTAAAAAACGTTCTATCCATATAAATTTCATCACCTAATTCACTGTGTACGAATTATAGTGAATTTTTAAATTTACACATTTTACAGTTTTTCTAACAATTACAGAGTGTCTAGTAAAAATTCAAAATCTTTTTTTAGAAAATTTGAATTTTGATTTTGTTTGATCCATTAGAAAGTAGACTCAAATAGCTTTCCAACCATATAAAATTCAAATATTAAGACTTTATGAATTAATACAAAAAAATAAAATAAGTTCAATGTTGAAAAATTTTATTCTTGTAAAACAGCTTTCTTAAGTTAATCTATTTCTCAAAACCAATATTATCAAAATTGTATTACGTCCAAAATGAATAAGTTCACTTTAAAAATAACAATTGGACTTTCATTTAAGCTCAAATAAATAATCTTTAAAGATAGATTTGGTTTGAGAAATATGACACCAAGAAAGGTTTGTTTAAATTTTGAAAATCATATTATTTATTTAGTACCAAAATATAAAACTTAAGAACATGTACTAAATATATCTTTTTTAAAATCTTGATCAAGTTTATTTAGCTTTAATATTTTGTCATTTCAAAATAAAGATCAATTCAAGACTAATAATCTCCTCCTTTTTGATATGACAAAACTTAAAGATAAATTTGCTTGATGAAAAACTTTATTTGAAACATTTAAGATTTTGAAAAACCTTTTGAAAAACTTCCCCTTAAGCAATGCATGGTAAAATTCCCCCTCAATTTGTGCATCCTAATCTAATGGCAAAACTCTCCCTCAATTTATGCATTATAATCTAACACAACTTAACAAATATATGCTAGTCCAATATATGAAATAAGTACAATCAAACATATGCATGTCAAGCACAAGTAAATTTATCTATCTGATATTTCTCTCCCTTTTTGTCATAGCAAAAAGGCATGAGCATATTAATAATCAAATAAACACAAAGAGGCATCATTGACAAATATATTCATGAAACATTTCTCCTCTATTTTGTTTATGCTCTTTATACCAAATGTTTAAACTCCTATATTAATTGCAATAAGCACATAAGAAGAAATATCTCTAAATTATTTTTATTTGAAATTTCATCTAAATTATTCCACCATTTGGATCAAATTTAGAGAAAATTTCTCACTCAGATTAGGAATTTATCATTTAAAATTTCTAAGAATCTTATTCTTGGATAATTATCAAATATTTTCAACCAAAATTTTATTTGAAAAAGAATACAATTACTTATATTAAAATTTCATCTAAATTATTCCACTATTTGAATCAAATTTAGAGAAAAATTTTCACCTAGAGATTTTTTAGGAACTTACTATTTGAAATTTCTAAGAATCCCGTCTTTGGGTAATTTGTATTTAATTCCAAAATTTTTATATTTTTTATGTTTTTTTTATTTTTGTTTGTTTGAAAATAAACATTAATTATTGTTATTGAAACTTAATCTAAATTATTCCGTTATTTGGGATAAATTTAGATAAAATTTTTCAACTAAGAATTTTATAAAAATTTACCATTTGAAATTTCTATAAATTTCATCATTAGATAATTAATATTTATTCCCAAAATTTATTATTATTTTTTATTTTTATTTTTTTCTAAATTTAATCATGAAAAAAAACTAAGAAAAATACTAAATAAAATAGATAAAAAAACCAAAGAAAAAAAAATGGCTTGGCTGGCGGTTAGATCGGCTCAACTGCAGACACAAGAAGTGGTTGAAAAGCACAGCTTAACGGCTTAATTTGTAACTCGGCTCAGCTTGATTGGAGCCGAAGGAAAGGACGCGAGTTGAAGCAGGTCGAACGCTCTGGTCGAGTCACCTAGTGGTAAAACGCGTGAATCCTGGGTTGAATTAAAACGTCAAAACGACACCGTTTTGAGCTGATATAAAAGGTCGAATCCTTTCTTTCTACCTCAGATCTCCTCTTCCCCTCTCTCTCTTTCCTTTTTTTTCCTCTTTCTTCTTTTCAGAAACTAATGAACTCCGATTGAATTTTCATCGGATTCTGAAAAAAATCATCAAAAAATTCAACTAAATAATAATAATAATAATAAAATAAAATAAATGACCAATTGAGTCTGATAACTTAAGTCCTATTAAGCTGGACCATTAGCCTTAGACACAAATTCTACTAGATCAAACCCAATAAATTTAGGCCCAAATAAATTAAGATATCACTAGTTAATAATTCAAATACATTTATTGTCTTACTTTCAACGAGCAACAAATAAATTTTTTTAAAAAATAATTTGTAAAATTGATTTTTTATATCCCCTTCCCTTTCTTTTTTTTTTTCTTTATCTTATATTTTAATTTTAAAAAATTCAAAAATTTTCCTTAAAATAAGATAATAACAACTATTCAGCTTTGCATTCGGATTGTAACCTTTGCTTCCAAAATGTACTTGAAAGCACATGATCCCACGTCTAACGTACCTAACACGACAAACCCACGCGCATTCGCCACCATCCATGGGAATTAGGACCACAAAACTAGAAAATCTCCCATTTTTACATGTGAGTAAAGACTTCCTCTCCAAACATGCGAGTATGTCTCATGTTAGATCTTTCACGCTTCCCCCTGTCTTAATTTATTTGCACAAAATGCAATTATGATACTGAACATTGTTTTCTTTTTCCTTTATTTTAGTGAACCTTCATTTCTAAACATGAGAGAGCAGGAGTGATTTAGAATTGATAATTTAAAATTGGATATAAAATTTTAACAAAATTATATTGAACTGGATAAAAATTAAAAAATAAATTTTTTATTTGATTGTAATAATAATTTATTTTATATGTATTTAATATAAAATAAATATATAAATAAATTATTATATCTAAAAATAAATTTATTTAATTTTAGAAAAATGCATAATATAATCTCGCCATCCTTGTAATATTTCTTTGGATTTTTTATGTGGTGACGATAATTCACGATATCAAATGTAATTGAAATTTTACAAATGGATTAGGAAATTATTGGTTGATATTTTCCAAATGAGCACTTAATAAGTTTTATTTTGGTCGTACGAGCACGTTTTATTTTACCCAAAGAAAAATAAATTAAAAAACGAAAAAAAAAAAAGAAGGCCCTTGAAGGTAGAAAGGACAGTATGCAAAATGGGTACCACATTTTCAGTTCCAGTCCAAACAAACATTACGGACACACTCACTCTCTTTGTCTGCGACCCCAATCTCTCTCTCGTAATCATCTGTTGAAGTTTCTCTTCTTCTTCTTCTTCTCGTTCTCTCCCTTTTGTCAAGTCGTTAAGTAGGCCCCCAATCCATCCAACTTACTTTAAAAGCTTAAACCCTTCACTCCACTCTGCCACCGCACACTGAGTCACTGAACCCCCCAGGCCAAAACCCGAACTTTAACAAAAAAAGAAAACACTTCTTTTTTCCCCTTTCTGTTCTTTTAAGGAGGCCCAAAATTTGGATCCGAATACCAAATCCAAACTCACCCCATTTTTCATGAAAACGGGTGCTACGAAATGGATCCTCCGTTGATCAATGAGTTACATTTTTCAGCCGCCAATCCTTCAGCTTATGGCCTTGCTGAGATTTGGCCTTTTCCAATCAACCCTGGCTCTGACCCAAATGTGGCAACTGCAGGGGGATTGGGGTTCCGAATGGGTAATTTGGGCGGCTTTGGGGACACTTCGGGTCACAGAGATGGGTCTATGGAGGAATCTACTGTGACTGAGCAAAGTGTTGGATATGGAGCTGGGACAAAAAGGAAGGATTTGAGCTCTGAAGATGAGTCTTCCAAGATTGTTTCTACTACTACTAGTGCAAATGAATTGGTTGTCTTTTTTTTTTTTTTTTGTTGGTTTTAATATATGGGTTTTTTTAGCTCTTTTTATTTGTTAGATTTTGAATTGATTGGTAGAGAAGGCAATGGTAGGAAAGTTTTGGAGTTTAAGGTCAATTATGAAAAAATTTTAATTTTTTTCTTTAATTTAAGGTTTTTGGATTGAATTTGATTTGGCTTTTGTTTCATTGTTAGCTTATTTTACTCAAATTTAGTTCTTCTTTTGATTTACTCATTCTAGCCTAGGCCAGGTTGTGGGCTTTGCTTTGCTTTGCTTCAGTTCAGTGAGGATGAAAAGAAATAGTTTAAAGATTCAAAATTTGCCCTTTATTTTTTTGGTTTTGTTTTAGTTGTAGATGTTTTAGTTCACAAGAAAACTACGTTTTAAGAGGTTAAGAATTAAGATATGATAAATGGTTTAAATTGGAGCTGGTATAGCCTTATAGATTCATATAAGTTAATGTTAGTTTATGTTTTGGTATCATGATGGCTTATAGTATGGTCTTCAACAGAATGATTCAAATGGAAAACGGATGAAAATGTTGGGGACAAAGAATGAAAATGCGGGTTCTAAAGCGAAGGTGGAAGCCAATTCTGCAGCTGGTAGCAAGCCAGGACAGAATAGTAAACCTGCTGAACCGCCTAAGCAAGACTATATTCATGTCAGAGCCAGGAGGGGTCAAGCTACCGATAGTCATAGTCTGGCTGAGAAAGTAATTCACTTTAATCCTATTGAATTTGCAATTTTCATCTTGAAAACTGAGAAATGTAACTTTCATACTGTTGAAACAAAGTGTGGATCCACTTCATGGGTCTTTCTAGTTCTTGTTATAACAAGAGTGGTAAGACGAAGTGGTTTGAGCCCTTTTGAGACATGTTCTTAGAATAAGTTTTTCCCTTGCAGGCTAGGAGAGAGAAGATTAGTGAGAGGATGAAGATTCTTCAAGATTTAGTCCCTGGGTGTAATAAGGTATTTACTATTGTGTAGTTGTGTTTTATTAGTCCAATATACTTTGTATATGTGGTCTCTTCCTTGGTGTTATTAATATTTTCTTATCATATTAAACCTTAATACAAACTTGTCAATCAGATCATTGGAAAAGCACTTGTCCTTGATGAGATAATTAATTATATCCAGTCGCTGCATCGGCAGGTTGAGGTATGAATCTCTCACATCTTGCTATTTTATTTTGCCAATTTCTGAGTTTTTAGGCTATTCCTTCAGGCTTGAAGCTGTGATCTTAACGCAATTTTGCAGTTCCTTTCAATGAAGCTAGAAGCAGTTAATTCAAGGATGAACATGAATCCTAGCATTGAAGGCTTTCATTCAAAGGATGTAAGTCTGCTTATGTTGATAGATCACTTAATATTCTGCTTATGTTGATAGATCACTTAATATTTGTGTCATCATATAAACTATTAGCATGACTAGCATCGAATTGAAGTCTGCTCCATTATGAGTAAATAGAAGATTTTAGTTCTTCATGACATAAAATTCAGATGGAAAACTTTTGACCAAATTTGATTGGTGATTATAATTAGACAAAGAGTTCAACTTTTTCCCAGAGGTAGTTTAAGTTACTTGTACTACTGTAGATAGAATAACTGAGATCCTCTATCCTCTGTTTTATCATATATTCTTAGATACCAGATCTGAAATTTTTTTTTTGGGTTAAAAGATCTGCATATTTCAATGTGAAACAATTTTCAACATTGCCTGAAAGCTGAAATTCTTTGAAAATGTAATGTACATTTGTTGGCCAGAAAAGTTAATAAATTTTCTCCTTTCCACATAAGTACTAACTACAATGTCAAGGATCTTCCCTCTAGTGGATCCTACCTTTACAAGAAATATAGAGAAACTAGTAGGCTTAAATTATGCACTTACTTTTTAATGATTGTCATCTAGCAATGAGTCATGACCCTCAATTGTCAAAGAAAAGTCAATGATTGGGCTTTACGCATGGACTCCTCTTCAGCACAAGTTTGCCCGTGCTCTGATATTACTAGATAGACGTGGTCCTAGAATTTTACTACAGAACTGCCTTGGAGCCTTGGAGGAAAGATGGTTTTATACACTCTCAGACAATGAATCATCCCAAAAACTTTAGCTAATAAAAGATGGCCTAAAGTTCTAAACCAATCTGCAGACATTTTTGGATTTAGGTTGGAATACTTTTATGTGTAATGGGTCATCCTTCATTTTGATTGATGCATCCTCTGTATTTATTCCTTATTAATAAAAATCCTTCTTGCCTTTAAAAAAAAAAGCTTTAGACTTTTTTGGCCATATGATGGATGCCCTTTATTTCTCTTAGTTTCTAGAAGTTGAATGACATGCATGACCTTTTGAAAACAACAGTAACCAAATCAATTGCACCAACAAAGAAACCTTTTGAGTTGGTAATTGAGATTATTCCTTTACCAAACAGTTAAAATCCTATAGGCTTCTGTTAGTTCTCAATTAATGCTTTGATATGATTTAGCCTAAGAGATTGCACCCTAAAAAAAATATCCTAAGAGATGTATTCACACACATTTTGTTGATGATGTGGCATGCCAACATGAATTTCTTTTGGCTTTGTCCAAAACGGCTGAATTGAGATAGTAGGAGGACCAATTCAAACTTTGACCTTAAATGTTGTTTATACTTTGTCTTTGTCCAAGCGTCGTCCAAATATCAAATTCAGTGTTATGTTTATCAACTTTTCTGCATCTTTGTTTTTTTTTTTTTAAATGCAAACGTGTCAACATGTCAATCATTGGTGCTATGGCCATCTCATAAATGCCACTATGCATCATGTTGATTATTTCCTTTAAAATAATAGTCTTGATTCTGCAAAATTTGGCAGATGAATTCCAATAGGAAATGTTACATGACCTCTAATTTATTACTTTCTCATAGAAAATGAACCTTTTAGGATTGTCAGCAGTGTCTAGATGTGAGACTTGGTCTAGGGGTTAATGAAGAAGTTAGTTTTAGCATATATATATATATATATTATATGATCTTTTGCATATAAAAAAAAAAAGGTAAAATTACTGGAGCTATGGTACGATATCTTAACACATCAATCTGGTCTTTTAGCTTGGTTCACAGCCATTTGATGTTGCTGGAATGATATTTGGCTCACAAACAGCAAGGGAATATGCTCAAGGATCACAACCTGAGTGGCTGCAGATGCATGTTATTGGAACTTTTAAAAGGGCGACATAATAATTTGAGAAGCCTGTTGGCATTCAAAGCATCAAGAGTAATCTGGTTGTTGTCTATAAATCTCAAAGGGGAAATTTGTCATTGGTTACATCTGTTGCAGAAATGTGTTTCATAAATGCAGACTGTTCTTAAATTTGTAATATCACATATATTGTAGAAAATGCTTCTAATCTTTTATATGAGAACCCCATTGTATCAGTTCTGAAACAAAATCTTCTGGAGTGCATTCCGGTTCTCAGGGTTGTGCCATCTTAAATGTATCTATTTGGAGATCTTATCATGTTGCTTGTGTTGCTTTTGTGTCTTTTTTTCAGATTCTTTTCATATAGTATCATCATTTCGGAGTGTATAATTCAAAAATCAATGTTTAAGAATATAAAAAAGTAATAATAAAGAGAAAAAAGAGAACATACGACACACGAATAAACACGATAGGAGACATGACTAGGCAATTCCAAGTAGCAGGGCAGGGCCTTCAAATTTCTTACGACCTGAACTTGGATCTTATGGTATTGATAACTTCAGCATCAACTTGGAAGGTCTTGGTCAACACTTCATTTGGAATCAAAGAAGCAAAGAGATTTATGGGAACGACCACGGCACCAGGCAAATGGCTGTTGAAAGCCGCGAAAGCAAGCGCCTTTCCTTCTCCAACGTTAAGTTGGAAGTGAACAAGTCCCCGAGGAATAACAAACATCTGCCCAGCAGTCAAGACCTTGGAGTAAAACACGTTGTTACTTGTCACAAAACCAACGAGGAGCTTTCCTTCAATGACCACACCAGTCTCGCTTGCACGAGGGTGCAAATGAGGAGGGTTGAGCCCACCAGGGGCAAAGTCCACCCGGTTCATCGCAATTCCAAGAGTATTCAGTCCTGGGAATGTGAGGACATTTGCAGGTGTGGGGGAGGACGCGAAGATATTTGTCGTGTTACCTTCTTTGGTGAAACCATCAAAGAAAAAATCATCTGAAGTTACTTCAGATGCTGGTTTGCAAGGAAAACCATTAACAGATATAGAGGTACTCAGATCTGCTACACAGAAGTCCTGTAATGGATCAGGGTCAGCTGAATTGCCAGGTAGAGGTAAAAGCCAGAAAACTGTAAGGTAAAATAGTAGGTGGAATAAGAAGGAATCCATGGCAGACATGCGAAGGGTGCACAAAGAAGAGGGGACGAAAGTTTGTACGCTAAAGGGACATATTTAAGATAATGAACTAGGCAGAAATTCAACAACTAATCTTAATATTAATGGCTAAAAGGGACAGGGAAGACAGTCTATGAGCTGCAGTTTTCTAATGAAGTTAAGAGCTCTGCTGTATATGCTTTGCGGCCGATAACTGGACAAGTTTCAGCTTGACTCTTTCAAAGTGAATAGAGTTAGATAGCTAGCTTTATTAAGACGCTAGCCAGTGGACCATTCACGCAATAATGCGTTCCAGTGCCCACACATTCTTATAATGGCTTTAGCATCGTATTAAGACTGCAACTTCAAATCTTTGTGCGACCTCAAAAGCATAAGTTATGTGAAAATGCATAGGGCTATAGACCTTGCTACAAGTCATGTTGACTCTCCTATTTCTTCACATAGGAATATATTTTGCAAGTAAAGTTCCAAGGCATCACCAGGGTACACATTGAACTGACCAGGTCAATTGACTCTCAGATTATGGCAACAATTAAAAAATATGGGTTTGGTAGCACATTTGAGAACACACTAAAACACAAAACTACGTTGTAAGAAGCTTACAATTTGGTAATGTAAATTGTCAAAGAGAAATGGTTTCTTAAAGAATCAAATTAAAAAAGACGGACATTATCGTCAGATGATACAGAAAAAAAAAAAAAAAAATTCCAGTGATATTTAAACAAAATATAAGAAACACCAAACAAACTGTAGTAAAGAATTTATTTCAATTAGAATTCGCAACATGTTTGTGTATACAACACAAAATTATACTGAATCCATACCAACTATAGCTCTGCTTCTAGCAGGCAAAAGTCATGAACATTGACCGGTAGACAAGCAGTCATAGCCTCTGAAAAATGGCACAGCAGAAATGTATCCCATTCTTCAATAACAGAAGCCCCCTGCATTTCATACATTGTAGAAATATTATCCTCTCAAGATTTGCAAGCCATCCTAACTGCAATTTCAGGAGAAGCCTATTGAAGAAAGCACTCATATTTGGCTCTGAGGTGCAACATTAAGGCTTCATTCTGCAAGAGTTATATAAGTTATATGACAAGAAAAAAGTACAAAAATTTATGAAAAAAGCAAGAGAGAGGGGGGGGGGGGGATCGATATCTACAAAAATAATACCTCTCTAAGGCAGCCGGGCTAATGGGAATCACACCAGATGGTGAAACTAGAGCATCCACGAGTACATCATTTGGAGTGAGTGGTATAATTTCTTCATCGACCATCTGCACAGAATAAGACAGTGCAACTGCAAAACCAGAGAATTTGTTGAAGAGAAGAATCAGAAAAACTAAATGAGATTAACAGAATGGCCAAGAGAATGTAATTTTGCATTGAGCTAGACTAAGAACCAAAACTAGCATATACCAAAGAGTGGCTGCCTCCAATTCCTTTCCTTGGCAAGCTCTTTGTAGTTCTTCAAGAAAGTATCATAATATCTTTTTAATTTCCATCGCATATGTCCACAAGAACAAAAGCAGAAATTAGCAAGAAAGAGTTAAGTGAAGATTCTTGCAATAAGTTGTGCACTACAAAGCACAGATAAACTGATGCAAAAACAGTGTGCAAACCTACACAAGCACGTACAACTCATACATGTCTTGGCACTAGTTGGTTAGGAACTGTTTTACAACAACATAAATTTCAATAAAAAGTAATTCCCTATAGATATTAGATGATGGTTTATTAACCAAGATAAGCCAGGGGCCATGGCGTTAGATGAACATGTCTACTGCCTCATAGTTGGAAGTTCAACAATCTGAGTCTAACAACTTAGAAACCTGCCTGTCACTCACAGGTATAGAGTATCTCTAAAATATGCAAGAGTTACAAAATGTAGAAGATTAAGTTAAGTTTCAACATAAATGGTGAACCCACCCTCCACCACGGCCCAACCGTCTTCCAGATCTGTCAAATGCAAGTCCTAGCAACATCACAAGGAGAATGTTCAAAAAGCAAAGAGAAAAGAAAGAGAAGCTGAGAAGAAAACAGGACAAAACTATCTACCAGGCAAAATGAACAAGTCAACCGCATCATTTGCATGCATCACTGCATCAAGAAATATAATTCAATATTAGAAAATGTAAATATGAAAGCAAAATAGATAGCCCCCTAATTTCAAAACTAAAATGAAAATGTAACAAAGTTAGCATAAATAACTGATTTGCCTGAGCTTGAGAGAATGATTCAGTGCAGCTTTAGATTAGGGAAAAGGAAGCAAGGAAGTTGTCTCAACAAATTTTACCACCAGTTGTTGTAAGTTGTAACAAACAAGACATTACAAAAGAAAAAACAAGAATTATTCAACGATAAAAGTTAAAATATGATAGCATGAAGACAGAATTAAAGAAAAAAGTACTAGTTTATAGCCAACTCTTTAGGAAGCAAAGAGCAAGCAGTGAAAAACAATAATGAGTGCATTATTCGAGGATAAGAGGTAAAAGGATGAAACTATATAGAGATGAACAAGTATACCATCTTCACGATCATTTCCATCAGCATCAACCGAAGCAGGTTCCAAAATGTTCATTGAATTTGCAACTAAATCATCCATGCGTGAGATATTGAACATCCTCATGTTACTATTCTTGTCCTCTACACGCGGAACATAAAGTTTTTTTGCAGTCTGGAGCATGCTACCATCTAGTAATAGATTATACAAATTGCTAAAATAAAAACAACACACAAAAATAATAATAAAAAAAGAACAATTACTAGCATTTCAATACTCAATACTGAAAATGTTGTAAACAGAACAGAAGAAACCTGTGGATGGATTGCGCAGAATTTGAGATAACAATTTTGAGGTATCAACTTCCCGTAAAGCACTGCAGCTTATATAGGCACATAATCGCTTACTTGATTTGAACCATGGAGCGTCCAATACTATACTCTGAATTATATCATCTAAAAAGAAAGACCCAGAATTTTCAGCTCAAAATCTAATATCTGTGCATTGGTAAAATGGAAGTGAGGCTCAAAATGATGGGGATTAAGGATTACCTTCTTGGGATCGGAGGGTGGGGTCCATGGACTTGAGGACTTGGCGGACTTTGGATCGGAGGATCCGTTTTTGCTTGAAAATGAATTCAAGATTCTCGTGTTCTCGATTGTTGTTCGACATGGCTACGACGGACGTTGGCGTAGGTAACTGGGTCCGGTCGGATCGGATGGTTGCGGATGAAACCGAGCGTTGTTGCGGCTGCAGCTGCAGTTGTCCTGTTGCTAGCTAGTTGCTTTAACTGCTATAACCCTTTCCTACATCATGCATTTTTTAATGTCATGAAAGTGAATTTGTTAGATTTTCTCTCTTCATTATTTAAGCATTTTATTGAAAATACTATAAGAAAAGGCATGAAAATTTGAAATAAAATTTAAAGGAAAAAAATGTTGTGTTATAAGATAGAGTTTTTAAACTTCAAAAATGAATTAAATAAATCTTCTATTTAGTAAGTAATGTAAGTTGTTAATTTTGATTAATAAATTTAATTGATATGACTTAGATTACGAGGACTAAATCGATATTTGTCAAAATTTTTGTTGTATTGTGATATTTGGTCGATTTTTATATATGACAAGCGTAATTTACTGCTTGTACATTTTGATTGCCTCATGAATCTTTTAATTTAGTAAAGAGACTTGCCCTAATTGCCTACATTAATATTGTCGAAAGTTCAAACACAAAATATGAAAATATTTAGATTTAAGGGTTGTGAATGTAAATTACCCTAAATACAATTTATATCAAAATTCAATTGATATCTTTCTATTTATTAACAGATTATTAATTTTTAAAAAAAATTTAAATTGTTTGGCCCATTTAATCTTTCGTACAAAATAAACTCAACTATTAAAATGGAATATGCTACTTATGTATTTATTCCATTAAAAAATAATTTATTTGCATTTTCAAATTAATTTATAATAAAATTTTTCTTTTTAAATATGTGAATACATAATGAAACATGCATATACATGCTTGCATGCAAACTTATATATAGATATGAAAGTATTAATTTATGAAATAATTGTGTAAAATCGAAAAAACATCGTTTCTCTAACAAATTTAATTAGGGGGCTTGAATGAAACAATAAGAAAGTATTAAGCCAAAACTTTGAAAAGTGGAATCTGAAGCCGTACTTTATATTTATTCCAAAGAAAAGGACGCAATTCATTAATAGAGCCAAAACCAGGGACTTATAAGTGCAAATTCCAATAATTATCTGGCAACAAAAATAATGTTAGCTTAGCTGCAAGGGAAAAAAACTGTGCTTTGAGGACCAAATCCTATCTCCCCAAACCCTAACCATGACCTGATCCCAAAAATACTCAAACTTCCATCTTCATCCCTCCACCGTCCGATCAAAACCCCATCACAAAATAATATAATTACGAAAGAAATCAACGAAAAGCTCAACTGCTGGACGATGCCGTTCCACGGCGATCTGGACCGTCAGATCGAGCACTTAATGCAGTGCAAGCCGCTATCGGAGGCGGAGGTGAAGACTCTGTGCGAACAGGCACGTGCGATCCTCGTGGAGGAGTGGAATGTTCAGCCGGTGAAGTGTCCCGTCACCGTCTGCGGTGATATCCACGGCCAATTCCACGATCTCGTCGAGCTGTTTCGCATCGGTGGCAACGCTCCCGACACTAACTATCTCTTTATGGGCGATTACGTAGGTAGATCCGCTTTTCGTTGCATTTAATTGCCATTTCTTTGTTCAAATGAAAATTAAGTATTTCTTTAGTGCTTTTTTTTTTTTTTAATTTTACCATTTTTTATCTTTAGAAGATTTATTGATTGGCAATTTTTTAATATTATGGGATTTGTGTTTTCAGATTATAGTAATTATTATTGATTGAAATCAGAAAAAGTTAGAAGGAAGATTTAGGGAACGAAATGACACACGTGTAATTTTTTGTATGCTAAAGGGAAAAATATACTGTTGAATTATAATGCAATAATCATTTAAGCCCTTAACATTTTATTGCAATCAATCAAGCTCTTAATTGAACCCTTAAATGGACAAAATCTAATCAAGTGGCAAATTTAATCAATAAACCTCTGAGCTATAGTCAGTTGAACCCAGGGATCTTAAAGAGAGAGGGGTAGAGAAAATAGAGAAGAAAAAGAAAAAGAAAAAAGTTTATTTTATTAATGTTAAAACATATATTAATTGCGTCAAGTGTCAAACTTTAATCTATTTTATTGATGTCAGATGAAATTTAATCTTAGTTGGTAAAAAAAAATTAACGATATTAACTTTTTCATCTAAATAAAGGCTTAATTGAATGCAAATAGATGCTGGAGGAGTTTATTGATTGCAATAAAAAAAATAAGGGCTTGGATGGTTTTTTTAATTATAGTTCAAATGTTTTTTTAATCCTTTAGTCTTTTTTGTATTAACTTCTTGATAGTTGGAAATCAGTTGATATTGTCTGTTCAAACCGAACTGCTAGCGTATGACAAGGTTAAGATAGAGCTGTTGGAGGAGAGATAAGTAAATTTCAGAGTATTTCCTTGTTGAACTTGAAAATTGTTGATTCATTGAATTTCAACCAAGCCAAGCCCCTTTATGAGATTTCAATAAATTTTGTTGATTATAGTGTTGTTTGGTTTCATTTGTGATATGCACAAGTTAGTTTCCGTACATTAAATGTGAGCCACAAAAGCAAAAAAATTTACCCTACAGCTGAAAATTTCCAGGTTTTCTTGAATCTTGATTTTTGGCACTTGGTAGGAAGTACAAAGCAATGGTAATGTTACCTTTAGAACAGGAGTTTGTAGAAAGATATTGGAATGTCTTGAGATTGAGTTGTATTAACAATATAGTATCATTAGTTCACTGTTTATTTTTCATATGGTCTGTGCTGGCCTTTTTCTTGTCCAATATTGCAACAAATCATACATATTGATGCATCTTTACTAGGTGCTTTGCATAACAGCACTTATCTATGCTTTTGTCCCTTGTTGTATGCAGATCGAGGATATTACTCTGTGGAGACTGTCACTCTTTTAGTTGCTCTGAAAGTTCGTTATAGAGATAGAGTAACTATTTTAAGGGGAAATCATGAGAGCCGCCAGATAACTCAAGTGTGAGATATACATATTTACTGTTTTTTTCCCTTTTCATTCAGTAATTGCACTAGCTGTCTTGCTTGTTTTCAACCAAATAAGTTTCTGCCAAAAAGTACTCATGCATGTTCTTTGGAGTACTTTAATTTTCTTATATGTCATATTTTTATGTCATTAAATGAAAAATTGAAAATGTAATAATAAGGTTTTCTTGCAAGAAGTTTGCTTGATTAGTTCACCAAAATGTTTGTAATTTTGTTCTTTTATTTGCTGGTGAATGCAAGGACAAACTATTCTGTCTTGTAAGATAGTTGGAGGATTGGAGTATGGATACTTGTTAAACCTAAAACACATATTTTGATCATGATATGCTAGTATAAAGGGTTGAAGTTATTTAGTGATTTTGCTGGATCAGTCTGTGCTCATATCAATAACCAAGAGCCTCTCTTTTCAGGTATGGCTTTTATGATGAATGCTTGAGAAAATATGGAAATGCTAATGTATGGAAGTATTTCACTGACCTCTTTGATTATTTACCTCTGACCGCCCTGATTGAGAGTCAGGTTTGAATTCTCAGACACAGTCTTACGCTGAGCATTTTTCAAGATCTCAGCTGACTACTATTTTATGTGCCTTGCAGATATTCTGCTTGCATGGTGGACTCTCACCGTCTTTGGATACATTAGATAACATCCGCGCTCTGGACCGTATACAGGAGGTAAACCTGTAGTTCCATTATCCTTCGCACTTAAAATTTTATAGTCTTAGAGATTGTCTACCTTGTATTAATAATAGTATGTGCTGAAAAACCTTTAGAAACATGGTACACTACTAGAAAAAGTTGTTTTAGCAACGTTTAATGTAATTGCAAAATGGCAATTTATCGTTCCTAAAATCTTTTCTCAATAAAACAAAAGTTGTTGCAAAGTTGTTGTTCGTACCTCTGATGTTAAAAGTATGTGCAACAATTTTCATCATAAGAAAAGTTGTTTTAAAATATAATTTTTTCAAGGACGTTTTCTTATTGGTAAATAAATTATGTTTAAACAACGACCTAATTTAGTTGTTAGAACTTTTTTTTAACAACTAAATATTTGGCTACCAAAACTTTTTATGTAACAAAATTTTTTTGTTTCCTAAAAATTTATTTGTGACACAATATTTTTGTTGCAAATCACTTTGGCAACAACTATTTTGTTGTCGCAATAGTTAGTCTAAAGTTGACAATAATCATTGTTAAAATTGTTATGAAACAATAATTTTGTCGTTTTTAACTTTTTTTGCAACGACTTAAAAAAATTTAACAATTAATATCATTGTCACAAATAAATTTTTTTTTAATAATATTTGTGTGGTTACAAATAATAAACAAATATTTAACAGCAACTTTATTAGTTTTGAAAATGACAAATATTGTTATAAAAAAAATTACACGACATTCATCTCGTTATGATAATTTAAATGTTTACTATTAATAAAATTTAATGGCTAAAAAATGAAAAATTCATTTAAGAGAAAAATAAAATTACATTAAAAATTTTATTTATTTTGTTGTCATTTAAAATACATTTGTCGTAAAATATATTACAACAATTAAAATTCCTAAATGGGTAAGGAATATCAAAATGTATTACAATAATTAAAATTCATGAATGAGTGTAAATAATTCTGAATGTAACCTCAGGTTTATCTTACAACTCCATTGAGTTAGTTTCATGGTTGATAGTGTAGCAATTCCATATGCTCACTTATTTGGATGGGTGAAAAATCTTTATTAAAGAGTAGTTGGATTTCCTTAAGTGCTTATATGCCTAGATCCAATGCATTTATAGTCTACAAATAATTAACAATATCAGTTAATAAAAATATGGAAAATGTGAAAAAAGAAATGAATATCTTTCTTTTTCATCCAAAACCAACAAATCAAGATGCTAAAATTTTTCTAACTGCACATAAGTTTCGTAGAAAGATTTTCAAGGTTAAACATAAAATATTTTTCTTTCAGAAAACAAATAAGCACCATCTATTTGAATAGATTATATTAAGATTTTCTATCAAGGTATGAACAAATATTAATTAGGCAATATCTAGGGAACAAGGACCACTTATATCTTGGGGACAAGAACCACTTACATATTAGAAAGCACATGGCTGATTAATACACTCAAGGGACTGCCATGAGGGAGACATTTCAAACAATTGTCTATCATTGCAGTAAAAATCCAATTAGACTCCCCTAAAAGTGTTTTTATGCTCATTTTAAAATTCTTAAGTTTCATGTATAAAAATAGTCTTAACTTCAATATTTCAATCAGCATAGCTGGCTGCACTGGAACCAGCAGAGTGGCTGCCGGCAGTTGCAGCAAGCAGAGTGGCTGCCTGCAGTGATAGCAAGCAAAAAAAAGAAATGAAATTGAACACACCACCCGAGCCTCCAAATCAAATCATATTCAAATCCTATTACCTTATAGACATAACTAGCTGTCTAAAACAAATAATGAATGTTGCAAGACCTTAAAAAAATAGGCTTAGGGCTTAAAGAATTAGAATTTATATATAAATATTTTACATTGTGTAATCTAAGCAGGCAATCAATTCCTAAAATCTACTCACCCAAAATTGTTTTCCTAAAATCCCTAAATTCAAATTGGATCATATGGTAATAGAGAAACTTTAACCTAAACGGAAATGGAAAAACCAGTTTAGAAATAAATCCCTAAATTTTAAGGGGCCAAACCCAAAACCTTCATGATAATAAAATCCTCCAAATCACCATATTTACTCATATATTCCCTCAAACCTTCAGCATCCACCTCCTACAGGATTCCCAAAGAAAGTTCATCAAATTCAACAAAATCACAAAATACCCAGAAATAAAAACCCAATATTTCACCAAATTAAGAATAGAAAATTAACACAAGCTTCCGTTTCATGGAGACAAATCCAAAAAAAATATTCAGTGACAAATAAAAGCTCTATTAATTCTAGGAATCCAAATTTCTATGATGGATACCAGATCTTCCAATTGGGGCTTAAACATGGGAAACACTAGGACAGATTGTGGATTGAAAACAAGGAGCAAACAACAGAACAAGCAAACAAAAAATAAATAGAAAAATCACCTAAAAACCAATCTTAATGAGATATCCAACTGTCGTTGTCATCATCTGAGATTTAAAAGAATGACACTTCAACCGTTGCGATGAGGAAAAGAAAGGGAGAAAGAAAGGCGGTTTTGAGGGATAAGGGAAAGAGAAAAAAAAAAATGAAAGAGGGACTTTTAGCTTATGGGTAAAAATTTTGAGGGTTGCCTTGCCGAGAAATTTTTTCAATATAAAATGACCCATTTTATGTTTTATGCCAAAACTTGTAAAAAATAATAATAAAAAAAATTTTTAGAATTTTTTTAAAGAAAAATAGGGATAAAGGAAAATTTATGAAACATTTTCATTATTATATGTATTTTATTTTGTTTTAATATGAAAAAATATTAATATGCATATTTTATCATAATGATTTGTATGCTGTGTTATAATAATATCTTATCGTATAACTTAAATAAAATTATGTAGTGAAATATCGCTATACATGTTATTTAGGATTAATTTTTTGTTTTACATTTACAATGTATAATCTTTTATCATTATATATGTTTTCTAGAATTTAATAGATGTTCTTATTAATATTAATTGTTAAATAATTTTAAAAAATAAAATTATTATTATAAATATAATATTGTTTCTTTAACAAACAACTCGCATGTTATCTTATTTTTCAATTAATTTTAATAAAAAACAAAATTGGCAGATGATGTTAAAAAAGTAATAATATGTTAATAGCCTAAACCATTATTTTGATAATGTTAAATATAAAAGATGTAGAAGAGTATAAAATTTTTAATCTTAACATTTTTAAGTCTTGAATTAATACATTAATAGCTAATTTTTTTTTCCAAATAACTAATCCTCTTGACTTTACTAATTAATAATATGATTAAATTATAACTTTATACAATTTAAAAATAATCATAAATTATATTTTTCTAATCCATAAAAAGAATGAAATTTTTAATTTAATAAAAAAATTTTCAAGTATATAAATTTCAAAGTAATGATACTATAACCATACATTTATTTAATAGTACATCATTCTTCGAGAACATAACTTAATATATTTTTTTGTTATTAAAAATATAGAAATTTCATAACAACTATTTTGATCATAGTATAAAATATTAAGAAACATTTAATGAGACAATGATTATAAAAATTGTTGCAAATCTAATAAAATTTTCAAATGACTTTTTTGTTGTTACGAATAATATAGAGATTTTGTAACGACTATTTTAATTGTTGTATAAAATATTTTTTAAAAAATTAATTACAAAATGACTATAAAAAGCTATTATAAATCTAATAAGATTTTGCAACGATATTTTTTTATTGTTATGAATATTATAGAGATTTCGTAATAATTATTTTGATTGTTGTATAAAATATTAAGAAACATTTAATTAAACAATGACTATAAAAAGTTATTGCAAATATGATAAGATTTCATAATGATTTTTTTTTTTATCGTTATGAATATTGTAGAGATTTTGTAACAATTATTTTGATTATTGTATAAAATATTAAAAAATATTTAATTAAGTTATAAAGTCGATGCAAATTTGATAAGATTTCATAACTATAAATATTGTAGAGATTTTGTTACCATTATTTTGATCATTGTATAAAATATTAAGAAATATTTAATTAGACAACAATTGTAAAAAATCATTACAAATTTGACAAGATTTCATAGCAACTTTTTTTGTCATTATGAAAATTGTAGAGATACTGTAACAATTTTTTTTTGGTTGTATCAAATATTTACAAAGTGAATTAAACAGCAAAAATGAAAAATTGTTGTAAATATAATAAGATTTCGGTAACGACTTTTTTTATCGTTACCAATTTTATAGAAATTTGCAACAACAAAATATATCGTTTTATAAAATATAAAAAAATTTAAATTAGTAACAAATATGAAAAATCATTATGAATATAATTAGATTTCGCAACGATGTTTTTAGTCATTACAAATTATTGTTGTTAAAACCTTACTTTCTAGTAGTGGTACCGCATATAAAGTGCAATATTGACGTATGTGGAGTTCATAATGGGGCTTTCGAAAATAAGAGGTGGGTTAGAGTAAAGCTTATTATAGCTTTTGTGATATGCCTGACTCACTAGCCAAAGATACTAGGACTCATGAAACTTCATTGACCCTTGGAATGCTTTGTGCCTTTGTTATTGTTAACATCAAATACACTGGTAATACTGTTGATGCTTATAAGGTGAAATCATAACAGCAGCATCTATTAAACAGTGCAGCATTCTCATTCTATTGTTTTTGCAGAAGCCTAATAGGTGTCATCACATCAAATATGCCTCTCCTGGTATCGCTGTATTTCTAATTGTACTAGTATTTTCCTATTGGTTGGGTGTTTAGGTTCCTCATGAGGGTCCAATGTGTGATCTCTTATGGTCTGATCCTGATGACCGATGTGGATGGGGAATATCTCCTCGGGGAGCGGGGTATACCTTTGGACAGGATATTTCTGGGCAGTTCAACCACACGAATGGGCTCACTCTGATTTCTCGAGCTCACCAGCTTGTTATGGAAGGATATAATTGGTCCCAGGTGTGGATCCCTCATCAAAATAGAAACATAGTTGAATGTTTTATTCTCACATTATTATTTACATTTATCTCCGTATCATTGTAGGACAAGAATGTGGTAACAGTGTTTAGCGCTCCAAATTACTGCTATCGCTGTGGAAATATGGCTGCAATACTTGAGATTGGGGAGAATATGGAGCAAAGTTTTCTTCAGTTTGACCCAGCTCCACGTCAGATTGAACCTGAGACCACGCGCAGAACCCCGGACTATTTTTTATAATTCCATTTACTTACCTCCTGGAAAATTTTCATGTTTCCTGTCGTGTTTTTGTAGATGTGTCTTACAAGTTGGGGGAGTTCGGAGGGACAAAAGAAACCATTGTTTTTGTCATTCTTTCGGTTGTTCTGGTGCTGCATTCGTACGAGTCTATAGGGTTAATTTATAGAAGGCTTTTTTGTCTTGTATTCTAAGGGGTGAAGGGAGTAGAAAAACAAGGGATTTTTTTTTTTTGTTCTTGCTGCATTACGAGTTTAAATCACCAGGGGTGACAAAAGCGCATGTTCCAATTTTTATTCTTGTAAATGTTGATTATATGTGAGAGCTGTTTCTTGTGGTACTTCCCTTCCCAAACAAAGTGGATTGTATCTTCAACTTGGAAGAACAAAGTCACTTCCTTGGTCAATGCATTCTCCTGAATGGATGGTTCAGTTTTTCTGTTTGTTCTAGTAGGTGATGCCAACTTGAGCTGGTGGGTTTTGGAGAATGAACCATAAATCCATTAGTGTTACTCGGAAATGAAGGGAGGGGAAAGTTTTCCTAATTGCTTTTTTACATTTTTGTCTATTAACTTCTCAATTCTCTATTAATTATATTTACCAATCCATGATATTGATTTTTGTAGATTTAGAGAGAAAGTGAGAGTGTTCACTCGACATCTTACTTTTCCTTCTAAATTTGTATTTTAAAATTTTTTATTTTTTGTTTTTATTTTTTAATTTGTTTTAGTTTGTCTTTTTAAATTAATAGGGGTAAGATGATAAAATGATTTATATTTGATGAATTTTGATTCGTTTTAATTCAATTAATGTATTTTTTAAATAAAGATTGGATTGAATTTTTTTTTTTTTAATTATGGTCAGATCAAATACAGATTTAAAATGTTTTCTTTCGTTTTGGATATATATGAAAATATCTTTTTTTATTTTTTATTTAATTTTATATTTAAAATATGTATTTTTATTAATAAAATTATTATTTAATATTTTAATTTAATAAATTCATATAGTACTTCATTCAGTTTTTTTTTGTTTTTTTATTTATTTTTATTTTTAACTTTTTTAATTAGATAAATTTTGTAAAAAAAATAATAATAAAGATAGGAATAAAAAAAAAATTTATATCGGATGGGTTTTAATTTATTTTGATCCAATAAATATAGTTTTCTTAAATTCGAGAGATCGAGGCTTTTTTGAAAATTAGGTTAGGAAAGCAAATTTAGAGAATTTTATCCTATTTCAATTATATTAAAAAAATATATTTGATTATTTATTAAATTATATATATTATATTAATAAAATTATTATTTAATATTTTATTTCAATAAAAATTATATTTTTGCATAATTAAAAGGCAATGTATATTAAAAATAATATTTTCATTACTAAAATAAAAGTATCAAATTAATTTTTATCAATTCAGGTTGGATGCATATATATATATATATGATAGATCAAGATCGGATATTAATAAATAATAACTCAATATTTGATGGAAATTAGAATTGGACTTAATTATTAAACGAATGGATTAGACTCAGAATAAAAATAAATCTGTTTCGACAAGTTTCCATCTTTAAATGGATGTGTCATTAGGCACTCCATTAATTTGGATTTTTTTTCTTTTTTGCTTAGGGTGCTTCTTCTTTTTAGTTTTGGCTTCTTTTTTTTTTTTGCTTTTTATTATTTACTTTTTTAATCTAGATTTGAAAAATAAATTGACAATAAAAGTGTAAGTGTGATACCTTATTTAACTTTTTTTTTTGTTATTCTCTTTTTTTTTAATAAAATAATTTTTTTTAAAAAATAGAGTCTATAAAAATTAAGATGTTAAAATAATACGTATGATCCATTAAAAATTTTTTTTTTTTTTAAATCCAAAGTCAAGTCAAAATAAGATGATTTTTCTTTCTTGAAAATTAAGGTTAGGTCGGAGGCAAATTTGGGGTTTTTTTTTTACATCTCGTCTCATGGTGTATATATAAATATATATTATTTTATTTGATTTATATATATTATATTAATAAAGTATTATTTAATAAAATATTATATTTATATATAATTAAGATATAATTTATATTAAAAAATTATATTTCATAAACGTTAAATTATTAAATTAACTTTTGAAAAGTAAAGTTAGATGCGAGTTATACATATATATGTCGAGTTGAAATCAAATACAAAAAATAATAACCTTACATCGAGTTGATATCGAGACGAACATATACACACTCTTTTTTTATCCATTACCATCTCTAAGCGGATTTCATTTTTTTTTCCCTTTTGCTTGAAACTACCCTTTTTTGTTTTAACTTTTTTAATTATTTTTTAATATTTTTAACTATGTTTATAAAAATACATTTTAAAAGAATAGATTTATATTTAAATTTATTATACAAGTTATAAAAACAAAATGCATATGTTATTTACAAATTAGTTAATATATTTTTACTAATTATTATTTTTATTAAAAAATTATAAATAAAATTATACTTATTAATTTATTAAATTCAATTATTGAATACAAATAAAAAAAAAATTGGACTCAAAGCAAATCACGTACATATTGCTAGTATTTATAAATCGTTACCCATGATGATGGGCAGGCATCCCAAGAATATTATTTTTTGGTGTCTTTTTGTAGAAAACAATAAATAATCTCTCATTAGATGACAATTATATTAAATGAATTTAATTTCATTGTTCACATATTAGGTCTGGTTTGATTCTTATTGAAGCATTTAGAAAATCTTGAATGCAAAGTCAATAATCATGTGGTACATTTGTAGAATATTATAAAAGTGTTTAATGCAAGTAGATATGATAATTTATGTATTAATATCATGTAAAATAATAAAAATTTATATATTTATATTACATTTATTTAAAAATTATATGTTATAATTCGTATCGACAGAAAAAATATAATTTTTTTTTAATTTTTATTAAACTCATATTTTTTTTTATTAAAATTTTAATATTTTGTTACTTTCATTTTTTTATATTATTTTTATATTTTATTTATTGTATAGTGTTTTGAATTATTTGGTCTAATCAGTATCAATTTTTTTGTCATATCTACTCACTATAAATTTTTTTGCAAAATTTATTAAATAAAAGAAAGATGAAAAGAAAGAAAAAAAGTCGGAAATGAAACATGGATATCTTAATTAGCTCTCTTTTATCATAAAATTAAACTAAAAATACTAAAAGTGAAAAAATGGTAAAAAAAGTAAAGGAAAAAAGTTAATAAAAGTTGCTAATTGACATATGAGTTTAAAATATAATTAATTAAATTAAGATAAAACTTTTTATTAATGAAATAATATATATGCATAAAATTAACTAAAAAATAAAATATATATTTTATATATACTTCAAAATGAATTGGAATAAAGGCTGTAAACATGCTTCTTAAAAAACTAAAAAAAAAAAAAAAAGAAAGAAAAAGAAAAAAAATTCAAATTCAAATTAAAAAATTATGTTAATATCAAAATTTAAAAAAATTATCAAATTTTAAAAAATAACTAAAAAATATATCTTCAATAATAATATCAAATGAGTCAAATATTAAAAAATATTTGAAAATATTTATCAAATAAAAAGGGAAAATTTGTTAATAGAAAATTTTGAAAAGCAAAAGCGAAAAAAAAAATTCAAATTATTTGGCACATGACATATTTTTTGTATCAATTGAGTTATTAAAAAAAATGAGACCTAAAAAATCATTTATTAAATATATAAAAAAATAAAAAATACATATTTTTTTTATCAAGTTGGTCTAAAAAAAATTAATTTATTTTTTATAAAAATAAAAAATTAGTATCAAGTGGTCCAAATTAAAAAAAATAAAAATTTTATTAAATATAAAATAAAAAAAAACATGTGACCACAAACACTAAAAATTAAAAAAAAATAAAGATAAAACGAGTCCCGCAAAAAATATAATTAAAAAGTAGGCAATACATAAAAAATATTATGAATTATAAAAAATAAAAAAATGCGAATTTCATAGAAAAATTGTGGACATCATTGAAGTAAAAACATTATATATAAAATATAAAAAATAAAAAACTTTAAAAAAGTAAATCCCACCAAAAAAATTCCATTAAAAATAAAATTTTTTATAATAAATATTTTAAAAAATAAAATATAAAAAGTTTTTAAAAATTACCTAATTGGAAAAAAAAAAGGGTCCCACCAATAGAAAGCAGTGGGCCCCACTCTAAAAAGTAATTTTATAATAAAATATATTAACAAAATTAAACAAAATAAAAAGTAAAATATATAAAAGAAAAAAAATTAACCAAAAAAAAAAAAAAACCTTGAGTAAAATCCTAAAAAAGAAAGCCTGAGCTTACGGTACCCTTTCCAAATTACAGTGTTTATATTATAAATTTGTTTTTAGTTTCAAATTTTAATTCTTAAAAATCTCAACTATTAAAAATAAAAAGGAAATGCATTGTATTGACATAGAACATGCAATTTCTTAAAACATAGGAGAAAGAGATTAGCTTTCGAAAGTTATAAAAATCTTTGTCTATCCAATATTTTCGAGCAAACTATAACAATCACAAATCTCTTTTTGTATAAAATAATCAAACGAAAAGTAAAGAGAAAACCAGAAAAAAAAAAAATGGAAAGAAACTATTACCAATCGAGTTACACAGCACTGAAATTGTGGGAAGACACTTTAATTTTTGTCTTCCCTGATCTCATCGCCAACAATCTTATAGAAGCGCTAATTGTTCTTGAAGGTTGAAAAACAATATGCAAAGTGAGTTGATATATTCAAAGCACTATATAAAGTCTATAACCATATTCTTTTTCTCTAGCATTTGCCTACCGCTAGTTTCATTTTTGAACTAAAATCTCAGATGACCGATTCCTTCGCACGTCAAATGGTTGCTTGCCAGCTGCCAAGTCGCTGCAAAGTTCAAATTGCTGCTAGTCCTGCAAAATCATGGGCCAGAACTAGTGCTTTGATTAGACTATATATATTGCAACTTCAGCAAATAGTAGTACTTTTTTTTTTTAGATTGTAGCAATGAGATAACACTTTGGATAACAAGGCATTAACCACAACTAACAGTCCCTTTGAAAGCTCGATTGAAGGTGAAATTTTTATTATTTTATGATTAGACCTTTAAAGTTATGTTCGGATAAGCAATGTGATGCAGTGGGATTTTTCACTGCGAGGCCCGATGCAAAGATTAACTAAGTCACCATGTAATAAGTGATAGAAAATAGACTTCTTACCTTTGTAGAAAGGACCAAAAAAGAAGAGCTCCAAAAGCTTCAAAACGAGCAAGAATCTAACATGCATCCTAACAAGAAAAGGAATAAAAAAGAAAATGTGTTAGCAATTAGTAACTCAAGAAAAACATGAAACCAAGTGGTATCTGTTAAGTTTTTATGTATTCCCTTAATTGTCATGTCATCAATGGCCTGATAGAAGTTATTGGAAGCATAAACATTTACTAGTTGGAAGATAATTATGCATCTCTGCTTTCAGAATCAGGCATTGTTACAATGTGTTGAAGCTTTTGTATATTCTGAGAAATTTCTGTTAATAGTTGTTCTCCATTGCTGCTTACTTCATCGGTAAGATCAGAAACATGTTTCAGGAGTCCATCATCAGCTGCAAGGGCCTCAATCTTCTCGTGAATATGGGACAATTCACTCTTTAGGACTGCTTTACTTCCATTTCCTGGAACAGTGCAGAGACAATTGATCTTGAATGATTTCAATGAAGATGGAAAAGCGTGACCGTACATGAAAGTCAAGTACTATATTTGTGTCTTTGTAGGCATATTACCTGTCTCTTCTTCCATGAAGTCATCATTTTCAGTACTAGACTTTGAGGAAACACCCCCACCATCTGATAAAATCTGCGGTTTCTTCTCTAGATTTTTCAACCTGCCTAATTGACGGGCTCTTTGAGAGACTTTCTTTGGTTTGTCAATGGCTTCCCCTCCGACCTCATCTTGCATTGAATTAGCCTGATTATGATTCTGTGCTTCTTCACCAGTATTGGACCCTTCATTAAGGCTATGAGTAGGGCTGGTACAATCAGCTCTCCCATTGGTGGATGAGTAAGATGGTGGTTTCAAGATTTGATAGCCCTCGTCACTCTCATCTCCTTGAACTTCAAAATCAACTTCCTTTAAGCATCCATAATTTTGTCTATAAGCCTCAAGTTCAGCCTCTAAATCCTTAAGTTCTTCCTCTCTCTTGGCCAGCAAATTATTCATCTCTTGTAGGGCTTCTTGGTCATATTCTGCCTGCTCCTCCATCATTCTCTGGTATTGTAAGGCCTCCATCTGAACAGCTGCCTTCTCAGCTTGCAACCTGGTGATCATGGCCATTGCATTGTTAGCTGCAACAGCAGATGCACTTCTTTCTTCATCCAGTTCCATGTATAAAGCCATCAGTGACTTGCGATCCATACGAACTTGTCTCTTCAAATGATGCAAAATATCACCTTCTACCTCATTTGACACTTGCCCCTCTCCAGATTCTGAAGCAAATTCTGTTTTCTCAAGCGGTGATTTCCTTGATATTCTTGTCCACCTAGGACTGTTTGTTGCTGAATCTGACAGTGAGATTCCAAAAAACTTGTTTCCCCTGATAAAGTTAGGGCTTTTATCTTCATCATCAGCATCCATCAGCAATGGTGCTGCTGTAGCGGCCTTGGCATCTTCCATGACTGTAGAAACATCCATAACCAAAGTCAGTAGTGTGAAAAACAACAAAGCAAAATGAAAATAAATGCTAGTTTAAGCTTTAAACTACTATGAATTTTCAAGGATTATACCTCTTGAGCGATCATTATGCTCGTAAGCCTCTGATTCATACGAGTTGTGCTTGAGCTCCGTATATTTGATGTGTGACAAATCCAAATTTCGACTGGATGGAGCCCTGGGAGATGGAGCAGGAGCAAGGAATGACAGGGAAGAATTCTTCCCTTTTGAATAGGAGGATTTCACCTTCAATGACCGGCCACAACATGAACACAGATGATCATTGCTCTTCTCAATAACTACTTCTTCATCCTTTTTACCAGCAGGCAATGACAGATGAACTTCATGATCTTCATCAACAAACAGTTCAATATCCTTGTGTAAGATCCCCAGAAGTGACTTGTAAGTATCACAATCAGATTCTTTCTCGGTTGCAAAGGAGAGAAGACAGCTTTCACACATGTTTCTTATGTCAGAAAGCTTCTTGTGAGAATGACAGAATGCAAGAGATGAAACATTCTTCTTATGATGGTTACATATGGAATCATTGTAATAGAAATCAGCATTTCTACGGGCAAGGACATGATCAATCCTCGTGCAAAGCAAGCAAGGGATAGGCAACTCAAAGAACTTGGCAAATTCGTTTGCAAAAAAGGCAAGAAACCCGTCAATGAACAGAACAAATATAATCATCCATTCAAGCACTGCATAAATAAAAAACTTTGGGACTATTCCAAGTTCTTGTTCCACAAACTGCTTAAATGATCGTTTTGCCATCTCTTAAAATGTTAAAAATACAAAGAAACAAAAGCCAAAAGCTTAGCCTTAGCCTTATCTGAAGATCACACTAAATGTGCTTAAAGAATGGTGAGATGGAAGATCATGACCCGGGTGACATTTAGCAGACCAAGATCATGACCTCTCTCTCTCTCTTGTCTGTGTACGAGGAAGGAGAGGAGAGAGATGCAAATGAAGGTTATGCTCAGTTTAAGGATTCAATATTTGGGTGGTGAATTTCCTTTTGGCTATAAATGAGAGAGTGTTTCTGAGAAAATTGAGGTCCTTAGGACAACCTTGGACCTGAAAAAACGGTTTATCATGTACTTTCCAAAAAATTGTACCATTGCTAAAAGTAGAACACATTGCTTTTTAGGCTGTTCGATACATTTAGTGTGGGATCACACAGAGGGATGTAAATCAACAATTAATGCTAAAAAGGGTAAGAATTTTGGATAGGTAGAAATTTATGGGAAATACATAAGTATATATTAGTAACTTATCTATCTTAATAAGTAGCATTGTTTATACTATAAATAAATATACCCGTAAATGAAAAATAGACATGTGACAAAATAAATGTTAGTTGGCATATTTATTAGATGACCCGACGATTAAATTGTCCAATCGTCCATACGTATGTGGCCATGGTTGATTCATCTTCAACTTACAATGCTTCGGACCTAATATTAATTTTTTGGAATGGAGACAAAGTCGAGGTTACGACCACTTATCACAACCAATTTGTGACTGATTCTCATGTTGTATGTTTGTTTTATAACGTGTTTCAGTGGGTGTAAAAGAAAGTCAAATCATGAGAGAATGTGGTTGATCTTGTTGACTTCAAGAACTGGTTCGAATGGTCTTCCAAGGTTTTTATGTCTGGATTTTATGATCACCTGCATTGCTGATAGCTCTCACTTTCTGACATCTCCAGTAAACATGTTTCAATAACTCCATTGATCTGCAAGACCATTAAACACTGCTTTAAACCAACAGCACGAACTATACCTGCTGTACAAGGGAAGAAAAATTCATAAACCAGCTTTGCATGCTGATATCTTATTCAAAAAACCACTGCCTCCTTATGGCATGGCTTATTTTTTGGCATCAATAAGAAGACTAACTTTCCATAGAAGAGATGTATGTGTTTGACATTTAAGTATTCTGTGGTATTGATTGGCATACTTTTGAAAAGCCAAAAAAAATACAATCAAATCCAAAATACAGAATACTAGTGTCATAAACTGGCAACTTGCTTCCGATGACAACTCTTTATAAGGAAGCTTGGAATATTAATTAGTTGAACACCAATAAAAGATATTTGATGAATATGATTCATCAGGTTAGGAAAACCTATCCAGTTAGCTTGTAGGCAAAACATTTGAAGAGAAATAAGGTGATCTGCATCCTTTGACCTGTAAAATTACAAATAAATATATAATCAATTGTCTAGATAAGAACCGAAATCGTAATAGTTAAAGATAACGTGATAAAGTGTGTTATCTAAGAAATTGGGACAACTTGGAAATTCCAATCAACTACCAACTTTATTGTCCAAAGTATTGTAAGCCAAGGCACTAGGAAATAACGTAAAAGCTTAATATTTTGATGACAATATCGTGCAAAAGGATGTACATACTTCATAGATATCTAAAACTAGTTAGTTGAGTTTAGGATGTGGAGATAAGTCAAGATGCCCAAAAAGGGAGGTATTAGCAGTGATAAGGACTGCGCACTAGCAAGACACAACCCAATTCAGCAGGACTGCTTCCCATAGAAGTTTGGAGTTTGAATAATTTTATTCCCCTTTTAGTACCAATCAAGTGTATGTCTCTCTCTCCCACACTCCCATCCCCATTATTCCTCCCCATCTTTTTGTTATAAGAACCATGCATCCTATATACTCTGATTTACGTAACCATTCCAGCCAGTCTATCTGGCTAACTCACCCCCCAAAAGGGGGGAAAAGTGGGGTTCCCATGAGAAGACATAGCAAATACAGTTTGGCCTTCACAGATATTGCAGTTTTAGGTTCAACTTAACTGCAACAAACAAGTAGGAATTTGAATAAACCCCTGCAGGAAGAGATTGACCTTCTCCAGAAAGCTCTGTGGAACAGGAGTGATCACATAAAGCTAAACTTTGAATGTGTCAATTCCCCTCACAATTCCTGGTTCCTAAAGGCATCAAGTAAGAACCAATAGAAAAATTTAAGTTACTTCCATACTATTTTTCTGTCCTTCCAACAAGGGTGGGGTTCATGCTAATATTCATCCTAGCTAAACCCCGCGGATCTTATTCAGCTAGTCCGTCTGCCGATCTATCCTTGCAGAATGCTTTTCTCTTTTCTAGTTTAAAAATAGCAATCAGTAATCATACTTGAGGAGATTTCTTTGCAGCAACAATGATTTTATCTGCAAGTGCCACAAAACCAACAATAATTTGTTGATGGCTTTTTGGTAATAAAGTATGAATTTATATAGTTAGACTTCTCTACTTTTTCCAACAAAATGAATGGAAATTTGAAGAACTGAAAGACTAAGCAAAGCAATATCACAAAGATAAAGTTAATGATGATTGAGCAAATCAACTGAGGCAGTGTAACCCTGAGTCCTGACCTACCTAGACCAACACACCAGGGTAAATTTTCAGACTCCTCTGAACTAACTGCCAAGCCAACATTAGTTGCATTCGAACTGTAGTACATTTCAGTGCTTGGGACCTGGAATTAAGGACAAAAGCCAGTATACAAAGGGGCTTATTAGTAATGAATCATTTTTAGTTTTTACAATCCGAAAGTAAGAGAGATGCTACAAAAGGTTTATATTTTCTGTGCGATCATCACTAAGTTCTTCCTTCTTAAAATTGTGCAATGAAAGGAATTAATAGAGAAATGGTTGGTCCTGTTTGTTGAAATACATAATAAATACATAAAGCTTCCGAAACAGCATCAAAGCATTTTTCCGGGGCAAATGAAGTATTGTGAAGAAATGGAGTCAAACAGGGCCAGGCACATAATATGACCAATATAGAAAGAAAGGCTTAATTTGTTATTCTGGATAGAAATTTTATTGCAAAAATACATATATATAATGCTATCTAACCTGGCAGTGAAGATGCCTAATTTTGATACTTGATATTGGAACTTCATAAGGAGAATGAGAAGCCAGTGCATATGCAAGCTCTTTGATTGTAGTAATAGGCTTGTCACTAGGAAAGCACTGCCTGAAATAAGCCATAATCCGTAAATCCCGCAGAAGGCGAGCATCCTTCTGTACTAGCAATCTACATAAAGAGAAATTCATGTAAGATGTAGGAAAGCAAAGCCACATCTCCCGAGAATTATCATGTTTTCAGACAAATATGCACAACTTATTAAAAGAACAGAACATATGAAAGAGACAAACCTTGAATCACTGATTCACCATCAATAAGAATCCTAAAAAATTATTCAAATTAGGAATCTAGCATAACTCAGAAGCATAACAAGATATTATCAAGCAGCCAGACAAATGGCATTAAAATTCATATTAAAGTAATTTAGCACTTGCATTGGGCACCACTGTTACAATTAACATCTCAATCACATACAAGTATAAATAAAATAAACCAACTTGGCATAAATAAACAACAGACTAGTATGATATACAAATTATTTAATGTTAATATCATGCACAAAGGCCAAACTATGTGAAACCAGCACCCAAAATTATTTAAGTAAATTACATTGTGATATAATTCTAGAGCGAAGGGGGCAAATTAAAGAAAACTATTCAACTTACTAAGATTCAAGATTTCAAATTTGTAAGTTAACATAAAGTTGGCAACAAACTTACGATCTATTAAAGGAGTTCTGGCAAGCTGAGTTGATCTCTATGATATTAACCATCCCGTCACAATCACCATCCAACCAGAATGTCCCACCTGGCAGATTCTTACTCGCCGCAGATATGTTTATCTTAACCACATGAGAAGGAGAAATATATTTCATCATATCCACCAATATCTCGCAACCAATACCTGACAAATAAAAGAAATTAAAACATTAACGTCATAGTTGTAGTGAAATACATGATATTTGTACAAAAAATTAGATATCTGAAACAAGGCATCAAAGAACAACTGTTAATAACAACAAGTAGTAAAGAAACAAGGGAATTAGTCAATTGGATGAAGATCATAGCATACCTTTCACCCAGCCAAGGGTATTGACAAGAAGGGGCAATTCAATCCTACCAGGGCTTTCACTCTTGTCAAACATGCAGTATTCCTTTTGACAACAATCGTGTAGGGTAAATATATATTTCACATATATATTTCAAGTATGCCGATGGATCCCTTTTTTGAAGAAACATCCCCAAAGGAAAAACACCTTTAAGAAAATCGAACTTAAAAATTTTAGTGCTCATTACAAACAATAACAATAGATCTTGAGTTCGATTCTTGAAATACTCAGTCCTCAACATAAACCAAAGTTAACAGAATAGGTTGAAAGACATGAACCCCTCAGGTGTCTTCAAACATGGAATTGCCAAATCTATTACGGCCAAAAATTATAGAAAGCCCCTAGTCAGTAGACAAAAACCAAGTTGATTAACCCAGGGAGGAAATTTTGAGGATATGAAGAAAAGACAAGATCTTAATAAAGCCTAATACGTGGGGTTAGTTTGCCAACAACTTTAAGGGACAGGAAACCTGGAGCAGTGAACTCAGGTTGACCAAAATCTGTGTCCAAATAAGCTACTTTTCCATACCTGCAAACAACATACCGACCAGATGATCATAATGAAGATAATTCTCTTAAAAAAAAAAGAGAAGAAAAACCATGCATTCGTTTCATAAAGGAACACCATTTAATGCCTATTTCACAGGTAATTGCTAGAAACCCCGGCTCGGATTTTTTCCACCATTAACAAAACACAACAGCAAAGAAAGCCTTTTTTCACCTCCATGATAACAGCTTGAACAAGTCCAATAAATTCCTTTCCTTTATTTCCTCGGTCCAGAAACTACGTCTACAATCAGCCCTCTACATACAAATAAAAAATGAAATAAAATTTGGGGCAGACCCATTAGCCATCCAGCAAAGACACCACAAAAGAAAAGTATTTAAGCTAATATCAACACATTCTTAAAGACTTAGACATAAATCCATTTCACTACGAATAATGAAAACAAATAAAAAAAAAAAAAGAAAGAAAACCCAATGTTTGTAGTTGAACTTCAAGGTTCCAACATCGAAGCATTGTGGGGAAAACCGACCAAAAAAAAAAACCCCTCTAATCTAACTCTCACTCCTACAATGTTTCTTCCTTTTTTTGCTTTTATTTGTTATGTCATTTGAGTTCTTTCACTCTCTGAGTTTTGAATTTCTCTGTGTCGCAGACGAAGCGGCAATGGCATGAATATATAGGAAACGAAAGCGTGAGTAATTTGTTCCCGCGTTGTAACTTGAATCGGAGTTGATAAAAATTTAAAAATGTAAATTATGAAAACGAAAAGGAAAAGTGAGATAACTGTGTTTTTTTTGTTTTTTTTTTTTTCTCAACGAATTGTTTTAAAAGTAACTAAAAGGCTGCAAAGTTCCAACCGACAGGTCAATCTGTTTATGAGTTCTTGTATGGCCTTTAAAATCTTGGAAACAAGTTTTAATCCGGTCTGGTCTGATCCATGGGCCGAGCAGACTGGATTATATTTTTAAAATATTGAAAAATTTATTTTTTTAATTAATATTTTATATATCTTTAAAATTAAATTTAAATAATAAATAAAATATTTATTCATTAAGATTTTATTTAAATGCGCTTGAGCTCTAAAACTCATATTTAAAACTCAATTTGAGTTAGGCTAAATCCGGATGTAGAGCGAATAATTGGACCCTCAATTTAGTTTTCAAGCAGGTCAGAAACACCTGAGTGTGAGGAAAACACTACAACAAAATACACATTCGTGTTGAATCAACCAACGTGCGATTTTAGTTAAGTCCTGTTTAGATTTTATTGTAGTTTTTGTGTAATACAATTAAATTTATCACATCATCAATTAAATTTAAATATCAATTTTAATAAAATCAAATCAATATAAATTTTTTATTATAATTTTTAATTTCATGATGCATTCAAATTAAGTGTAAGTCACCTACTTAAAATATCTTCTGTTAGCCCAAATTAAACATCATGTAAGTGAAAAGAACCAAGTGAAATTGAAAATTCGTCACCTTTAAGACCATTAACTACTATCATCATCTTTTCCTTTCTTTTCCGCTCTCATTCCCCTTCCATCAGTTTATTAATAACAATATCTTCATCACCTGAAAACCCAAGGAATTTTCCAACTTCTCCAATCTTGGCAGCTTCATCTTGTTGAAGAGACGTAAATAGCAAGGGCCCAAATTTGTTTTCATAACACAGTAACCAACATGCCAATGCTATAGCCAGTTTTACATGTCACAACAATGCAAATAAGTAACCAGTATGCCAAAACAGAGAACAAACCCTAGAGGGTCTCCATTTCCTTGAAATAAGAATGCAATTAACCATTTGAAAAGCACCATTCAAAACTGCTTATCACACTGCGCCAAAGAAACACAATATCATGATGGGGTAAAAGGAAAAAAGGGAAATATTGATGCAGTTGACCCAAATTATTTTTGTATAAAGAGAACGCAATCGAACACAATATCATAAGGTGGCTGCATTCAACATATATCACATGCACACACTTTCGTATGCATAGAATAAAGTAGAAATCAACATAAATAGATACAAACAGTATCATTCCATCTAGTATAATGGATAGTCATAAAATGGGAAAACCAAAACAACCAAGAATATGGGTGAAAAGATGGACGTCCCTACCTAACCATGCACTCTATTAGTTTGGCAGCCTTTTCACTCAATGATTTTGAGTCCTCATCATTCAATTGGATTCGAGATGCATGTCCCCATAGATACGAACTATTCATGAAAAATTGTAATCAAAATATAATTCAGTTATTTTGGGAGAACACTTCTCACCATTGTGACAAGACTCTAAAATACAAACTTCACCTTTTTACAAGTTATCCAATTAATCATTCTTGATTTGAATAGATAAAAAATTCTTATGATCACGTTTCTTGTTTCTTATGAATGATGAATTTGAAATTAGGCCAATTAACCACCTGTTTGTCCTAGTGCCTTATGCCAACTTAAGTATTCAAGTGGCTCTCCTTGGTGGAACATCAGCTTCGTTCCAAGCTTAATATTTGTACAATCTTAGGCATCAGAGTTAGGATGGCATCAGATTTTAAAAATGTTTCCTAGACACAATCGGTCAGGTTCAAATATAAAGCAAGAAGATTTTTATATTTACAGGGGATTGTTGGAACCTTGAAAGTGTGTGCTTTTGGTGGGTTAGGATATCGGAGATACACTTGTAAAAAATGGCTTTGGCTCCAAACTTGGTTATATCCTAAGTTGCTATGAATTCTGGAAGTTACTTCACCACTTTAGATAGAAGCTTCTGGTAATTGAAATGCTTCAATATTGCAACATTTTTTTTTTCAATCTTTACCCAACTAAAATTCTATATGGCTGTGAGTTGGTAGAATGATAGTTTCGATTGTCCTCTTAGCTGTGCCAGATTACGTTAATGTGATGTGAGATTTTGGTCGGTGGAAGCCTAAATTTTTGACAATGATATTTAGGATGACAACAATGCCGCTTGAGAGCAACTGTTTAGGAAATGAATAGCAAATAGTAACACAAGTCAATTCTGAAATCACAAGCTATTACTACTACCGAAGCTTTACATGTTACTACAATGAAAATAAGTAACCAGTATGGCAAAACAGAGAATAACAGTTTTATATGTTACTACGGCATTCCAAAACAGAGAATAAACTTTAGTCTGGAAAAAATAAGAAACAATAGAAAAGAATATAAAGAAATTTCTAGGTCAGGTTATGCTATTGGTGTAAACTGATCTGATCGACGGCAATGGCAGGCGCAACAAACTGGTTTGATCGACGGGATGGCTGGTGCAACATCGACAGACGTCAAAGATGGAACAAACAGTCGATCAAACCGAGAAGGGAGGAAGAACGGAAAATAGGAGAAGTGAGAAGGGAAGAATGGAAAGGAAATGTCAGCAAAGCCGAGAAGGAAAAAAGAGAGGGAAAAACTTAAGAATTTGAGATAAAAGATAAAATAAAAAAAACTGAATTTTATTTATTAATTTAGCTACACTCTTTATTTTTTTATTGCATCTAAATAAATTTTTAACTTTTATTTTTTATCCAAATAAAATTTTAAAATTTAATTTGTATTTAAATAAATTAATAAATTTTAATAAAATTAATTTTTATATAAAATAGAAATTTATTTGGATATAATTCAAAAAATAAAAATGTATTTGAATTAAATAAAAATATAGAGTTTACTTCATTAAAATGATTAAAATAAAAAAATTTTAAATATTTTTACTGAAAGAAAAATAATAAGAGTAGGTTTGATAAATAAAAATAAAAGTTTATATTTGATACATTATTAATGTATAAATTTTATATACTATTCATAAATTAAATAATATCATTTTGTTAATTAATAAATATCAATTTATAAAATAAATATATAAAAATTAATATTTTTTAAAAAATTTTAATTTACTTTATTATTTATAAATAATATATAAAATTTATATATAAATAATGATCAAATATAAAATTTTAAAAATAAACATTAAAATAAAAAATAAAATAGTTTCTTTATGAAAAAATGAAATAATAAAAAAAAAGCATCCAACAATATTCCCATCATCAACGGGACCCAAATCAGAAATTCCAAGACCCATTAATCATCGTTCACGTGTCTATTGGACCCACAAACAAACAAGATAATAATCCACAAATCTCTCAGCCATCGCATTGACAGAAAGGGAGTCAAAGATATACGAATCAGACGGCTATAACCTCACTTCGCCTCTCCCTCATCACCAATCAGAGCTTCCCAAACCCCCCGAATTCACCGAGGGGCGCCAAAAACCCTCCCAAAATTTCATTAGAAAAAACAAATCAAAACTCAAAAGAATAAAAAAACAAAATAAACCCTAATTAGAAAAAAAATCAAATCAAATCTCCCAACAGTGGAGTGCAAGAGAAAGAGAGCTCTGTTTTGTTTTGTTTTTCTTTTGTTTTTATTTTCCTTATTTCTGCGAGCCTACAGTTGAATTTTGAAATCGAAAAGAGAGAAAAATGCAAAGCATGGAGCTACAGAACACTGTTAAAGAAGCCCTAAACGCGTTGTACCATCACCCCGACGATGCGGTGCGTATGCAAGCTGATCGATGGTTGCAAGATTTTCAACGCACCCTCGATGCTTGGCAGGTATTCTATTCTTCTTTTTTCTTTTTGAGGTTTTTCGTTCGATTTGTGGATATAAGGCTGTGTTTGTAAAGGATTATTTCCATTGTTATTTCACAATTTTTAGCAAAAACTTTTAATTTTTATTTTTTTTATTGGTCGAGCTTAAGTTCAGATGGCGAACTTCATGATCATTAGGAGTATTAACTATTGTTATTGTACTGTGCTTTATTGCGGTGTCTG